CGGAAAGCTAGTAATATATAATTCAATATAATCGAACACCATCAAAATCGGTCCAAAATTAAATTTTAATGATGAAGGCAAAAAAATATATTTAATTTTACGTGTGTATGAAAGAAAAAATGCAATATTTAGTATATCAAAACGTAAAATTCTCATTCTATTTCGCAAAAAGTTATTTATCATTGGTTTGAAGTTTATGTATGTATGTGTGTCTGTCGCATCGTAGCTCTTAAAAGGATTGCCCGATTTTGATGCGGTTTTTGTCAATAGACACTCAGTTTCTATGTGCTTAGGTATATTTATTAAATGCTAGTTCAAAAGCGTTAGAGTATTTGCCTTTCCCAAAATACGTAAGGCATTTTTGGCGTATGATTATTATCTGATAAACTACAAATATTTCCCTAGTAACTAATATAAAGTGATAGATAGATAGGGTTCCCTTAAACCTACACCTGGGTCACAAGTCCCAGTCACTGTTGAAGCTCCTCTCACTACAACGATGGACCCGACACACGCACCGTGAATACATGGAATGATGAGAGGCTTTGTCGCTACCAACGCTTTTTATAATTCCTTGAAAATGAGACATTTTCTCACATCAATTCAAATTTTTCTCCCGTATCCTTCATATGAAATATTTAACTCAATCAAAATCTGTACAGCCATTTTGATGTTATATATTTTTTTCTATACTACAATAGATCAAAGTTTTTTTTATTTAAAAATGTCCTAGCCATATATGTAACTTATTAAGTGGTAAATAAATTACTTTAATTTAGTTTTAATGACTGCAAAGAAAATGGCTTCCTTATGTGTGTGTGTGTGTGTAAATATGTGCGTATGTATGTGTGTGTAAGATTATTGTACTTTTTACACTATTTACAATTACTAATTTAAAACAAAAAGTATATATCCTATTAATATTATAAACGTAACTTTGTTTGAATATATCATTCCTTTCAATAAAAAATTACTAGATCGATTTTGATGAAAAATAGCAGCCATGTATAGAATATAAATAAGATACAGTAAGATCTGAGATTTTTGAAAGTCATTTAAATGAAAGTAATATTTTGCGGATATACTGCGCGACTTTATCCCTACTAATATTATAAATGCGAAAGTAACTCTGTCTGTCTGTTACGCTTTCACGCCTAAACCACTGAATTGATTTTAATGAAATTTGGTATAGACATAGAGTTGACCTTGAGAAAGAACATAGGATAGTTTTTATCCCAGAATTTTGAAAGGTTCTCTTGGAAACGCGATATAACCGAGGTTTCGGTTACTTTACAGCAACCGTGATCATTAAGACGAGACGTGAGTGTCTATAAGATAATAAGGCCACCACTGACTAAGAATATTATTACTAAGTATATAACATTATTTAAATCTCCTAAATTTCGCTTATGGCTTAATTTTCTTCAAAAATCATATTTTTTGCAATATTTATATTTCTAATATTAAACTATACTTTCAAAATTACAATTCATATTAATAATAAGTTCTAATTTAAAAACTCAAGAAGTAACTAAAAATGTAGTATGTGTATCCGTTTGTGTCACACTACAAGTAGTGCAAACATTTGTATATGAATCATATTTAGTCATAGCTCAAAAACTAAATATAGGATAGTCTTCACAAGAGAAACTGAGATTTTAAGCCACCTTACAACATCTTAATTAATAGTAATATAGAAAAAATAACTTAAAATTTTTAATATAAATATTAATAAATGTAATTATATGAAAAAAATATACATACATACTAGATTTTGCCCGCAATTTTGTATGCATTTGTTTCAAAATTACAAATATATTACTGACCAGGCAAATTCTGTTCCTCATTTAAGGGAGTAAATAAGATTTTGGAACTTATCAAATTATGTTTTTCTTTTTTGATCATATGTGAAGTATCCTATGTCCTTTCTATGTTCTAATCTATCTCTCTGCCAATCCTCATCCATACCCGTGCAGTCGTTCTTGAGTTATAAATAGTGTAACTAACACGACTTTCTTTTATATATATAGATAATTGTCCATTACAGGTATTATTAACATAAAACTACATCAACATCGATTCAGACATTTAACTAAACAAAGTGGGAGCAAGAGGTATAACGGACAAATCTCTTTACAACCTACTAAAAGACTTGGGCCTGTCCAGAACTAATATTAATACATTCTTGGAAGATACTTTAAAGGCAGCCCTAGTAGGTTCATTTCAAATTTGGTAGAGAGAGGAGCTTGTACGGTGGAGGTGATCGTTTAACGTTAGATAGGGTCCCTTAAACCTACACCTGGGTCACAAGTCACAGTCACTGTTGAAGCTCCTCTCACTACAACGATGGACCCGACACACGCACCGTGAATACATGGAATGATGAGAGGATTCGTCTCATATATGTAATATTCTCATATATATAATATATTACAAGTGTTGGCAGCTTAGATAATTCACAATGAATCATAGTATGAACTCAAGAGTATATTATATAAAAAAAAATTACACAGATCAATAGAAGAGAGGAAATTAACAGATATGAGTAATTTTACATGATGATGTCATTGTATAAAGTTTTTTTAAATACAAATATTATCTGCTTACTAACTAGCTATAGAAAAGTTATTTTTTTCTTTATATATATTAATTAAATAATAAATTAATGTAGGAATTATGTATATGATAGTGTTATTACAAAATTGGTCAAGCCGTTACAGGGATGAAGAGTAACAAATGTATGGACGAAGAAAATTTGAAAATTTGGTCATTTATCAAACATATATAGATACATATGTATTTAATATATCTTTTATTTTAATATAAACAGACAATACAATTTATAAAAATATACATATTACTTTAACACTGTATATAAGAATTATAAGGAAAAAATAATTCCTTTTGTAAGAAAATATATTACTACCAAATGAAATTTTAATCTTTTATTGTACTTATATGAATTAAAAGAACTCCGATTTTTTGAGTTAATAGTGAAAATTGTAATTTTTTTTTGTCATAAAATGGTGTAAGAATGGATATTTGTGTCAAAGATAGTAAAAAGCTCGAATCTGAACAAAATCCTATTTAAAACATTTTTCATACCTATATCTACAGTCATAAAAAGTTGATCTAACATACAAGTCATAAATATATTGACATTTTGCTTATTTTAATTGTATATATAATAATAGTATGAGTACATTACTTTATGTTATTTTAACAGACATCGAGAACTTTATTGACGATTTTGGAAGAAGAAAATTACAGTACAATATATATACATGTGTATGTGTGTGTGTGTGTGTGTGTGTGTGTGTGTGTGTGTGTGTGTGTGTGTGTGTGTGTGTGTGTGTGTGTGTGTGTGTGTGTGTGTGTGTGTGTGTGTGTGTGTGTGTGTGTGTGTGTGTGTGTGTGTGTGTGTGTGTGTGTGTGTGTGTGTGTGTGTGTGTGTGTGTGTGTGTGTGTGTGTGTGTGTGTGTGTGTGTGTGTGTGTGTGTGTGTGTGTGTGTGTGTGTGTGTGTGTGTGTGTGTGTGTGTGTGTGTGTGTGTGTGTGTGTGTGTGTGTGTGTGTGTGTGTGTGTGTGTGTGTGTGTGTGTGTGTGTGTGTGTGTGTGTGTGTGTGTGTGTGTGTGTGTGTGTGTGTGTGTGTGTGTGTGTGTGTGTGTGTGTGTGTGTGTGTGTGTGTGTGTGTGTGTGTGTGTGTGTGTGTGTGTGTGTGTGTGTGTGTGTGTGTGTGTGTGTGTGTGTGTGTGTGTGTGTGTGTGTGTGTGTGTGTGTGTGTGTGTGTGTGTGTGTGTGTGTGTGTGTGTGTGTGTGTGTGTGTGTGTGTGTGTGTGTGTGTGTGTGTGTGTGTGTGTGTGTGTGTGTGTGTGTGTGTGTGTGTGTGTGTGTGTGTGTGTGTGTGTGTGTGTGTGTGTGTGTGTGTGTGTGTGTGTGTGTGTGTGTGTGTGTGTGTGTGTGTGTGTGTGTGTGTGTGTGTGTGTGTGTGTGTGTGTGTGTGTGTGTGTGTGTGTGTGTGTGTGTGTGTGTGTGTGTGTGTGTGTGTGTGTGTGTGTGTGTGTGTGTGTGTGTGTGTGTGTGTGTGTGTGTGTGTGTGTGTGTGTGTGTGTGTGTGTGTGTGTGTGTGTGTGTGTGTGTGTGTGTGTGTGTGTGTGTGTGTGTGTGTGTGTGTGTGTGTGTGTGTGTGTGTGTGTGTGTGTGTGTGTGTGTGTGTGTGTGTGTGTGTGTGTGTGTGTGTGTGTGTGTGTGTGTGTGTGTGTGTGTGTGTGTGTGTGTGTGTGTGTGTGTGTGTGTGTGTGTGTGTGTGTGTGTGTGTGTGTGTGTGTGTGTGTGTGTGTGTGTATATAACATTAGTTATGTGTTAAGTATCTAAAATTTGAATGTCTGCCAGTATCCAGTAGACAGATAGGTACCGACACCCACAAATGTAATTCGTCACACCAATTAAATTACTTGATTATAATAATTTATGTATATATCTTGTTATGCTCTATTTACATATATATTATATAGTTTCTATATAATAATATAGGATTATATATTATCAAATATGTAGGTAGTCATGAAAATTGACTATTGATGATAGGTTATGTAGCATTTTGAGTATTTTAATGAAGATATATAGATTTTTATATGTTATATATTATATTGAAAATTTATTTATATAATGTATATATTATTATTTAAATGTATATGTTAGTTATAAGTATATGTTACTGTAACGTTGTTTAAACGTATAACAAGTTACCCACTCGTATTGTTTGCATATATTTGCATATTTTAATATTTAAATAATTATTTATTTAAGTACACATCAGCTGTTGTTTATAATGTAACAAAATTAAACATTATTTTGTTTTATTTTTTCTGGTACTCATTAAGAATCTTATAAGAAATCTCTAAGAAATAAATCGTGTTCTAACAATGAAATATTGGTTAGTATACAGTGTATGGTGAAAATAATAAGCAGTGTTTTTAACTGTTGATTTAATACTCACTGTCCTGCCATGGGTTGGAGGGCTCAAAATATTTTGTCACCAATTGATTTTCATCAGGAAAACAGACTTTTCGCTGTTTGTATTCTTTCTTCTTAAAAACATCGTCGTTCTGTACACTAGCTGTGTCTGCCGCGGCAGAACTTTTTTCAGTCACGCCCGAGCATGTAAATCTATCATTAGTAGACATATCTACCACAAACCCTAGAAACACATATCACTTTTGAACACATTAGAAAAAGGACTCACATCACACAAGAATAACACAATTTTTTAACACAAAACACTCGATTAAACGCACTAGTTATGCCCTTAATGCGATATTTCGATGATGATTACAGACATTTTGAGTACTTTTATACGTATAAACGGTATTTCTTATGTATTTTCTATGTTCGATTCGATTCAAAACATTTTACACCATTCATACACCATTTACCGCCATATTGGATTGAAAAAGACAAAAGGAAAGCTTCCGATTCGTGCCGCTAGGGAGCGCTGTTTAATGGGTTACCATAACAATTAAAATTGTTTATTATTATTAATAATAAAAAATATTGACAAATTAATATATTTACGATTATTTAAAAAAAATTATTTACATCTGGTTAAAGTTTTTACTAATTTAGTTAGATTACATCAGACTTAGCTATTGCATACAAGATGGCAGGTACTCATACTGTCAATTCATTAAGTGCAAAAGACAGATGGCACTTTTCTCAATCGATTTAACAAGAATGAAAAAATATTAATGTATCTCTGATCTACAATTTAAAAAGTCTAATAAGATTTATTTCTCTTTGGTAATAACGATAAAATAATTGAATTATTTTTATGATAATATCGTTTTTTCGAATTTAAATTAAGGATATGTTATTTTATAACGTCCTTCGTTTTAAAACTACATACTTTTGGTAGTCATAGTTTATATCCCTTCCATTTTTTATCAAATTCTTTGAATAATTAAATGAAGTTAGTTTTTATGTAGAATTAATTTACACTAATAATTAACAAGAAGGTTATCATCCAAAGAGTTTTAAACTCGATTAAAAAGGTAATAGGTATATTTTATATGTATAAAACTTTAAAATGGTCTCAGGTTATAAAATAAAAAGAAATCAGGGTAACTACTGTTTATTAAGGGTCAACATCACGTAAATTTCCATACATATAAGAATTATAAACAGTTCTATATAAATTTTAATAAATGGTAGAGATTCTCAATAGATTTTAATATTTTTAATTCATATCTATATATAATATTTTAAGTAATAAACTTATATTTATGGACATATATCATATATTATCTTATATACTATTTTGGTGCCTGTAAATATGGAATGAGAATTTAAACAAGCTTCTGCTCATATTGAACCTCTTTGGTGGTTAAATTTTTTAATTTAAAAAAAACTTGTTAGAAAGCAAAATACAAATATTTGTATATTAATGGATTTTTTTTAAAATATTCTTTAACATTTCATTCCATTATTAGTATTTAAAATAAATTTAAAATTAAGTTAGAGCTATTAATAATTTGTAAAACCTATTGTCGATATCTGTAGTGACATAATCAAATAAATATTTTTTTGTATATTATATAAAAATAAGAAACGTATTTGTAAAGTGGTCCAGGCCCTAATTTTAACTTGCACAGATAAAAAATCTGCATAAAAACTTTTTTTAAATAAATTGGTCCCACTACCAAATCTGAGTTGAAAGCAGTGTTTTTTTCTGTGCAAGATATAATAAAATAACATTTTTGGTTTATAACACGTATTATCTAAATTAATTTCTCGTCTTCTATCACTGGTTCTCCTTTTTCACTTTAAGATCTAGGACGCCATCTTAAAGAAAAACATATAAATTTAATTTACATAACCAAAAATAGCGTAAAACATGTATAAAATAATAAAAAATATCGACAGAATTAAAGAAGCAAATGTATCTTCAAAAATCAAGGATAATGTAAACAGAAAATATAAAACTTTATCTTAAAATTTGTTATTTTTGATCATATTATACTACAAAAGAAATATTATATTAAAATATTATATTTAGCGCCATCTAGTAGATATTTTGTTAATTATCTCATACACTAATTTATATTAGCGCCATCTAGTTCATACTCAAGCAACTATTTAGTCCAGCGCCATCTAGTTGTTAATTACGAAACTAATTTTACCATCATAATCAGGACAGTATGCGACTTTCTTCGGCGTGGACTGTTTCCTTCCGTGGCTTTTCTTCTTGACACAGAGGTCAAGGACCTCGTCTCCTATAAACACTGTCTTGGCACATATCTTCTCCCTGTAGACATGATTCACGCTCTGCTGGACCAACTTCTCGATTCTGCACTCAAATATATCTTTGTCAGTTTGTCTGTTCTGTTCCGTTCTATCTTCGTTCATATTTATTCTTGTGTGATCTATGTCCGGTACTTCGGTGTTATCTGAACGCTCTTGGAGGTACTGCAAAAATATATATAAATTTCTTATACATTTAAACATAAAGACCTTTCACTTGTTATAATAGTATTAATTAATTTTCTTCCAAACAACACCTTTAATTAACATAAAAATAGTCTTACTTACAACTAATCAACTTAATGAACGAAAAAAACATTCAGGGTACGCGGGGTAAAAGCCAATAAATGTATAACTCTTGGGGTAATTATGAATAATCTTACCTGAACCACGTGACATCGTAGTTTATTGAACCTTTCCCTTAATTCAGTCCTAGTGTCTAATAACAGACGTCTTTCTGAGAGCGCGTCATCCCTACAAGCCCTTAACGCACGTAGTTCTCTTGTGAGGCGACGTAGATGCTCCATACTGCGACGTCGGCTGTTCTGTGACGCCAGCTGGGGTAATGACGAATAAATGAATAAATATCATTCTGTTTGTGTGTGTATGTTTGGGGTAATAACGAATAAATGAATAAATATCATTCTGTTTGTAACTGTGTATGTGTGTGTGTTAAATCTTTATATGACATACATATATGTATATAGTATATTTTATGTATGTTTTTGTATGCATATACTATAGTGATATAGCTTTTGACTAGCTATATGGATTAAGGTACTTGTTTCGGATTAAAAACTACAGTAAATGTTAAGATTTTCCAGTGAAACCCAGTATTTACCGATATGAGTTAGTAAATGTTGAAAATAGGATTATTCCTTAAGTATACATAAGATTTACTGCTGTCAGCTGACAGATATTGGTTTTAGTAATAAAACAAATAATTCTGAATTATTGACTTGTATAAACCTAGTCTATTCTATCTCTTTGGATATGTACTATTAAGAATTGGTAAATCTTAGTTTTTACTGGAAAATCTTTGGATATATTAAATTTCGACATTTTACAGTAACATATCCCTACTAATCCCTACTAATATTATAAATGCGAAAGTAACTCTGTCTGTCTGTTACGCTTTCACGCCTAAACAACTGAACTGATTTTAATGAAACTTGGTACAGACATAGAGTTGAGCTTGAGAAAGAACATAGGATAGTTTTTATCACGGACTTTTGAAAGGTTCTCTTGGAAACGCGATATAACCGAACTCCACGCGGGCGAAGCTGCGGGCGGAAAGATAGTTTATATATTATATATGACACACACATAGATAAGGTAATATATGTGTGTGTGTGTGTGTGTGTGTGTGTATGTTAAGAGTGATTCATAGCTGTCTCAATGTTTTACACGTGAAACAATAATTTTTACATAATAAATCATTTACTTATTCATACTCGCGGTTTCATTGTAAAATAGACGATTATTAGGTGTAATTACGAAAATACACTCTTCCAATTCATCTATATTCAGTGTTAAGTTTCATCGATATATGATAAGCCATTTGGAAATTTGACTACGTAATATTTTAATAATAAAATCATATGTCGGAAATAATAAGCATTTCAGTACATAGTTATTGTAAATTATACTATTCATTTAAAAGTAGCTAATATTTTTCGTATACAGGGTGACTGGTGAATTACTATCAATATTTAAGGAGAATACTCGGTACATGATTCTCATTCGAATTATGTAAAAAAAATAGGTACTTAACTTTTGACCAAATTTCCGTATAAATAAATAAAGTGTGGACACGTTCCAAGTGTTCCAAGTGTGGACGCGTGCGGCGGCGTGCTGATACAACACCACGCCGCCGCACGCCTGTGTGTGTGTGTGTGTGTGTATACCTAATCTGTAGGATGTTCACACGATGCGTAATTAATTACATAACTTTTGGTTAACTTTACTTAGAAGTTTATTAATATTTATTTTATATTAATTTTTATTTTGTCATATATGATCGTCAAATATCACGTCCTCAAGTATCGATAGTAATTCACCAGTCACCCTGTATATACTAAGTTATTTCTTAACAAAACTTTAACGATATTAAACCTTAAAAAGAAACAGAAATATCATAAAATTTCATATTAAACAAATATTATTTGTTATCGAGATAAGCCATTACAAAACATACACACACGTCAAACATAACCCGCATATTCTCAGTCGGTTAAAGCGAACTTCCCACCGCTCTAGGCGGTAGTGATATAAGATTACTTAACCGCAATATACGCTTAGCTGATAATTGAGAAATCTCAGCATTCTATACAAGTTTTAGAGGCGACTTTACCTGTTTTAACTATTATATAGATATATTAGTCAGCGGTGGCCTAGTGGTTAAAAGGCCCGCCTCTCATGCATGAGGGCGCGGGTTCGATTCTGGGAAGTACCAATGTGAGTTTTCCCAGTCATATGTACTTTATAAGAGTATTTAGACATCACTGATTAATGCATTCCCAAAGAGGGTTGATGTCAGGCAGGCGGCCGGTCGTAAAAACAATTAGCCAAAACTATACGCAACATGTAAGGCAGACCCTGGCTAAAGCTGGGAAATTGTCAGGTAGAAGAAAATATAGAGAGGATCTTGTACGGTGGAGGTGATCGTTTAACGTTAGATAGGGTCCCTTAAACCTACACCTGGTCACAAGTCACAGTCACTGTTGAAGCTCCTCTCACTACAACGATGGACCAGACACACGCACCGTGAATACATGGAATGATGAGAGGTTTCGTCTCTCTATATATATTAAACCTACACCTGGGTCACAAGTCACAGTCACTGTTGAAGCTCCTCTCACTACAACGATGGACCAGACACACGCACCGTGAATACATGGAATGATGAGAGGTTTCGTCTCTTGGCCTACACGAAGTTTTTTACTTAAAATATATAAAATTTCACACGGGTAAAAAACTGAAATACATAACATTCTATACGATTCATTCCACAGGCGAATTTCGATAAACTTAGGTACTATTTGTTTTCATTGTAAAATATCGTAAACTTTGTAGTTTCTAATCTTCTATATATATAAAAATGGATTGCTGTTCCTTAGTCTCGCTAAAACTTGAGAACGGCTGAACAGATTTATTTTATCTTAGTCGTGCAATGTTTGTGGAGGTTCAGGGAAGGTTTAAAAGGTGAGAAAAATTGAATTAATTGCCGGGAAACCCTAAAAACAGCCCTTTTCTATTTCCCATACAAACATTTTTTTGACATTAGATTTGACAACTAACTAATATGTCAATCATTCTGTTTGATTGAAACAGGAAAAACCTGATTATTTATGGCCTCTAAGACGGAATAGAGTTCGCCTGGTCAGCTATACCTACATATATTACTCTTGACCAAACTAACGCAGACGAAGTCGCGGGCAACAATTAGTTTATAATATAATATGCGGGTATATATGTGTAAAACTCTAAACTATCAGTATTCCGTCAATACAAACTGATATTGAGTGTTTTTCAATTTTTCAAAATTCATCATTTCAAAGATTAAAAACAATAATAAAAAATAATTAAAAACAATGCCACATTTTCCTCGTTAGCTTGGTTTCAAAGAAATCGATTTAGGAGATAAAAATTAACATATGTATATACATATATGTATATAAATATTGTTTGTATGTTTGTACTTCATGAATCTTTCTTCTCACAACTCAAATGACAAGATATTTAATACACTCGGTGTTATGTGGTTTTGTGTTAATACATTTTTACATATACATACATACATACATATATGTTTGTATTTCATAGTAATTCAGAACTAAAACAAAATTTACCTAACACATTTACAATAAGTTAAAACTATATCCAACGAAACAAGATAAATTACATAAATAAAATGTCATCCCTACTAATATTATAAATGCGAAAGTAACTCTGTCTGTCTGTTACGCTTTCACGCCTAAACCACTGAACTGATTTAAATGAAATTTGGTACAGACATAGAGTTGACCTTGAGAAAGAACATAGGATAGTTTTTATCCCAGACTTTTGAAAGGTTCTCTCGGAAACGCGATATAACCGAACTCCACGCGGGCGAAGCTGCGGGCGGAAAGCTAGTTAAGATATAATCAAATAAAGAATATCATATCACTAATATATATACAGTAGAAACTCGATTATCCGGACTACGGACAAGTCCGGACAAGAAAAGATGTCAAAGTATAAGAGAGTGGTGTTGTTGAGAGTGACGTACGACAAATGACAATTAACAAATATTCTAAACCAAATTAAACTTATTATTATAATTCATGATTACCAATTTCAAATTATCAAATACATATTGTCATTTTTATATTAATAAACATATAATATTATACTACATATGCACAAAACCGTCTTTTCTTCATACATTCGATTATCCGAATGCCTATCGACAACAATTAGTCCGGTTAATAGAGTTTCTACTGTATATACAGGGTGACTGGTGAATTACTATCAATATTTAAGGAGAATACTCGGTACATGATTCTCATTCGAATTATGTAAAAAAAATAGGCACTTAATTTTTGACAAAATTTCCGTATAAATAAGTAAAGTGTTGACACGTTCCAAGTGTTCAAGTGTGGACGCGTGCGGCGGCGTGCTGATACAACACTACGTCACGACACGCGTATGTGTGAGTGTCAGTGTATACCTAATCTGTAGGGTATCCACGCGATCCGTAATTAATTACATAACTTTTGGTTAACTTTACTTGGAAGTTTATTAATATTTATGTTATATTAATTTTTATTTTGTCCTATATGATCGTCAAATATCATGTCCTCAAATATCGATAGTAATTCACCAGTCACCCTGTATTTATTTATTTATTTATTTATTTATTTTGAGGGCCACTAGCAGCTACTACATGTTTAAACTTCGAATACAACACAATTAAACGGAAACAGGTATGTAACATGTGTAGCTTTTTAAAGTGGCCACAACATCCCATTGTTTTAAAAATATATTAACATTTAATTATATCGAGAAGATCCAAATAATAATAATAATAATAATAATAATAATAATAATAATAATAATAACAATAGTAATAACAATAATAATAATAATAAGTAAATTCATTCATAAAAAAATAATAAAAATATTCAAAACAATACAAACTTAAATTAATACAAATAACAATTAAACATTTATAATTAAACATTTATAATGTATTTATAATTTATTTATTTATTTATTCATTTATTCATTTGCATCTCTCAGTAATTTCAGCGCCCGTTTACGAAATGTCTTTTCAGAGTTATTAAAAATATCTAGATCTTGACTTAAAATATTGTATAGCCGAGATGATCTAGACATAGGGGCGTTACTTCCTAATTTAGTGTTTGACATTCTAATATGAAAGGTACCTAGAAAAGTGCGCGCATTGCTCCTTGGAATACGATAGTGTATCTCATTAAGTAAGCAGGTACAGTCGACCTCGTTACGAATTAACTTGAAAAGGAATAAAAGATCTAACAATTGTCTGCGTACAGAGAGACTATCCATATTGAGATCTTTCAATAGATTGCAGTAATTTTTATTAAGTTTATTGTATGAGAATTTTTTGTTTCTGGATAGATGGTATACAAATCGCTTCTGTATTCTCTCTATACGCAGACGATGTACATTGTAACCAGGATTCCATACCACACTACCGTACTCCAGTACACTACGCACGTAAGCATTATAGATTATTTTTTTCGTGTTATTCGTGAAGTGTTTACCATTTCTAATTAAAAATCCTAACGTTTTGGAACTTTTCGTAATTATTTTATTGAGGTGCGGGACAAAAGTAAGCTTTTCATCAAAAATGACACCCAAATCACTTATTTCAGAAACTTCTTCCAACTTGATGTTATTAATGCTATATATAGTTTCGATTTTATTGAGCCTTCGCGTAAATTTTATATGCTTGCATTTACTGACGTTTAATTCCATTTTGTTATTTTTACACCAATTATATATAGCATTAATATCCACCTGCAAGAGCTCCGAGTCAGCTAAGTTGTTAATTACTTTTGTTAATTTTAAATCATCCGCAAACAAAAACACTCTACTATAATGTACAGTATCGCAAATGTCGTTAATGAAAATGTTAAAGAGCCAAGGTCCTAAGTGTGACCCTTGAGGAACCCCGGAGCAGGCTTTATACAGACTCGAGCTAAAACCTTTTAAGACAACAAATTGTTGTCTATTGAATAAATATGATTTGAACCACTCAAGCATATTACCATTGAATCCGTACTTACTTAGTTTAAAGAGTAAAATATCATGCGAAACTTTGTCGAAAGCCTTAGTTAAATCGGTATAAATTGCGTCAACTTGCTTGTGGTTGTCAATAGCTGGCACAATGAATTCACTGTATGAGACAAGATTTGATGTAGTAGATCGACCCTTTATAAAGCCGTGCTGGTTATTATTAATCATTTGCTTAACATGACATTCTAGATATGGGTAAACTATTGCTTCAAATACTTTGGCAAAAGTGGAAAGTATGGAAATCGGCCTATAATTCTCAATGCACTCGCTACCCTTGGACTTATATACTGGTACAATCCTAGCTATCTTCCACTTGTCAGGAAAAATACCCGAGCGAAGTGATTCATTGTATAATAAATATAATGGAAAACTTAATACCCATGCACATTTAGAAATAAATACAGGAGGGATATTATCATAACCTGTCCCTTTAGTTGTATCAAGTCTTTTTAAGTATTGATAAATCTGCCTTCGCGATATTACAAGATTAGTGAACGCTCCAAAGTCACGTTTACATTGATTATTATAATGAGATGGTGATGTATTTGAATTTTGAGATTGTGTGTAAACAGAAGCAAAATACGAGGCAAATTCGTTACAAATTTCTGATCCAGATTTCATTACTTTTTGTTTGTAAGTCATTATGCCTGGGAGTGCGGTACTATTATCTTGTTTGCCCTTTAGGTATGACCAAAAATATTTAGGATTTCTACTAATATTTTCTTCAACAATCTTAATGTAATTATTGTAGCAAATTTTCGATAATTCTGCACAACGTTTGCTCATAACACGTAATGAAATTTCATCAAGTGGATTTTTATATATTTTGTATTTCTTTAAAAAAACTTGTTTCTCCTTATATAAATTTATCATTTCCTTGGTGAACCATGGAGGGTATTTTTTACCTTTTAGTTTCTTTATTGGTACATGTTTTTCAATCAATTTGTTCAAAATTTTATAAAATTTATCGATCATTAAGTTTATTGACTTACAATTACAAAATTCGCTTAACCAATTTATATTATCTAATTCTGAAATTATACTTACGTAGTCAGCTTTAAAATAGTTCTTCTTTTCACAAGTAACGTTGTTTTTTAAAGAAGTTCTTGATGAATAAGAGACTAATATATCTAAGGGAGGATGGTGGTGATCTGGAGACACCATTGGTAAAATAGACTTACTAATTTTTATGTTACTATAATTACTGAATATTAAGTCTAATATTTTATTACTGTTATTAGAAATGTTATTATGTTGAACTAAATTATTGAGAGATGCAAAATCAACTAGCAAATTTCCTAAGGAACTATTAGAAATAACATTATCATCAATGGCGAACCAATTGATATTACTTAAATTAAAATCTCCCACGAGCATAACATTTTGTCTATTCTCTGCAATTCTACTATTAAAATTATTGATAAAATTAGACAGCATATTACGGCTAACAGGAGGAGGCAAATAAACTGCACATAATGCAATTGTGTTATACTCATCGTGACAATTTTCTCGTTCAATATTTATCCAAAGATCCTCACACTGACTTTCACCAAAACTGAGTCGCATGGATTTCAGTCTATTGGAGACCGCCACCAAAACTCCACCACCGTCTTTTTTACAATGTAAACGCGAACTGTCACGATCTCTTCTATATACTGTATATCGGTTATCGAATAATTCAAGGTTCTCTATTTTATTATTAAGCCACGTTTCTGTTAATATAATAACATCATAATTTGTACACGATAAATTGCATATGAAGTCATGTGTTTTAGTACGGAGACCTCGGACATTCTGGTAGTATATATTTAGACCGTTGAATTTTATAACATAAAGCACTAAAATGATCCAATAGAGTTCAATACAACTTACTGGATATTATTCAGTATAGCCTGATTTTTTACATGAATACATTCTGAATGTTCTGTCTTTCTCATAAAAACCTTGCCTTGTCTAACCCACACAAATCTGTATTTTTTTTCTTTAGATTTTATTCGAGCTGCTGCATGTAAAGACTTAATAGCTGGTGACAAGTGTTCTATAACGTATATTGGCTGTTTATCTGCCGCAATACCTATGTGACTTGTGTTCAGTTTATCGTCAGGATGCGATTTATTATAATTGATGACACATGCTAGCATCGTGTCTCTCATTCGTGGTGTGGATAGCTTCACAATCACAGATCTGGGTCTTTTGTCGCTATTGTTCAACTTAGCAACTCTGGTACAGTGATGTATATCAGACTCCTTTAAATCACATGATATTGTTTTACTAAGTTGCATTACTGTACTAATTAAATTTTCATTTCTATGCTCAGGAATCATTTGTATTTCAATGTTATTTGATCGATTATACTGCTCCATACTAAGTATTCTTTGTTGCAAATCAGATGTTAAATTTTTTAGTGCATTTTTCTCTCTTTCCATTTCCGCAATTTTATCGTCGTAACTTGCAATTATTTTTTTAGTAGATTCGTATTCTTCACTCAAAAAAGTCATCGAGTTTTCAATAGTACATATTTGTTCTTTTATAGGTTTAAGATTTTCTTGAATCATTTTGTTTAACATGTTAGTGATATCTTGCAACAGTAAATTTTTAAAGGCTTGAAACTCATTACGAATGATTTGTTCAACGTCTTGTTTTGTAAGATGTTCAGATGCAGGCGACCACTTTTCAGACTGATAGCATTTTTGCCGGTTTGTTACGTTGTTAGATTCTGGAGAAGTATTTTTCCTTGTTGTTGTTATTTTTTTCTGTGGCAACATTCTTACTTTTTAACAACTATGGTAGCAACTTATGTACAGAAAAATAAATAAATTGAAATAGGCCGCTAAACACAGCTTGGGTTTGAACCCGTATCGCTCACGTGTGGAAGTATGTTTCACACCGTTGGGCCACCGATATAGTTAATCAATCATGTAAAAATTGCGAACTGTATGTACAATATTATAATCTGTGTCTGTAGTTTTTTACTAAACACCCTCTTCAGAGAAAGTTATTCTCTTTGTATCTACTCACTTCACTGTATACTTTTTTAAAATTTCTATGTTTTATTTAAAATTAGTAGTAGTTTAGGTGTTTCTTAGAATCGTTTTGTAAAGTATTTATTTTAATTAAGACACTTCTTTTGATTCACTGCCCTTAGTAAGAGTACCTATATTATATGATTATCGTTTCACACTTTCGTTTTAAACTTATTCAAACAATAATGTTTTTATGTAGTTCACACACTGACTTTATTATTTACACATAACTACGATTTATAACTTCAAAACACAGTCTTTATATTTTTAAAACAAATTATTTAACGGAGCAATGTAGTTCCGTGCCAATTGAGGATATATGAACTTGTATATAAGATATTATCAGCAATTTATTTAACATCCCTTGTACAGGAGACTTCATACTCACCCTATTCTTAATTCTCCGTCGGAGTCCTTTCAGGAAGGCCAAGTCATCTTCACTAAGGTTGAGTGACTGAACTCTATCCGAATACTTGCAGGTCGGCAAGCCTGCTACCTCGTCTACAGTCATATTTATACCACGAGCTGGGTAGATGAACAAAATTATTATATGATTATATAATATATATATTATATATATAAGGCAGACCCTGGCTAAAGCCGGGAAATTGCCTGCTAGAAGAAGATATATATACAGGGTGACTGGTGAATTACTATCAATACTTGAGGACGTGATATTTGACGATCATATATGACAAAATAAAAAATTATATAACATAAATATTAATAAACTTCTAAGTAAATTTAACCAAAAGTTATGTAATTAATTACGCATCGTATGAACACCCTACAGATTAGGTATACACACACACTCACACATACGAGGCGGGGGCGTGGTTTTGTATCAGCACGCCGCCGCACGCGGCCACACTTGGAACACTTGGAACGTGTCAACACTTTATTTATTTATACGGAAATTTGGTCAAAAATTAAGTGCCTATTTTTTTTACATAATTCGAATGAGAATCATGTACCGAGTATGCTCCTTAAATATTGATAGTAATTCACCAGTCACCCTGTATATATATATAGTCGGTGATAGTACAAATCCTCGTAAGTATCATTGTATAATTCCATGTATCTACATTGGAAGCAGATTATCAGAAGAAAGTTTGAATGTAAATATTGTATATATTAATTATTTAGTTCTAATTTATTACTGATTTTGAAACTATTGCCTTAAAAGTAGTTAATATAGAAAATATTTCATCTTAAACTTTCTTCTTATAATCTGCTTCCAATGTAGATATGTGGAGTTATACAATGATAGTTACGAGGATTTGTACTATCACTGACAATATTTATATATAATTTCCATTATTAAAGTAATAGACATATTAAATTCTTCCACAAATAGCAAACGGTTAAGCATCAGAAGTCTCCAGGCTTTATGCTTGAATACTTCATAAATAGGTAATATTTAATGATAATAAAACATTAAAATATACTGTGAATACATATATATAATTTCATAACACTTTTTCATTACACTAATGACCAGTTTACATGAAAAAAGTTACAAAATTATCAAAATCTATACATTGATTGTTCTTTATTTCACAAATTATTTTTTAGTTGAGATTTTTTCACTTTTTATGCCACTCAAATATTTTAAAATACTATTTATACACTTTATTAATATATATTAAGATATATAAGCTCAAAATGCAGTCTTGAGAAATAGTACATAAATCTAAGTAAGTTTCTATATTCCAATAATGTGTATAAGAAATAACATTTGCATGTATAAAATATTAATATAATTATTATATAATAAAATTAATATTAAAAAACCTAGCTTACTTGTAACTTGAGCTTGAATATACGAACATATTTACGACAAAAATTACAATATATTAAAACACTACATCAAGTTGATACATAAAAATTACGAGCAAAAAGTTTGTATATCATATTATATATACTTAAAAAAGTTAAACAAACAAACAAAAACAACAATTTTGCGTCACACAAACCTGTTGATTCTAAGAACTGCTTGGGCTCGGATTTCATTAAATGTTTTTATAACTCACCGTTTAATATATCCTGATCTGATTGGTAAGAAGGAGCGTGTTTCCCAATATCATCCATTCTTCATATTTGAAAATGGATTTTAATTACTTATTCTTATAAAACTAATATCTCGGTCTACTCGACTCATAAAAATATAGGTTATTTATATATGTATATATATGTCAGCTGCTGTCATATGGTCCGCTGTCAAATAGGTCAATGGTTTCTGAACGGAGTGTTATTTACTAACTTAATTATCATATAGAAATACATTGCTTAAAGATTCTAATATTTCCTATAAATATAATATATTAAGCATTTCTTTGAAATAGTTTGCCTCATATATTTTACTTATATTTACACATTTCAAGATTAAAACTAAGCTTAACTTTTAAACGTTTTTATATCGACCTTATTAAAGAACTAAACTAAAAACCTTAATTACATAAAAGTTTTGCAATTAAAAAACGAATGATTTAAAGTTTGTAAGTAATGTCAAAATAACTACTTTTAATATTTAGTTTAAATAATAAAAAAATATTGAAATGTTTATATTCCTTATGCAAGCAAGATTGCGTTAGACTTTTTGGGCTAATAAAATTAAATCTTACTATTAATATGTGTTATTTAGGGTATTTAATCAAAATCAGGGATTAACTAGCAACACCGTACCACCTCCAGTCAACACTGGCCAAACTATTAACTTCATAATATTTTTTGTTTTCGCCTTTCAATTGTTTTTTTCGACATAATTATACCGGTAAGTCAAAAATCTATTGCAATATCATATTTTTATAGTAAAAGAGTGATAAACAAAATGTAAAAAGGATTAATAACATATTTTTTTTTCACATGTGCGCCAACGAATTTTTTGCTTTCAAAATTTCGCGAAACCGTTTTACTAATTATAGAATTTGTTCGATTTATTGCTAAAGCAAATTAATAAATGTAACGTGAAACTAATAATATATACAGAGGAGTTTGATTTAACATTAAAGTTGAGCTATTAATGTTCTGTATTCATAAGTAATGGACACGTTTTTTTTATAATAAATTTTTGTTATGATAATTATTAATTTTTCCAGTGATGGCTTCTCGCGGTCGCTACCAGCCCCAGGAGTGGGAGCGTGAGGAGTTTGATAATACATTCGATGCACAATACATTGACGAAGACACACAGTTAGTACACAAAGCATTTTTTATAATGAAACATGGTTGTTTTCAAAATAAAAGAAAAGGAACTTAGTACAGATAATAATAGTTTAAAACGAAGTGAATTAAGATCGCAACTTGCTAATTTTACTGTATCGCGTCTTATTACGCGACTTTTTATTGTAAATTACCTATTTGTATTTCAAGTGTTCAGAAATGTTGCAACTTAATTAACTTCTATACTTAGAAATTCTTAAGTGTTGACATAATAATTGAAAAAAGAATTATTATTAAGTATTTTAATATACATATATGATTTATATTACAAAATATTACAGTCTCAGATTGCATTAGTAGTGGCTACAATTTATATATACTTAGTTTAGATTTAAACAAGCAATGTTTATTTGTTTACTATACATATTCATACCTTATATCATTCATTCATACCGTATATCATACCTTCGAGGCTTTTCCAGCAGGCTCGATGCTGAGAGAATAGGCCTTTGCTCAACAGTGGGCTCTGATAGGCTGATGACGATGATTATAATTTATCAAGCTTACCCAAATCTCAGTATCATCACAAATGTGATAGGTGTTCCTATCATTTTATAATAATAATAATAAACTTTATTGAAAAAACACAATGCTTACATAATAGATTAACATATGACACAATTAATCTTCTTAAACTTAATTTAAATTATAACAATGTTTTCCATCAGTTGAGGGGCGTTATGGTTTTAGCAATTTTAAAATTTTGATTATCTTTGGACCCCACAATAGAAGACTTGTATTGTAGGGCCCGAAAACAAAAGAATATAGAAAGATAAAATTTATTTTGCATCAAATAAGTGTAGCATGAATTATAAGAATTGACAATATATACAAATGTTGTATCTTAAGTATAGTATATGCAATAAATTCTCGTGTTCAAAGCAATTTTATAAATTAAACATACACACAGTTGTTTAGTGATGAAAAGATTGTTAAAAACAGTAGTGGGTTCATTGAGATGTAATTATAATCAGAACTTATATTCCATTGTATGTAAAACAGAGTAATTGTGGTCAGTTGCTTTGTTTACAAGATTGACAATTACCATTGAAATGGACTAATTATTAACAAAACTAATTGTTGTCAATTGGTATTCAGATAACCGAAGTTCAGGATAATCAAATGTATGAACAAAAGCCGGTTTTGAGCTTATGTGGTTCATAATATTTATTTATTTATTAAAAAAATAAATTACAATATCTAATAGGTAATTTGCAATTGGTGATCATAAAATAATAAGTTTAATTGGTTTAGAATATTTATTAATAGTCATTTGACGTATGCCACTCTCAACAACACCACTCTCTTATACTTTGACATGTTTTCTTGTCATGACTTGTCCGTAGTCCGGATAATCATGAATCCGTATAACTGAGGGCCGGATAATACAATTTCTACTGTATACATATATATATATATACATTAATTTGCCTACATTTTGATCTTTTTCCCAGGGGAGGTGTACAATTGGATCACTGCAAACTATATGTAACAAATATATCCCGAGCTCTCAATGAGGAGGGCCTCACTACAGCCTTCTCTAAGTACGGCACCCTCGTTAAAGTACATGTCAGTCGAGATCCTGCCAAGAGATATGCTCTGATAACATATGAAACACCCGGGTATGTATATATAAGAGGTTTACAGTAAAAAGTTTTGAATACAAATTTATCTTCAACTATATATATACTAGCTTTCCGCCCGCAGCTTCGGCAGCGTGGAGTTCGGTTATATCGCGTTTCCAAGAGAACCTTTCAAAACTATCCTATGTTCTTTCTCAAGGTCAACTCTGTCTGTACCAAATTTCATTAAAATCAGTTCAGTGGTTTAGGCATTAAAGCGTAACAGACAGACAGAGTTACTTTCGCATTTATAATATTAGCTGGGATATATGTATATAAATCTTACTAAGTCAAAACATGGTACTAAATGATAGTAAACTAATTCTGTTGCTCTAACTTTAAGAAGAGTATAGATAAGAAAACATTCACAATGTAGCCGTCGGAAGAAATATTCAGAATAGTTATAAATGAAAAATATAGTAGCTGTAATACATATAAGATGCTGTTTGAGTATGGACAAGAATAATCTGAATATTGGTAAAGATATCAAAAACAATTACTACAACTGTTATTTTTAGAATAACTGTGAAGATAGCCCTAGTATGTTTATTTCAAATTGTGTTAGGTAGAGAGAGGAGCTTGTACGGTGGAGGTGATTGTTTAACGTTAGATAGGGTCCCTTAAACCTACACCTGGGTCACAAGTACCAGTCACTGTTGAAGCTCCTCTCACTACAACGATGGACCTGGCACACGCACCGTGAATATATGGAATGATGAGAAGATTTGTCTTAATTCATCATCAAATTACATACAGGGTGACTGGTGAATTACTATCGATATTTGAGGACGTGATATTTGACGATCATATATGACAAAATAAAAATTAATATAACATAAATATTAATAAACTTCTAAGTAAAGTTAACCGAAAGTTGTGTAATTAATTACGCATCGTATGAACACCCTACAGATTAGGTATACACTGACACTCACACATACGCGTGTCGTGACGTAGTGTTGTATCAGCACGCCGCCGCACGCGTCCACACTTGAACACTTGGAACGTGTCAACACTTTATTTATTTATACGGAAATTTTGTCAAAAATTAAGTGTCTATTTTTTTTACATAATTCGAATGAGAATCATGTACCGAGTATTCTCCTTAAATATTGATAGTAATTCACCAGTCACCCTGTATATATGTAATGGACAGTGATATAAGCTTTGGAATCAGGATCTACCCATCAAGTCATACAATTATCAGTAAATTTCATAATTGGCAAAACATAGAACGATAAAATTCCTATAAATACTAGTATTTAATGTTGCTTTTGTTGCAGAGAGGCGAAACTGGCTATGATGAAGCTGAACAAGACTGAACCGTTGAGACTAAACATTAACATAGCACATAAGGTTAATATATAAATATATAACAACATACACACACACACACACATATATATATATATGTATAACTAATATATAATAAGAAAGTAACTGATCATGAGGAAACCTGGAGTTATAATTTCACAATTATAAGTTTGAAATCACCAACTCGTCTTGAGAAAGCGTGGTGATTAATGCTATAACCTTCTCCATGTGAGAAGAGGCCTTTGCTCAGCAGTGGGCTCTGATAGACTGATGATGATGATGAAGAAAGTTACTATCATTCAATATAATCATGTATTGTTAAGAAAATTACAAGGAAATACTATTGACTTATCTTGTTTAAATTTATGATTTTCTACAGAAATACTTGTGGTGGTTTTTAAGTTCATTTAATTCTTATGGTCTTTAAAACCAAGCAAGCAAGCCAGGGTTGTGATATGTCTTACAATGTATTATTGGAAATTAATTAGATTTATATACAATACTTAAATTTTAAAAAATATAAAGACCTCTCTCAATACTCATATTCCTAATTATCTTAAGACTTAAGTAGCTGTGCTTATACTTAATATTATTTTATTCAAATTATAGACCATTCTTATATTATTTTTAAATGATTGTTTACTTGTTAAAATATATTTCATTATATATATGATACTAAATCAACAGAAAAATAATCAAGATTCGAGGGAATCAAGGGAAGACACGAGGAAAATGAAGCAGAGAGATTCAAGCAGTTACCGAGATGATGCAAGCATTAGTAGTAAAGGAAGGAGGTGAGAGAGATATACATGTAGCTAGATTCTTCTTCTACCTAGCAATTTCCCAGCTTTAGCCAGGTTCTGCCTTATATGTTGTGAATAGTTATGGCTAATTGTTTTTACGACCGGCCGCCTGCCTGACATCAACCCTCTTTGGGAATGCATTAATCAGATGTCTAAATACTCTTATAAAGTATATATGACTTGGGAACATCACATTGGTACTTGCCAGGATCGAACCTGCGCCCTCATGCATGAGAGGCGGGCCTCTTAACCACTAGGCCATCACTGACTTAATGTAGCTAGATGTATGAGTGTTACACGAACAGCTGTTGCGACATGCGATAGATGGACGAAAAAATATTACTATAATGTATTTGATTTAAGCTGAGCTTTGCATGTGTGAGTGTACACGGATAGTGTAGGTGTGATGTCAAATTTTTGAATGAAACATTCTTTTCTAGTTTTGAACCGGTTTATTCTTATTTTACTCCGCCCCGCACTTTCCGCACTTCACCCTTTGTACTGGTACCAAAATCAAATATTGAAAATGCAATGTCAAGTGAATGAGAATTTGTATAGTTTTTTTCCAATTTTTTATTAATCAATAATTTTTTTTCCATAATATTAATAATATTTCCATCTGGCCTTTACATGTTTTGCTTATTTTATAGCACTTATGCTATGTATCTATTTAAAATATAATCAAATTTAATTTGAAAAGTTTTTTGTCTAACTCTACTTTTACTTTCACTCACACAAAAGCTCAGATTAAGTCTAACGTACTATACATAGTATTACTAGTATTACTCTCCGCGGAAGAAGTGAAACTTTGTAATGTTGGAATTAATAATGAGATTTAAGATTTTTGCGAGTACTCATTTAAATGAAACTAATATTTTTTGATTTAGGTACTAAGCGATTTTTTATTTTTGACTATAAACTACATTGGAATGAATACAGGAAGGGGTAGAATTTGATTTTTAATAAATTATTAGTGTTTCTTTAAGACTAACTTTAACATTACTTATAAGTCGCAATTGATTGCCCAAATGCGTTAGAGTTACACGCATTCACTCTCGCTCTGTCTCTTTATGGTTAAACATTTAACGCAACCTTGTTGTAAGACTCATAAAAAGTTTCAGAAATCATTTCTTTTACTATTTCAATACAATTTGTACAATTAATTGTTATTTAAAAAAAATATATTAATTTAGTCATATTGATATTTTTGAAGTGATCTTAATTTTCGAGTACGATTGTTCCTATTCATCGTTTTTTTTTAAGCTCGCGGTTGTACAAATTACGTGTATTTTTTAATAATTAATACTAAGGTTTTGAGAAAAAAAAAACGATTGTGCTGGACATAATATTACATATTAATTATTATTATTTGTTATTTTATGAAATATCAATATGTACATAAGTAAAAGAAAGTTAAGTTAAACTATTTTTAAATCGAGAGCGTCTGTTTTTGACTGAAAATATGTGGAGACGTAGATTAGAATTTTATTGACAAAATAATTTTCATCCCGTCCGAACAAAAAAAAACAATTAAATCTTAAAACTCCTTATCCACTGCCGCTAAGGTGGAAAAGAATTTACGCGTGAAACCATTTCTTATGCTAAACTAACGCGGACGAAGTCGCAAGCAAAAACTAGTTATTTTATAAATATTAAATATCCAAATGTGATAAGCTGTATATTATCAATCGTTGTCAAATTAATGTCGGTACATAAAAAAGTCACTTCAACCAATGGCGTCCGCTTTAAATTTTATATTAAAGTGCTTTATACGCTTTATACTTTTAATAGTTTAATGGAAAAGTAACGAGAATAAGCGCTTGAAGCGATACATTTAATACATTTAAAATTTTGCATTTGAGCGTTTTTTCGTATTTCGTCAGTGAAGCTTTGTTTTGTTATTATTTAATGAGAAAATTTCACATGAATAAAATAAATTTGTGAGTTAAGTGTTTGTGGAATATGAGTTATAATATGATGTTGCAAAAGTATTTTGATTCCATGGATAAAAACGAAACGAAGTGAGTTACTATTGTACATGTTATACTATTTACATTATTGCAACTCAAACAGGCATTTAAGTATATTTTTCGTATCTAATATATAAATATAGTTTTTCTTACATCGTAAATCGTAATTTTAACAGCTTAGAGTCTAGGTTCCTTTCATCTTTACGGTAAAATGGAACTTGAAAGATAATGAGTTTATAATATGCTAATGAATTACGTGGTATCAAGAAAAAGCATCGAAATTATCCCCAATTATCAAACAATATAATGAACATGACTTCTATTACAGTTTTTGTACGAAATGTATATATTTTTTTATGTTTACATTTTCAATCAAACTTTTCGTATTGTTCAATAATTTCAATATACCACTCTGTAGTAAATAGTAATGCGACTTGCTTTCATGAGTCAAAAATATCTTAATTATTTCGAATAGATGAAAAAAGTTTTCCAATCACGTCAATCATTCGATTACAATTCAATATGTGCACTGAAAGAACTGCTTTTAATATTTTATATATACAGGAATGATTTTCTTTGCACAAATGTGTTCTTTTGCACAAGTAAAGATTTTTAAATATGTATTTTGTTTAATTTTTCAATATGGATAGGCCAAGATCTGAATTCATGATATCCGTTTAACTAGTCTTCTTCTTTCTTGCCTCTTTACATTATTTGAGGTTGGCTCTGTTTAATTAGTATTATTCGTTTTTTATTTTGTGTGAATTGGGTTTCTCTTTTAATCTTTGCTTTGGTCTTAAGCTTTGGATCCTTAGACCTTAATTTAAAATCTTACAATGATTATACATAATAGATTTTGTTACAGACCATGTATAACACATTTTTTTGTTTAATAATTTAATAGTTTAATAATAGTTTATTTGCTCGAATATGGGTTAACAAAGGTATTTAATACATTTACAGTGGTCCATATATTCTGCCGATTTGGTGTGCAAATATTTTTGAATAAACTAATAATACTACTAATGAATTTACTACAATTACAAATATAAAGTTTATAGTTTACAATTTAAATAAATAATTTTCAGTATTTGGCAAAATCAAAATCATAAAGTCTAGATTAATGATTACTATATCTTAAATGGATTTCTCTTGTATTTTATAAAATTAACCTTCTCAATACTTAATTTACCACTTATTCTAATAAGTACATAGATACAATAAATGCACTACAAATTAGGTTGTTGTAAATTGCTTTTTGTTTTATTAGAGGCATTGTCTGAAGGAAATATTAATATAAAAATATATAATATATGTTGATACTTAAAATATATATTCTTTTTTTTATTTTACAGAAAGCATGACGAGTTTACGAATGGCAATGTCAATGAATTGGACGACCCAATGAACGATGATGATTTGGTAAATATAGTTTGATTAATACATAAATGTAAGATATATATATGTATTCTACTACATTTTGATTAAATACATTTCTGTAAAAGGTTGCTTTATATTTTCATGTATTTCAGTTTTTAGTTTACAATAAATACTAGATTGAAATTCAGTCTAAGAGTATATAATAAAAGTAGTGTAAAATATATAATGTTATTGAATATATTATGTATACCATTATAATCTCCACCATGATAATACTAGGGCTTAGACGAAGTGCTGGACACCGAGTTAGAGCTGGAACTGACCCAGCTTCGTTTCCAACAACTCAAGCTGCAGCAAGCACAGCTACGCTGCAAGCAACAGATGCTGCTGCTCAATAAAGGAAAGAAGGGGGTAAGTCTTGTATTGATACTTGAAGACCCGGCGAACTTCGTATCGCCCTATAATCTAGAAATATCTGTTACGTTTTTTATTTACATTTTTGGAGTTTACCTATAAGCCATAAATCTAGGTGTTTTGAAGTGCGACAGAATGATTGACATATTAGTTAGTTGTCAAATCTAATGTCAAAAAAAAGTTTGTATCAACAAGTACTAATAAATTAAAAATTCTTTGAAAAAACATTGTCCAGCGGACAAAATTGTGAATCTAAACCATTCCCAGATCCCCTTGAACACACAAAAAATTTCATCAAAATCGGTCCAGTCGTTTGACAGAAGTTTAGTGACATACAAACTCACAGAAGAATTATATATAAAGTTATAGAAGTTGGTTATAATCTTCTCCATGTGAGAAGAGGCCTTTCAGCAGTGGGCTCTGATAGGCTGATGATGATGATGATATTATAAATGCGAAAGTAACTCTGTCTGTCTGTGACGCTTTCACGCCTAAACCACTGAACTGATTTTAATGAAATTTGATACTCACATAGAGTTGACCTTGAGAAAGAACATAGATAGTTTTTATCCCAGACTTTTGAAAGGTTCTCTTGGAAACGCGATATAACCGAACTCCACGCGGGCGAAGCTGCGGGCGGAAAGCCAGTGATGATAAAGAAGTTGGTTATATCATAGTAATATCTTCTTCCAAGTGATCTGAACTATATGATGTTTAATAAGTTTGGGTTCAGTATGTTCTTCCTGGCAATTTCCCAGCTATAGCCAGGGTCTGCCTTCCTTAGCCAGTTTGGATTCAGTATATAATAGTATAAATCCATTATCATTGCTAAATTATGATTATTGATTTAAAAAGATATTATTTTCTCCGGTTAGGAATTCCAATATCTAATTTATAGCGTCATTTACATATGAACTTGTTTTTCAAACACTATAATTCATGTTTTTTTCTTTATATCACTTGTTTTATAATATTGAAAGTTTTTGGTAATTTTGTATGTCTGATAAATTATCTTTATTCATTTCAGGGATCAAAGTCTAGTAGATGTATTTTGCCGGACGGAAGGATTGTTGTCAGGACTACTAGTGACAAGTAAGGAGATTAATCTATTCTAATATTATAAAGCTGAAGAGTTTGTTTGTTTGTTTGTTTGTTTGTTTGTTTGTTTGAAAGCGCTAATCTCCGAAACAACTGGTTCGAATTGAATAATTCTTTTTGTGTTGGATAGTCCAGTTATCGAAGAAGGCTGTAGGCTATATAAAATCACGCTACGACCAATAGGAGCAAAGATATAATGGTAAATGTGTAAAAAACGGGAGAAGTTATTTCATCTTTGAAGCCTTCCGTTGCGTGCGCCGTGAAAACGGTTCAAGATACACAAAAAATATGTAGTAAAGAATAATAGCTCTTTTAATGATCTAAAAAACAGTCCGCGACAGTATATGTCTATCTTTTAAGATTAACTCACAAAAACCGTTTTTATGGTACCTAATTTGGTCGAAATAATTTGTTAAAGTTGTATCAATATAATAATATTAATCTTTATTCAAATAAACAAATAAATATGTTGTTGGTTAAGAGTACTTCATTGTGAATTTAAAAAAAACATAGGTTTTATCCTGAAAAGTCTACGGGAACTCGACCATTCCGAAAACCCCGCAAGAACGGTAACTATGTGGGAAGAACCAAAAATCTGCCGGAAGTCACTATTCCACGCGGACGTAGTCGCGGCAAAAGCTAGTTTTATAATATTTGTACTTAGTATTGGTTGATTATCAAACAATTGAAGTGCCTTAATAATTATGGGTAGTTTTATAATTTGATATATAGGTGGAACAATGGATTACTTCTCAAATACTATTTTTAAATATTAAATATGTTTTGGATATTTCTTGATTATTATGTGTGTATATACATATATTTAGGTTAACTGAGTACTGACTGTCATAAAGATTTCAACATACATATATTTTATGTGGAAAATATAGTTCAAATTATATAGACTAGTACAGAAATCCAAATTCATTAATGAGCTTTTGGAGGTGATCGTTTAACGTTAGATAGGGACCCTTAAACCTACACCTGGGTCACAAGTCACAGTCACTGTTGAAGCTCCTCTCACTACAACGATGGACCCGACACACGCACAGTGAATACATTGAATGATGAGAGGTTTCGTCTCTCTATATATATTAAACCTACACCTGGGTCACAAGTCACAGTCACTGTTGAAGCTCCTCTCACTACAACGATGGACCCGACACACGCACCGTGAATACATTGAATGATGAGAGGTTTCGTCTCTCTATATATATTAAACCTACACCTGGGTCACAAGTCACAGTCACTGTTGAAGCTCCTCTCACTACATAACTAAATATTCCTACTATTATGCTTAGTTTATGAAGAATGTATCATTTTTTTGTGTGCATATGTGTTATATGTGCTCTAGCTTTTGCCTGCGGATTCGTCTGTGTTAACTTGAGAATTATGCTCAGATATTTGTACAGTGTAATAAAGGAATACATACATATGTATATAGTAACCAAAATGTAGTGTAGAGTAATTTTATGATATATGTCACTTAAATATACATATACTTGATGGCCCTTGTTGCTATAGGAATTTCAGGAAACTTCTTATTATGATTAAAGTTTCATCAAAATCAGTAAAGCAGTTTTTGTTTGAATGGGCAACAGATATCCATTGATGCCTCTTTCAAACATGCTCATTAAATAAAAATTTGTTTAATACAATAGATAATTCTATATGTTATTGTAATTAATGTATTAGGTATAATATTTTTAAGATATGTGTATTATATTTATATATATGTATATTTTTTCACAGATCTGACCAGCCAGACAATACATATAGCTCGGCTGCCGGTGATTCGGTGAGTGATATTAATATATACTAAGAATTATTAATTAAACTTTCTGAGCTCTTTTTATAATGGATCAATGATTTATATAGCTCTAGAGTCTAGATTTACCCCCCCCCCCTCTATATCCCTCCCTTACTTCCATATCAAGTCACATGTTTGGATTAAAATGTATATACATATATATGTATTTTAATTATTAATTGTACTATAACATACTAACTAACTAACATACATTAAGTTCTATTAACAATATATTGGATTTATTGTATTGGACTTTTAAAATGGCGTTTTCGTGTGATGAAATGTCATATTTGATACATAAATTTATCCAAATTTATTGATACTGTCTCTAAAATGAAATTTAAATTTTGTCTATATATTACTTTCTAGGGAGACGGTAAAGCGATGCGTTTATGGACGTAGGTTCGATTCTCGCGTTTTTATAAATTACATGACAATTGAATAGATATGCAAAATATTCAACATTATTTAGGTTTCTTCAGTTTAAATTCTCGATTTATGTAAGAGAAGGTCGCAAAATCTTTACATCTATACAAAAATTAAGACAAAATTCATATATATAATTTGGTGGCCCCGATTTTTTCTCAGATTAGTTAGATGCATGACGCTCAACTTGATATCTCTGACAATATGAAAAAAAACCATTTTGTTTGTAGAGGGCGTTGAACTCTTGTTCCTGTGAGCGATGGATCGGCCCCGATACTTCCGGGACGAGCACTCCCTCGACATGCGTGCTCTGTTCCGAAGATAGGAGCAATAAGAAGTCTTCACCAAAAACTAAAGTAGACACTGAGAAATCATACAGTCTGTACGGAATGGATAGGTCCAAATCTGAATTCAGTAAGATTGTTGCTAGGAAGAGTGATACTGAATTTAAGTACAGCGATATATATAGCGACAGTGACGAGGATGAAACCAATAGGTTAATAGAGTTGAGGCATTCGGACTACAATGATATAGTACACGATAGTTTGAAAATTGTAATAGCGCTAGACGGATATCCCAAGCTGAAGATGCGCTTGAAGCAAATGGAAAAATTTCAACGCAGCATCAATGACGTCATCAACATGCAATTCAAAGCCGGCCTGCTGAAGGAAACGCCGTCTTTTATAGACTATTATCTGAATAGAGGCGCCATCGTGTGCATATGCAAGGACACAGAGACCAGAGATTGGATTTTTAGGATATCGCCCGGTCTAAAAGAACGTATGTGCACGAACCTGACATACCTGAAGTGTAAAGTGAAACGTCTTTGTCTGGCTGTGATCAAAATACCAAAATCTTGTTGGCCGGCCTCCGCGCCGGATGCCTTTAAGCTGTTGCAATACTTCAATCCGACGTTAAAAACTCATCTGTGGAGGATATACTCCAAGAAATGTGTGAACGACGTGGAAATTACGTCATTTTTAGTGGATAGGGTATCTGGTGAAATTATTCGGGGCCCCAATTTTAAAAATGTCATAGATTACAGCCAGATGGAATTTGAATTGTCCGGTTATACTGAAATATATTACGAGTGTTTTATGTCTGAGTGCGAGGATCTGTCTAGTGTGGCGTCCAGGGCTAAGTTGTTGGAGGAGTTGAGGTCTTTGGAGACTACTCCGAGAATTAAATCTGAGACTGATGAAGCGAAAATCAAGAGCGATTGTGATGGAAAGACTTATGAAGTAGAAATTGATAATATGGTTGATATTCACGATGATGAGAAAATTAATGATACGGAATGGACTGACAGCAAGAATATGGAGACTATCGAGTCTGAAGGGGTTGAAATAACGGAAGTTAGCTCATCAGCGGTAGCCATGTCTGAAGCGACCGGCTCTTTGATAGAGAGCAGCGAGAATTTAGTTATCGGTAGAAATAGCAACTTGAACATAGATAGCAACCGAGGTATAGCTTACCATAGACGCACTAACTACTTGCACGTTGAGAACGAATTAAAAGTAGCGATAGTACTAGATGGGTATCCCCAAAATAAATTGGAAGGTACCCACATACGGCGGCTGAAGCATCTTTTCAAGGAATTCCTTCACAAAGATATGAAGATGCAGAAGTTTAATAATTTGATCATACCGAAATTCCAAGATATATATCTATCCAACGGAGCAGTTATATATATATGTGATAGTCTCGAAACAAAGGACTATTTGACTGAAATATTACCTAAGCTTATAAATTCGACGGGTCTTAAATTAAGTTTTAGAGATATTAAAAATTTGGTGAGGTACACGCGGGTAGTTATGAGATTGCCCAAGGAATTGTCACATTTTGAATCCCAGTATATATTGGCGCAACTTAAAATTAAATATCCCAGTCTTAGGCCGGATTGCTGGAAGTATTATTCAGATGTCGCTGGGAAACAGAAACGACAGTTTGGTGTAGAGCCTGAATCGCTAGAAGTTATCAAAAGTGTTGACTTTGATCCGGTATGCGATGGAGAGAAATTGAATTTCCGTGTTATAGATAGACAGAAACGAGATGTCAGTTTGGACGAATCTCAAGTTTTTGATGCAAAACATTCCGAAAACGAAAACACGAAGAAGGTTAGGGACAAAATCTTGAAAGCTATGTACATGTTGCTTGAACCTGAAGTATTGAACTCGCAGTTGACTAAAATCAGAGCGAATCACTATTGTGATGTTATTGAGGACGATCTAAAATTATACGTCGGGCCGGAGAATTATCCCGAAACGCGTATAGATGAAAATCTATTCCATACAATAAAGAGGACGATAGAAAATATCGTTATAGAAACCCACGGTACTAATGGAGATGATTTTATACCGAAGTTACACGACATGTATTTATTCGACGGCGTCATTTTCATTATATGCCAAAACATGCCATCGAGACTATGGATTGAGAAGAACATACCTAATATAAATTACAAGCTGGACGTCGTACTTAAAGCTACAGAGTTTAGAGGAGCTGTTGGCATTGTGAGCATGTTGGTCAAAACTGATAAAAGTACAGACGATGTAATTGATATTCTACAGAAACAGAATCCTAGATTGCGTACCAAGTTTTGGAGGAAAATTAGTACGGTACGCAGTAGGGTGAAGATTGACGCGGTCTTACAGATAGATAAGCTATCAGCGCAAGTCATTTCAAGCGACGGATTTAACGCTAAAATCGACGATAATATCGTGCAATTTAAACTAGGCCATTTGAAGTCACTAATCAAACCGATACAAAAGAGACTAGAGAAGATTTCTTCTAAGAATACACAGAAGGAAGATTCGAAAGTTCCAGAAAATGATTTATCTAGAGAGAATACCGTCAATGTAGAAAAACAGGATTCTATAAACGAAGTTGACAGCGAGAATATATTTAGTCAGTTTAAACTAAACGCTGGGGAGAGTAAGATATTCTATTACACAGGCTTGAATAGATCGGAAAAAGACTCAGCTAATAGCTTGAAAATTGATGACAATCAAGATTACATGAAGATGATATTGAAAGTACCCACGAATATTCTGCCCGATTGCAAAGACGGTCTCGACATTATATTCGATCTCCTCGAAGATAAGAACCCAGGTCTCAATACGGAGTTGTGGGTAGTTGACAAACAGTCGCAGTTCAACAAGGGGAAGTTCCACATTCTAATCGACAAGCGATCCGCCTCTGTAATAAAAGGCAAGGACTTCGACGCTACGCTAGGCGGAGAGAAAATTAAATGTCTACTGTGATTTGTATTAAAATTTTCTTTTTATAAGCATATTGACTTGGAGTTTATACGTCACGTGACTTAAACGTTTCGGTTCTATTGTAAGTTGTAAATTGTGGGAGCGTTATTGTGTAGTTCATTGACCCCCAAAAAAAGTGTAGATTTTATTTTATAAATCTTTGTATTTAATTATTATTGACTTGAGCGTTTGTTGGGTCTTCATTAATGATGAGATGTAGGCTAACACTGTACTAATAAGTAAGTATTTGATAAAATTTTGACCAAGAAATGTGATATATACCCATAATCTATATGAAATCCCAGAATGAATGATCGTATTTTTATTATATACATTAGTTTAGGACCTTTTTTATTTATTTAGGCTATTTTTATCTAGTTGAGTATAATTCTTATTTAATAAAATTTAATTTTTATTTTATTGTTTTATTTTGTTTTTATAAAGTCTAAAGATTGAAACTATTCAAAATTGGTGGATTGGTTTTTGTTTTGGAATGGAAGTTATGGAGTACTTCATAGCCATTCTCACAATACAAGGTATAATGTTCTCATGGCGATGAAACAGTGAAAAAACGTAAATATACAGGGTGACTGGTGAATTACTATCAATATTTAAGGAGAATACTCGGTACATGATTCTCATTCGAATTACGTAAAAAAAATAGGTACTTAATTTTTGACCAAATTTCCGTATAAATAAATAAAGTGTTGACACGTTCCAAGTGTTCCAAGCGTGGACGCGTGCGGCGGCGTAGTGTTGTATCAGCACGCGTGTGTGAGTGTGTGTGTATACCTAATCTGTAGGGTGTTCATATATTGCGTAATTAGATACATAACTTTTGGTTAACTTAACTTAGAAGTTTATTAATATTTATGTTATATTAATTTTTATTTTGTCATATATGATCGTCAAATATCACGTCCTCAAATATCGATAGTAATTCACCAGTCACCCTGTATATATAAAAAGTAAGAAAAGGCTATATCAGTATATTATGGCGTCATAAGAAGCTAATATTTCCACACATATATTGAAAGCAAACAGCTAAACAGGTTATTTATTAATCATGAGACCTGCTTACTACAATCTCCAAGTACGAACGAAGCAGTAGTATAAAACATTAGCATACCGAGAAATATACATTATTAAAACTAGATTTCCGCCCACAGCTTAGCCCGTGTGGAGTTCGGTTATATCGCGTTCCAAGAGAACCTTTCAAAAGTCTGGGATAAAAACTATCCTATGTTCTTTCTCAAGGTCAAGTCTATGTCTGTACCAAATTTCATTAAAATCAGTTCAGTGGTTGAGGAGTGAAAGCGTAACAGACAGACAGTTACTTTCGCATTTATAATATTGGTAGGGATTAATTATGTCCCGAGGTTTTGCTATATTTTTTCTTAGTAACCAAAGTTGCCTTTACCTTTTCCAAGTACAGATGCTATAATAATTGTACATATAAATAAAAAAATAAGTAAATAGCCTTTGCAAGTGGTAATTTCTCATTGAATGATTTGAGTTTAACTAAAAATTTAAGAAAGCAGTAGTTTTGAATTAATGGTTGAGGATATATAGTTTTCTAACTAACAGGCAGTCTAAATAAAAATTTAACACTATTTTCTGTATAAAGTATTGTATTTTATATATGAAAATTAAATAAATCAAATTGATTTCGCAGTTTTACTGTAATTTAAGAACTATACAGACTTATCACTAATATAGTAAAAATAGGTATATTATATAAATAGGAAAAATCTATTTTATACATATAACTAACATAATAACTATATAATACTAATATACTAATAAAATAATTCTCTTAAATCATCCTTTCTTATCCACATTTCCATCATATATTAGAATATGAGACCATTCCTATCTCTTTCCAATAATAAGTACCATGATCACTGTAATGCAAGTATCTTGTCAAATATTTTGATTACTCAACAAACATTAAGCAGACTATAATTGAAATGTTTCTATTGCTTATAAATTCAATCAAATGTAGATCTACTTTCAGAGCTTCCTACAAATATTGCATGAATACAAGTTGCGTAACTATTATCAATAGCTAATATAATTATTCACCAAACGATTTTAAGCTTTAAACTATTGCTTCATAGTATAGTCCATTCGATATAACTATAGTCCAAACAATTTTAAGCTTTAAACTATTGCTTCATGGTATAGTCCATTCGATAATATCTATAGTCCAAATAATTTTAAGCTTCAAACTATTGCTTCATAGTATAGTCCATTCGATATAACTATAGTCCAAACGAGATAAATGTATCTCGCACATATATTCCTCTAGCTAACTCTACCGTCGCTCCAGCGGCAATCATCGCGGGCTTGCCTATCGTGCGGTGGTTTAGCTGATTCGTACTGTAGTGGATGCGGCCTGGCTCCCTACTGCAGCACGAAATGCCAACAAAGCGACTGGAACCGCAGGCATAGATATGTCTGTCATAATCTGGCGTGGTGGGTAATCTGAAAATCATTATAGAAGAATGTTATAGTACGTTTGATGTAAGCTGAGCTTTGCATTTGTGTGAGTGTACACGGATAGTGTAGGTGAGATGTAAAATTTTTAAATGAAACGTTCTTTTCTAGTTTTAAGCCGGTTTGTACTGCTTTTACTTCGCCCCGCACCTTCCTCATTTCGCCTTTTGTACTGGTAGCAATATCAAATGTTGAAAACGCAATGTCAAGTGAATAAGAATTTGTAGTTGTTTCAAAATTCTTATTAATCAATTTTTTTTTCCTCAATGTTCAAAATATTTTCATCTGGACTTTTCCAAGTTTTGCTTATAAAATAAGCAAAACTTGGAACGTATGAATCTATTTAAAATATAATAAAATTTAATTCTAAAACTTTTTTGTCTAACTCTACTTTTACTTTCACTCACACAAATTCAAAGCTCAGCTTAAGTCTAACGGACTATAGTCACGTGAACAGGTTTTCTTTCAACATAGACCCTTCATAAGTCATTGATGACGCTTAATGAGATTTGAAGGAATTTTTTGCTGCGCCTTATTTGACAGAAAATTAAAATTATTTCCAAAAAATCCTACACTCATAGACCGTTAGACATATTGATTGTATTTCGTTTTTTTTTCTTTTATTAATATTCTCATTGTTGATCCCTTTATCCTAATTAATAAAGTGTTTTTGATTTATCAACATATTTTAAACTCACGTAATTAATGCATGTCAAAGATAAAATGAACACAAAGTAATCATCCAAATAGCTATAATTTAAAAGTACAAGGCGCCACTTGAGAACTATTAAATATAGAAATTGATAAGACTTAACTGAATAACTACGTCTAATTGATAATTATTTTACAGAAGAAGAAATTACGCTTTTATAACTTGAGCCTGTAGATTTTTAATGCCTTTGATACTCGTATATTATTTATTTATTTTTTATTTTTCTTATTTCTGTATTTCTATTTTCAGTTCAACGACCTCCGAGTTCAAAGTAAAGGAGAGTATTGATGTTCCCGAACCTGAGTTAGTATTATATCTTTATATATAAAAGAAAGTCCTGTTAGTTACACTTTTTATAACTCAAGAACGACTGTACGGATATGGAAATAGATTGGTGGAGAGATAGATTAGAACATAGAAAGGACATAGGATATTTAATTCTGTTCGATCGAAAAAGAAAAAAAAATGTTATTATATTGCTATATTTGGTTATTTAAGTCCTTTAGTACAGAATAGAGTTCGTCCGGTCAGATATACATATATTACTAATGAAGTAATTAACGCGGACAGAGTCGCAGGAAAAACTAGTATATTAAAAATTACCAAATTTAATTCAGTTACCACAAACCATTGAAATTTATTACTATGGCATTGAATGCACAAGGACATTATACAGCCTAAATAGTTTTTTTAAAATATTGTAGGGTACATAGTTTAAAATATTTAAAAAATCGGTTATATCGCGTTTCCAAGAGAACCTTTCAAGTCTGGATAAAAACTATCCCATGTTCTTTCTCAAGGTCAACTCCATCTCTGTACCAAATTTCATTATTAGAAATATTAGAAAGCGTAACAGACAGACGGACAGAGTTACTTTCGCATTTATAATATAATATCGTCATCAGCCTATCAGAGCCCACTGCTGAAAGGCCTCTTCTCACATGGAGAAGATTATAACCGACTTCTATATCTTTATACAGGGTGACTGGTGAATTACTATCAATATTTAAGGAGCATACTCGGTACATGATTCTCATTTGAATTATGTAAAAAAAATAGGTACTTAATTTTTGACCAAATTTCCGTATAAATAAATAAAGTGTGTACACGTTCCAAGTGTTCCTAGTGTGGACGCGTGCGGCGGCGTGCTGATACAACAACACGCCGCCGCGCGCGTATGTGTGAGTGTGTAGTGTAGAGTAATCTGTAGGGTGTTCATACGATGAGTAATTAATTACATAACTTTTGGTTAACTTTACTTAGAAGTTTATTAATATTTATATTATATTAATTTTTATTTCGTCATATATGATCGTCAAATATCACGTCCTCAAATATCGATAGTAATTCACCAGTCACCCTGTATATGTCTTCTGTGAGTGTGTAGGGATACTATATTCTAAGTTAAATAGTCAAATTATTATCATGTTTTTAATTATCTTTGCAGAATCTCATCTCCTGCGCCTCTACGTCAACCACACTCATCAAACAGAAAGGATTATAAGGCTGATGTCAATAATAAAACCAAAAAGGTATATATAAATACTTTATGAAGGTAGATTTTGTTTATTTAACAGTCTTCTGCCAATAATAGTTTAAAAATAAATCGTCTTGTAATATATGATGCTTATTCAAATTATCCTATATTAAAATATAATTTAATTTAATCTATTTCCAGAATTTCAACCAAAAGCAAATAAGGACTAACAGTAGCTTTCAGAATAAAACCATGAGGCGTCCTAGACTTGGTGGTAATGAAGAAAATCTAGAACAAACAGGTGATGCAGGTATGTATAACATATACAAGATATATTAGGGTTGGCTAGATATATTTTCTTCTACCTGGCAATTTCCCAGCTTTAGCCAGGGTCTGCCTTACATGTTATGAATAGTTTTGGCTAATTGATTTTACCGGCCGCGTGCCTGACATCAACCCTCTTTGGGAAAAGATTGGCCAGATCTAATATATAAAATTCTCGTGTCACAGTTTTCGTGCCCATACTCCTCCGAAACAACCTGACCGATTTTGATGAAATTTTTTGTGCTTATTCGGTAGCTATGAGAATCGGCCAACATCTATTTTTCATCCCCCTAAATGTTAGGGGTAGTCCACCCCTAAATTTTTTTTTTTATTTTTTAGACAAAATTTTTAATTACTATTCTTTTATGATACAACGTACAAAAATACATACAATCCTAAATTTTCACCCTTCTACGATCAACCCTTATTTTTTAATAGCTATTTTAGTAATTTAATCATTTTTCATCTCCGGTCGATAACTGATCAATCGTCATTTAATAAGTTATCCCCGCCAGATATCTACAGGTGTCACTTCTGACCCAGTAAACAGCACGGAGTAGGGATGAGAACGAAGCCGGTCTTCTGTTTCTCTCACACAATTAGACTTCTCTCACTCCCTACACAGTTGTCGGCCATCGTTATTGTTTGTGCATCAAGTGTAGTAGTAACGTTGACAATTATTATTTTGCTAGCTCAGTGTAACTCTCATATTAACTATTAATCATTCCTAATCACTTCAAAACACGGAGATTTATGGCTTTAATAGGTAAACTCCAAAAATATAAATAAAAAAACGTAACAGATATTTCTTGATTATAGGGCGAAACGAAGTTCGCCGGGTCTTCTAGTATATATATATATATCTAATAGTTTATTTTCTCTGAATACATTGAAATCAAACTTAAAACACCTCTACTGAAAAATTGACATTTTACACATTGCTCCTTATACATAGGAGCCATCGACATATTTACAGGGTGACTGGTGAATTACTATCAATGCTTGAGGACGTGATATTTGACGATCATATATGACAAAATAAAAATTAATATAACATAAATATTGATAAACTTCTAAGTAAAGTTAACCAAAAGTTATGTAATTAATTACGCATCGTGTGAACACCCTACAGATTAGGTATACACACACACACACACGCGTGTGGCGGTGTGCTGATACAACACCACGCCGCCACACGCGTCCACACTTGGAACACTCGGAACGTGTCTACACTTTATTTATTTATACGGAAATTTTGTCAAAAATTAAGTACCTATTTTTTTTACATAATTCGAATGAGAATCATGTACCGAGTACTCTCCTTAAATATTGATAGTAATTCACCAGTCACCCTGTATATATCCTCCACTTTATTATAAGTCCATATTTCCTCACGTTGTTTTCCTTCATCAGTCAGTAATGTCTAAATACTCTTATAAAGTACATGTGACTCGGAACATCACAGGTACTTGACAGGATCGAACCCGCGCCCTCGAGCTTGAGAGGCGGGCCTCTTAACCACTAAGCCACCACTGACTATATTAATAGATGTACATATATTGTATATAGCTTCTTATTGACCATTATATCTTGTAATATTATTATTTTATTAGCTACAATCAAATACACTTGTATTTGAGACCCAGTACTATCTTCTATACTTCTTAAATTTTATTTATTAATTATTGTGAAATAAAGCTTATTTTTTATGTTCTTAGAAATAAAAAATATACATATGTACAAATATTTACTAATTCTATCCATACAAAATTGCATGTAAAAAGTACTAAAATACATGACTAATTCTTTTTATTATATCTAAATTAAAAGATATTAATATAAATATTATGAGAAGGCACTAGATCCCAAATAAAGATGTCAATAATTTTGTAAAAACTTCAAACGAAAAAGGTCAATTAATACTTAATAAAATTTAATGTTCCAGGAAACAAACAAGGTCAAACAATCAATCACATACCCAACAAGATAGATATGAAACCAGAAACCAAACCGGAAACCGTGAAACCAAAACCAGATGACAAACCTATAGATAAGGAACCGATGAAACCACCGGCCACTGTACAAGATGTTACTCCAAAGAGCAGGACTATTGTGCCTAAAGAGTTAGTATATATATATATTTTGTTAGGAAAGAAAACACGTTATGATTTTTAGAAAATGTTTGCCGACCAATATTATTATTCAAGACTAATTAGTTCAGAGCATCTTCTCTTAACAATAGTTGAGAACATAAAGTGTCAGATTGACAGTAATGATGCTCCTTATACAGGGTGACTGGTGAATTACTATCAATATTTAAGGAGCATACTCGGTACATGATTCTCATTCGAATTATGTAAAAAAAATAGGCACTTAATTTTTGACAAAATTTCCGTATAAATAAATAAAGTGTGTACACGTTCCAAGTGTTCCAAGTGTGGACGCGTGCGGCGGCGTGCTGATACAACAACACGCCGCCGCGCGCGAGTGTGTGTGTGTGTGTGTGTGCATACCTAATCTGTAGGGTGTTCATACGATGCGTAATTAATTACATAACTTTTGGTTAACTTTACTTAGAAGTTTATTAATATTTATGTTATATTAATTTTTATTTTGTCGTATATGATCGTCAAATATCACGTCCTTAAATATCGATAGTAATTCACCAGTCACCCTGTATATTTTGTTAGGAAAGAAAACATGTTATGATTTTTAGAAAATGTTTGTTGACTAATATTAATATTCAAGAATCAAGACTAATTAGTTCAGAGTTTCTTATCTTGACAATAGTTGAGAACATTAAGTGTCAGATTGTGAGTAATGGCGCTCCTTATATACGTGGCTTGAGGGTTGATAGATTAATAAATGATTAACATTTAACAATATATATATTTAAGAATTTTTCTAAAAATATATTTCAACTACTCATTGTCATTTAATTTTTGTTACAAAAATATTAATAATTAATTGTTTTGTTACAAGTAATTCTCATGTAAGTGATAATATTGTTTTACATCATGAGATCTAAGATTTTTGCCAGTTTAATTCATTTAAATGAACACTTCATCTGCCCGTAATCACGTTGTTTTTAAGTAGCCGTAACGTCGGTAGTATGTAGTTTATAACAAAAATAAAGTCGCGAAAATATTAGTTTCATTTAATAGTGTTTTAATGGGTATAAAATATCTTAAACCTCAATATTTTTCCCCAGATATCTGCTAGAGAAGTTATCATTGAATGACACGGTGTTACTATCAGTTGATTCGGAGGAGGCCGGTGTGTTCGTATGTCTTAGTCTACATGAGACTAACGAAGATGACTACCAGCTACTGTGTGGGCAGTTCGGAGAGGAGTGTGAGGGAAGGGAAAGCGTGGTGTGAGTATAACATACAAATATATGTATATTACCCCTACGAATCAACTGTGCACTTCTCTGGAATGCGACCCCTCTCCCGCTACCCCGCCAAGCGCCCCGCATTCGTCATAAGCGCTCAGTAGTGATAGCATCTTTGTTACATTTACTTATTATTAAATATATCTTATTACAATAATGATCTTAAACTATGAAAAATATCACCGCAACAAAAAATCTAGTGTCCACTTGCCGTTTTTTTTATTGCTAAGCTGTAATATCGTATCAGTCCATATGCATTTATTGAATTAGAAAACTTCGTGAGTAAAATGACCTAGTATTATGAAGTCTTATCATAAAAACGACCCTTTATCAACAAACAAAATTATAATTTATATATTTTTTATATAATTCTCAGTTTTTTTGCAAGCAGTATCGTTCTAATGACGTCACAGAGCGAGGTGCACAGTTAATACGTAGGGGTTATATTGTTTATATTTTGGTGGTTGGTAAAATGGAAAATAATTTTCTTGAAAAATGCAATAAGTTTCATTAACACCCTTGTATAAAGTGTTTTTGTATAAGATATTAATTAGTTTTAGTTAACGTTTGGTGTATTATAAGTACAGGCCTTATAATTGTATTTTATGATTTCGTTTGAATGCTAAATATATTCATAAATTATTAGATAATTTATATATTAAATGCTACCTTATTGCTAAAATGCATCAGTGTTGCCAACATTCAAAAACAAAATGAGAATTAGGCTTAATGTTTTCAATTCTGGTCAACCCCTAAATCTCGCAATTAATAATGTATTAGACTATGTTGAAGTGGTAACTTCTTATTTGAGTGTTAACCATTTCGTAACGTAACGTAACGCGTTACGCCTCTGCATCTTGTTTCTCTTTCTCTCACGTATACTAATATTCAATTTTTACATACACAAATTACTTGTACATTCTATTGTTTTGTCTGTTTTCATTATAAAATCTTGTTTAATTATCTTGGGTCGGTGAATTAAGTAATCAAGATATTTAACCATCATATAAGATGGTACTATGTAGCTTGTATACAAAAATCATATTTTAACTCGCTATTGACAGCTTAATAAAAGTGATACGTGGTGTGTAGACTATAATATATATGTTTATATTTTTCAGTCCAAAACCTGGTGATCTATTCGCGCTATTCTACTCGGAAGACGGCGCTTGGTATCGCGCTAGGCGTTTGTCAAACAACCGCGTCGCTCTCATAGATTCCAGTAAAGTGGTAGATATTAACTCAAACGACAGAATGGTAGAATTACCTCCTAAATACATTCAAATACCGGAATGCTGCTGTCAGTTAAAGGCGAAAGTTAAGGTAAATTTGTTTTCTACTCTCTCTCTTTATGTGAGAAGTATTGTGAAGGAATTAACACTTACTTTGTAGTTAGTAGTATGTAAAATATATTGGTCTTATAATTAATATCTATCTCTAATACTAATGTAAAACTTTTTTATTAATAAACTTTGAACTATTTCTATTTAAAGTCATGGTGTAGATTTTGTATCTATTTTTTCTTTGATATTTCGCCCACATAGTATATATATGTAATTTGTTTTTCAGCTGGGCGATAATCTAAAGTGTACATTGGTGTCGAAAACTAGTGATGGCTTCAGGGTTTCCTTACGGAATGCGGAAACGGATGTTGATATGGGGCAAGGTGAAGTTAAAAGATGGAAACCAGCCGTGGAGTATGAAGTTGATAAAACACATGGTATATTGATAATAATTATTAGTTATCTTCTTCTACCTAGCAATTTCCCAGCTATACCCAGGGTCTGCCTTGCATTTAGTGAAAAGTTTTGGCTAATTGTTTTTACGACCGGCCGCCTGCCTGACATCAACCCTCTTTGGGAATGCATTAATCAGTGATGTCTAAATATTCTTAGAAAGTACATATGACTCGGAACATCACATTGGTACTTGCCAGGATCGAAACCGCGCCCTCGAGCTTGAGAGGCGGGCCTCTTAACCACTAGGCCTCCAATGACTATTATTAATTATTAGTTAGCGTTAGTAAATAATCGTCTTGAAGTTAATTGTTTATATTTTTTATCTTGTTTCGTTGTACTGTGTTTAATAATCATGTCTCATTCCAATGAATTCGGTTACAAATAAATATGTTACTTCGTCATCATCCTATCAGAGCCCACTGCTGAGCAAGGCCTCTTTCTCACATGGAGAAGGTTAGAGCATTAATCACCACGCTTGCTCGACACGGGTTGGTGATTTCAAACTTATAATTGTGGAACTATAAGTCCAGGTTTCCTCACGATGTTTTCCTTCACCGTATATCAGTATACATATAATATGTTACTTATATGTACTTAATTAATTTTATATATCTTTGTTTGTAGCTTAAAACTTAAAATTATCAATTTTAAATGAAATATGGAATATTATAATCTATATAATATTTTATTTCCTCATTTCGGTTTTAACATCGTAAATAATGTTCGCACATTCAAAGCAATAAGTTTGAGCTAGTATAGTAATATAAAAGGTATGTTTATTTATAATTTTTCATTTCTAACTTATAGGCACATTATTTACAATTTTTTCCGTATATTTATATTTAAAATAATTTAATATGTTTTATATATAAACTTTATATTTTTTTGAAAGTTTCGCCAATATTTTAGTTCTCACTAAAACAGATAAAATTTTCATAACTCCTGCTTAAAGATTAGTAACTCTAATTTTTGTAAACCTGGACTTATAATCAAATTATAAGTTTGAAATCACCAACCCGTCTTGAGCGAGCGTGGTGATTAATGTTCTAACCTTCTCCATGTGAGAAGAGGCTTTACAGCAGTGGGCTCTGATAGGCTGATGATGATGACGATTTTTGTCACTACTATATGTCTCGAATCTACCGTATACCAATTTGAAATCACTAACATAATAAGTAGTCGGGGATTGTGCTAATCCACGTAACTACCATTGGATAATTATTTAGTGTTTAATTTATTTTTAATTGTGAAAAAAAAAACTACCTTAAAAGTAGTCAATATAGAAAATATTTCAGCTCAAACTTTCTTCTGATAATCTGCTACCAATGTTACTGCTACGTGGAATTATAGTACAATAATAGTTACACGGATTTGCACTATCCCCGACAATACATTACATATATTTTCAGCGGCCATACCGGAAGTACCACGGCCATCTTTATCAAATATGGCTGCCGTCTTCCTAGTACACAATTCAGGTGTTGATATGTTTGTTCGTCCTGTTGGAGTCAAACTACAAGGTGTATTTGAGAGTCTCATACAAGATGAAGTGGCTGCTGGGATGAAAGGTATCTTAATTCTATACCAATAAGATAAAAAATGCTTAAATTTGTCATGGAGTATGTATGTTGCTCTTACATAGAAAATATTGGAGAGATTTTGATGAAATTTACCATTCACGTAGTTTAGATATTTGTATAGTATATAATGTATCATTCAGTCCGCGTAGTTCCCGGGAACACTTCATAACAGATGTATTGTATGAAGTAACGACACGCGATAGATGGCGCTGACTGTTGGTTCATATATATTATATTAAAAAAAACATTATTAATCTCTGTCATTTGTTTTAAACACGGACAAAGTTACTGACAAATCTAGTTATAAATAAATTATGTACTAATATCGACTATTCTAATATACATATATACTAGAAGACCCGGTGAACTTCGTGTCGCCCTATAATCAAGAAATATCTGTTACGTTTTTTTATTTATATTTTTGGAGTTTACCTATTAAAGCCATAAATCTCCGTGTTTTGAAGTGCGACAGAATGATTGACATATTAGTTAGTTAACAAATCTAATATAAAAAAAACGTTGTATCAACAACTACTAATTAATAAAAAAAAAACATTGTCCAGCGGACAAAATTGTGAATTCAAACCATTCCCAGATCCCCTTGAACACACACAAAAAATTTCATCAAAATCCGTCCAGTCGTTTGAGAGAAGTTCAGTGACATACACACTCACAGAAGAATTATATATATAAAGATATATATATTTCCAGCTCTTCCTTTCAAAGATCCACCGCGCGCCGGTCAGACGGTGCTATGTCAACATACAGACGGCCTCTACTACCGCGGGCTCTGTAAGAGAACTAACTTCAAGAAGAACAAATACATGATCGAGTTTATTGAATACGGTGAGATATATATTTAGTATCGAGAGTATTCTTCTTCCTAGCAATTTACCAGCTATAGCCAGGGTCTGCTTTACATGTGAATAGTTTCGGCTAATTGTTTTTACGACCGCCCGCCTGCCAGACATCAACCCTCTTTGGGAATGTATTAATCAGTGATGTATAAATACTCTTATAAAGTACATATGACTCAGAAAAATCACATTGGTACTTGCCAGGATCGAACCCGCGCCATCATGCATGAAAGGCGGGCATTTTAACCACTAGGACACCACTGAGAGCATTATGTCTCACTATCAATAATGTATAATATATATAGTATTAGTATTATTTAGTATTTCTTTCTTTAATAATCTTCTAATATATAAAATTTCAATATCACAATGTTAGTTACCATACTCCTTCGAAATGGCTTTACCGATTTTTACCAAATTTTATATATGTATTCAGTAGTTCTTTTTATTGGCTAGTATCTATTTTTCATACACCTAAGTCATAAGGGTTGTTCATCCTTATTTTTTTGTTTTTATTAGAATATAATGTGCCATTAAAAATATATACAACCCTAAAAATTTACTTTTTTATCTCCAACCCCTATTTTTTTTATATCAATCAATGTTTTCCATATCATCAGCTAATAATATTATATAAATTTTATTACAGGCAACACTGTTATTACTACATTAGAGAAATTAGCTCTATGTCCTGAAGATTTGGATATAATGAACAGACCAACACCAGTTTCTGTCGTCAAATTAGATTTGGAGATTGTGATAAATGATAACGGACAACAGTACTTGGAGAAAATTAGGGATGATGAAGTGGAACTCATAGTGGTGAGTGATGGGCCAACTTGGGCCAACGTTGGTAATATATAAGATTCATATACGTACCAGCTGCGTCCCGCGGTGTTACCCGCGGATTTCCGGGATGTAAAGTAGCCTATGTGTTATTCCTGGATATCAGCTTCCTGTATACAAAATTTTATCAAAATCGCTTCCAAGAGAACCTTTCAAAAGTCTGGGATAAAAGCTATTCTATGTTCTTTCTCATGGTCAACTCTATGTCTGTACCAAATTTCATTAAAATCAGTTCAGTGGTTTAGGCGTGAAAGCGTAACAGACAGACAGAGTTACTTTCGCATTTATAATATTAATTATTAGTAGTATACATATTTTAAGATATACATTATATTATTGCAGTATAGTATTATATTATTCTGTGTATTAAATTTCAGAACTCAAAGGATAAATCGGCTGTCATTCAAAGCGGTTCTGTGGTTGATTTGGTTGACAAGAAAACAAAGGAATCGTTGACCAAAAAATTGGAGATTGTGTGTTCACCGGAATGGAAGAAGATTGAACAGAATGGAGGGGATGTTGTTGGTAAGGAAAGATAAAAGATAAATAGTGGGGAAAGATATATGAGACGAATCCTCTCATCATTCCATATATTCACGGTGCGTGTGTCGGGTCCATCGTTGTAGAGAGAGGAGCTTCAACAGTGACTGGTACTTGTGACCCAGGTGTAGGTTTAAGGGACCCTATCTAACGTTAAACGATCACCTCCACTGTACAAGATCCTCTCTCTACATAATTTGAAACGAATCTACTAGGGCAGTCTTCGACGCACGTTCCAAGAATGAACTAATTAACTTATGAACGTTCTAAAACTATTGTTTATACAGAATATTTATTTATTTATGTTTCAACACAACATAAACCTAATTTTTTCATAAATATACGAAATTCTTACTAAAACCCTAATAAATTTACTAAATTTAAGTACTAAGTTACTTATCATCACATTAGTAACTAATAAGAAAATACTAGGGCTGCCTTCGAAGTACGTTCGAATCGTTTAGTTATGTATATTGTAGAAGATTGTCAAAAAGTATGCATATATTATACAATGTTGTATTTAATATGAAATTGTTAATTTTTTATTCTCTTATATAATCTGTCACTGTATAGATTAATTATTACTTTTAATCTGTGGTTATATTAAAATGGTATAACATACATTATTCCTCATTTGCTTGAATATATACATATAAAACAAAGTCGTGTTAGTTACACTATTTATAACTCTAACGACTGTACGGATATGGATGAAGATTGGTGGAGAGATAGATTAGAACATAGAAAGGACATAGGATACTTTAAAAAAAAAATTGTTGATCAAATCCAAAATCATCTTATCTACTGTCTTTAAGGAGGAATAGAGTTCGCCTGGTATATACATTTCTAATTATTCTGATTAACGCAGACAAAGTCCTGGGCAAAAACTAGTCCCTACTAATATTATAAATGCGAAAAGAACTCTGTCTGTCTGAACTGATTTTAATGAAATTTTTACAGACATAGAGTTGACCTTGAGAAAGAACATAGAATAGTTTTTATCCAGACTTTTGAAAGGTTCTCTTGAAAACGGGATATAACCGAACTCCACGCGGGCGAAACTGCGGGCGGAAAGCTAGTTAAGTATATAAAAACTATTATTAATATAATAATATATTTTATTTCAGATTGCGAGCCGTTAATGTACAGTTCGCTTGAATACTTTGATCTGCCGTCTTCTAAGTGCGAGTTGTGCGTTTTGGATATCAGTACATTCCGCGAGGGGGCGCTGGGTGTGTGTGACGTAAGCATCGGTCATGAAAAACGGCTTCAAGCTCTCACGGAACAGGTAATAGTGAAAAAACTACATATTTGATAGTTAAAACTGAATACGTAACGTTTTCAGTCTAAAAATCGTATTTTACACGTACTAAGTCAATTTGGGTGCATGAAGAGGAAAGTATATGGACTTTTTACAAGGAATGGTCACTAAATTGATGATTTATTGAATATGTGAATTATAAATTTTTTTGGTTCAGTTATTTTGTGCATTTCTCTGAAATTCTAAACAAATTGACCGAATTGAATGAATCTTTCTATACGCGTAAGATGATTTAGATTTAGAAAAGATTGCAACGTAGCTTGCTATATGTACTTTTTACCTTTTATATATTTCTTTGTGAAGAATTCATTCACATAGATAAAGTCGCGCTCAAAAACTAGTATATATATGATATTGTTTATTTCAGATTGAAGCCTACGTAAAAAGTGATCTCGGTAAAGATCCCTACCTACCAAAGATTGAGGAGCTCTGCCTGGCGCCTTGCCCACCGTGTAATATATATTATATAAATTAATATCATAAGTATATAGCTTAGAGTATATTCCTTAGACACAAGCAGGATTCGAATCAAATTTCTTTGACAAAGATACATTATTATCTAGTTTTAATCACTTTGCCCATTAAACTTTTGTATCAACTATGATTTAATAAGTTTGTATTGATATTTAATTGAACTATTTGTCTTAATATTACTTATATTGTGTGTGTTAAAATTTAAAATGTTATATGATAATTTTAATATGACTATTAAAACATTCTTGCAAAGAAATATGGATGAGAGTTGTTTAGGAAATATTAATAGTATGCAAAAAATATTGGATGACTTATAATCATCATTACTGTTATTTGAATGTTTAAAAAAAATATGTTATAGGTAGGTCCTAACAATATTATAAACTAATGTGAGTGAGCATAACATGTATGTATATTTTCACTGTTTCATTCGAAAACTACTTAACTGATTTTCATGAAGTTAGACAGTATATAATGTATCGTTCAGTCCGTGTAGTTCCCGGGAACACTTCATAACAGATGTATTGTGTGAAATAACGACACACGATAGATGGCGCTGACTGTTGGTTCATATATATTATATTAAAAACAATATTTGCTCTCAAGGTTGCACTTCACTTGGTGTTTATTTGTTGTTCGTCCCAATAAGAGCATGTGTGGAGGATATATTCGTCTTCATTTGACATATTCGCACAAATAAGACACAGACACAAATAAGTGGAAACACGTAAAGACGTGTTGACATGCGAAGTGTGGATGTCGTGTTTGCGCTATTTGGACTGCGTACAAATATAAAACATTATATTTGTTGTTTTTATCCAGATCCCCAGTACTTCAGGGCCGTGTTGTGCAGTCACACGGCTGGTTCCAGCGAGGCGACGGTCTGCTATGTGGACTACAACAACGTGGACACGGTGGACGTGGCGAGCATCAGGAAGATGATGAGGGACTTCACGCACACGCCCGCGCTCGCCTGCCACGCGGAGATTAGAGGTTGGTACATACACACACAGACACGTAGATAGAAACATATACATATAGGCACACACAAGCGAACAGACACACACACATACACAGATAAACACACACGCAGACACAGGCAGCACACACGGCGACACATATATACAGGCACGCATGTAGACACACGATACGCATACATAGAAACAAGTACATACATACACATGCACAGGCAGATGGTACACACACATCGTCTACATACACGCTCACACACGCGCGCGCAGGAACATTAATATCAAATTGACAGTTATCTGAATACATGCTTACCGGATTGATTACATATTAGACCATCACCAGTTTATATACATATACTATGTATATAAGTGATAAAATACATTGTTTTACTAGGTCCCTGTAACAACATGGCTTCAATAACTTGTTTTCAATAATAATTTGCTCAGTTTATACTAGATCTTCAGCTAAAAAATGTTTATCATCTATCTTTAATATTGTAGGTTTTCCGTCCAAACCATCAGATACACAGCTGGCTCGGGCATTGGAATACATGAAAATCGATGACCAGGGACGAGGAAAACTATCGGTGGAAAAATGTGAGAAAATTGATCCCGGCTTCTATATAGTTGATGCTCCCGAACTACTGGCTGCTATGATGCAGTGATAGTGATGGGAAAAAGTTAATAGTGATGGGAAAAGTGTTTAGTGTTAGTGTCGATTGTGAATTAAGTGATCGTTGCAGCTTTATGTGTCGATTGTGTAATATATCACTATGGTGATAAGGCAAAGGTCATATGTTAAACACAATTAAGTTTTTTTGTAAATTGTCGTTATATCTGTGAGAAAATGTCGAATGGAGTAAAGAGGTTTTGTTAATGTATTTTCAACCTCTTTGGTTATTCTTAATGAAGAATTTGAAGTACACAGTTGTATATTGTTGAGTATAGTGCAAATCCTCGTAACTAGCATTGGATAATTCCACGTATCTACAAGGTAGTTTATAAATTAAACACTAAATAATTATTAATTGTTAATAAATTATCTGAAATCTAGTTAATATAGAAAATATTTCAGCTCAAACTTTCTTCTGATAATCTTCTTCCAATGTAGATACGTGGAGTTATACAATGATAGTTACGAGGATTTGCATTATCACCGCTTATATGTTAAAACATTTTTTGTATGACATTTAATATTTCTTGACTAAGTTATGTTACTTTTGTACCCGACTATTGGCGCCATCTATCGACTATGTAAAATAACTTTATTGTATGGGACATATTAATTTGATTTAATGACTGATAGCTGATACTTTAAGTTCGTATATATTTTCTACATAACTAAAGTTATTTGCTTTTGTTTTGTTTTAAACTTATCAATTAAGTTTCCAAGTGGTTATAATAACCAGTTTTTGAACTCTTTCTGAATCCCTCGGTTGTATAAAAGGGTTGCAGTTCATAATTTTACACGTCTTGAGCTTATTTGGTTGAGAATAATATAACAATTGTTTTGAGTATAATTTCCTCTTTATATGTGGCATAAAAGTCCATATTTTTTGGCCACATTTGATTACTTTGATTTTCTTTAAGTCCCAAAGCATTTTTATGGTGAATTGCCACAATTTATCTACTTTTTCACCATTTTTTTCCTTACACTATCTTTTGCAGATATTTTTCACATACATTTTCAATAATTTTTCTACTGCTTGGTAACAATTTTATGTTACGCTTTTTGCAGTTACCAGTAAGAGGTAACATTTGTGTTAGTTGAATTTAATACATTGAGATAGTCAGATCGTTTTCCGTAGCCTGTAATATATTTGTGGCTATTGTTTTGTTTCTTTACACATTAATTACGTAGGATGGCAACTTGAGGTTCCAGGAAAACCATGAAACATACTTATATGTATATTATAATAAAAATTTCATATTAAAACTTATAACCTACACCTAAGACTACATGATTGACCCGATGTTGTGATATCAATACCATTCCATAGCTTGTGTGTATCAGGAATCTTCTGGTTCACACGCTTGGTGTTCGTTCCGCGGAGTCAGCGGCGTCAAGTTATATATTATATATACAACGATGTGGCCCCGACGATGTTCATTTATTTTTTTCTTGATATATAGCGCTTACGTTATATATTGACTAATTTGTTTCTGGTACATCTTTGTATTTTTAGGTATCACTAAGTAAATAGTATATTAGCATTACTACTATTTTATGTCAAACTATACTTTCAGTGTTAAGTTAGTTTAAAACTTCTACTAAGGTTAATTTGTTTTTATTTCAGTTGTATTTGTAAAGTAGGTATGTATACCTATATTGCTTGAACATTTTTTTTCGACAATTGTTTATATTATAAACGAAAATTGAAGATTCAAATGTACATGATCAACTGAAATTTGAATGTTTTCTCGTTTCCTTATATTTTCATATTCAATAAGTTTGTTGATCTTAAATAAATATTTTTTTAATATATTTGTTTTATTTTAAAACCATTTAAATAGTTTTTTTCTATCTTTCTTAGAAACTTGAGAGATAATAGGCTTAGTTTTTTAAGAGCGATATTAAAAATGATCACTTTTCAGAAAACAATTATTATGAATCTTATAGTTAAAGAAATATACACTTTTAACAGTTTTCTTAGTTATTTTAGCGAAAATTTTGTAATCAGGACTATATTTCTTCTTCTTCTTAGGTTGAAAAATGTGTAAGAACATTTCAAATTAATTTCTACATCCAGAAAGTTCAATAGTTTCAGTTTGAGAAGTTGGTGAGTCTTGAATAGAGATGTAAATATATCGGCGTTTAGATTTATACACAATATGTAGAAAGGATTGAATAACTTGTAGATATCTTTATACAAGAGTTTTTTTTAGCACGAATAGCCCTGTTATTAATATCAGCAGTGCTTTAAAAACCTATTGGGGGCATAATCATAATTTTGTAATTTAAAAGCTAAAATACACTGTTTAGCATATCCCTACTAATATTATAAATGCGAAAGTAACTCTGTCCGTCTGTTTGTTACGCTTTCACGCCTAAACCACTGAACTGATTTGAATGAAATTTCGTACAGAGATGAAGTTGACTTTAAGAAAAGAACATAGGATAGTTTTTATCCCAGACTTTTGAAAGGTTCTCTTGGAAACGCGATATAACCGAACTCCACGCGGGCGAAGCTGCGGGCGGAAAGCTAGTTGTATATATGTTTTTAAGTGAAACATCTAATGCAACTTCCAACAATGTTGCGTTAAACGTTCAACGCTCCTAGAGGGGATAGAAAGAGACGAAGCGAGAGTGAATGAGTCTGTCAATTTTGAATTGTAAGTAACGTTTGTATGTTTGTCTTAAATAATATGAGTTCACTATAAATAATTTCTACCTTTTCCTATTTTCATTTCTACATTACGAAGTTTCACTTCCACGCGCACAGACTTTAGGCGCTATTTTTTTATATTAATACATGCTAGCTTTCCGCCCGCAGCTTCGCCCGCGTGGAGTTCGGGATAAAAACTATCCTATGTTCATTCTCAAGGTCAACTCTATGTCTGTACCAAATTTCATTAAAATCAGTTCAGTTGTTTAGGCGTGAAAGCGTAACAGACAAACAGACAGAGTTACTTTCGCATTTATAATATTAGTAGGGATAATCTGTATCGAAAAAAGGTTTTATAATAATAAATAATTAAAACCAAATCAAATACAAGTCACTTGTGGTTTATTTTGATTCTGCCGACGTTTCTTTCATCTGTGAAGTCTTTGTACACTAAATCCGGACTCTGCGCTCTTTGTAATGCTTGTTTAAATGTTTTTATAAGATGTTTAGCGTTTATATTCTTTCCCTTCGTATCTTTTGATATGGCGGTCAACGTGGTGTCAATCCAGGCTTCGTAATACGGTTTTGTGTGTTTATTAATGCAATCTGGCGCCCATTTCGCCACTTCCGTTGTTGGTGAGTGCCCTGTTCTCAAAACCGGTGATGACACGTGCCCGCGAGTCCAGCGTCTACATTTTCTACCGATTTTTTTATCGGTAATCGGCTTAACGCTGGTCTTGCTCGGCGTATTTTTCTGTTTTATTAATTTAGGTATTCTATTTGTGTAGTTATTACTTCTTGTGACAGTAGGTATCTTTATTTGTAAGGAGGTTGGTGGATTTCGTTTCGGAGCTCGGAATGTAACCGCTTTGTATACTTTTGAATCGTTTTTACATGTAATCGTCTTAATTACTGGTACTTTTTGATTTTCCTTTTCTATTTTATACGTCCTCGTGTCAGATTTCGTTAAAACTATTTTCTCTGTTTGTTCCTGTTTTGAAGGCATTGCGATATCTGTAAAAATGTATTATATTAGAAAATTAAATAGAAATTGTCATCTGCAATATTTTTTATCATACAAATATGTTTATTAATAATAGTTTTTTTAATATAATAAGTACGAGTTATGGCTTCAATTAAATGTAACAGTTTTAACTCCAAGTATTAAAGTGATTTAATTGAAATACGTAATAATTTATCAACCATTTATAATAAGATAGGGAATTGTAGATTATTCTTATGAAACGTTATTAATACAGTAAAACGAATATTACCTTTCTTAATTTCAACTTTAACTTCCTTCGGTGCTATCTGTTTATTGACGTCCGGTCCCAAATAGTTTTTAATCGTATACTTATCTCTAATTTTCCTTCTTTTTTCCATCAATCTTTGATTCTCTTTCTCGTATTCACTCTGTCTTTTTATTTCTATTATCTTCGGAGCCTCGTTTTTTATCTCAACTCGTTTCACGGATTCTGAAGATTTATCACAATTCGACTTTATTTGAGAATCCCCTCTGTCGCATTTGGTTTTCAAATCTTTCTTGGCTCGTAATTTGTTCTTCTTAGCATTATCCCCCCTGTCTTTTAATGTTTTGGCGTTGTCCACCCTTAAATTTTCCATAATATGTTGTGCAAATATCACTGTGAATTTTCGATTTGTTCCGAGTTGTGTTTATGACAAACTACAATTACTGTGACGTCCCAATTCAAAAAAAAACATTGTAATAAAAAGTTTTTATATGTGTCGAAATAAATTATTAAAATTAAATATATATACTACAAGATTATATTAACTAATAATTAATAAATAAACTTTAAAACATAATTAGACGAACATGTGACAAGTTACATAAAATATTGCTGTCAAAATTTACAATTATTCCAGTTTAAAAAGAATATATGACAAAATGACACATAGTTATAGAGTTTTATAAAAATAATGGAAAAAAAATCGACCGTGGTTAAATCTAAGTCATCAAATAGCGCTATCGTAACCAAAAAAGACAAAAAGAACGCAAAATGCTTCAGCAACTATGACATAATCACGAATTCAAAGAAGAAGCGCGGTGTTTACGTCGAGAAATCACCAAACCGTGAAGATGGTATGGAAAAAAAATTAAACAAAAAAAAACACTCTTACAACCTCAATTATTCCATTTTTTGTGTTACATAGGACTGTTGTTTATTTCAGAGATTTTTTATAAAATATTAATGAATAATTTTCTATTATTTAATTATTAATACGCACTTAAAGTTTTCTGTTTAGGAACTTATTATGGCAAGATAATATCATTGAAATTGTGTTTAGACTTAGAAATAGACAATTTAACAGTTTAATAAATTATAAATTCTAAGCTATTATTATGCTTTAATAATGCGACCTATAGGAGTTATAAGCTATTAATATTCACATTAATAATTACAGTTATAAAACCACCTAAAAGATCAAGACCCGGCAAAAAGAAATTCCTAGCATCAGTCCTCACGATACTATCAAAATCTACAGCCGCTACCCAATACCCAGAAATAGACAACTCAGACAGAATAAAAGACAGAATAAAACCGCGGTCGACACAAAAATCAGATACAAATAAACATAAGAAAAAATACAAATCAAGAGTTCTGAACACGTATAAGGATGATAGTATTATAGTATTGAAATCGAAGAAAGAAATTCAACAAACCTCTTCTACGTCCAGCAGAAATGATACATGCAAGTCTTATACGCCGCAAAACAAAAAATCCAACCAGAAATCAATAAGATATGTTCTAGACAACAATATATACAGTGGAGTGGCGGAAGGACCGGCCAGAGATATACTTAAAATAGAATCAAAAAAACATTTGAGTGCATACGAACCAAAGGATACAAATGTTGAGAAACAGGTCGATAAAAAGATATATAACTTCTTCGTTGAGTTACTAGAAACAACTTTTAATATGTATAATGATAAAGAATTGAATGACAATACAAAAGAGTCAAAAACAGGCTTGGAACTAAACGAATCTGTGTTACAGAAACTTATTATACAAGGCCAATCGCAGGTAGAAAACCAAAGAAGCTATTCAAAAGACATTGATAGCGAAAAATATAAATTTTTAAGCAGTTTCTATGAAAGAACATTAAATAATGATTTACCAGAAACACCAAAAGTCAGACCAAAAACTAAATATTTGATCAATCACAAAAAAGATAAACCAGAGAAATTAAACAGTTTCTCTGTGCCCAAAAAAGGTAAAAAATCAAAGAAAGCGTTACTGGATATTCTGAAAGAGGAATTAACAAAGGATGCTTGTAAGACTTACGAAGAACCGGGAAATTTATACCAAGCATTGAAAGTTATGGCGAAAAATAAGAAGAAAAGCGAGAATTCCATACGTTTTAACAAAATGGAAGGATTCAGCGACAAAGACTGCATGTTGAGACGGAAAGTTCTGTTTAAATCGAAGAAAAGAAACCGTAAAACAGATCCAAAAACAAAATTCATTTCTAGATCCTTCGAAATCGGTTCCAATCGCTTTCCATCGCGACATTCTCTAGTTGTATATGGCTACGATTACGAAAAACCTATCAAAATTCAACAACCGGTAGAAACAAAACATACGGGGGTTCCTCTAGCTTCATCCTCTTCAAACGAAGACTCTGATATATATTGCAGTTCCTTTGACTTTCCTATTTCACCAACTAACCCGTATTCATACAATGACTGAACAAAAACTGACAATATTTTAAAGGATAGACATGATAATTTGCATATTAAATAGTTTTTTTGTGCTAAGTTACAATGTAACTAATTATTCATAAATGTTCTGTTTTAACCAAGTTACTGACAGTCACATCGTGTACTGTAAACGTATAAAAGAAAATAAAACAAAATTGAATTGAATAGGCGACGTTTAAGTCGAGAAAACCCTTACTAAGGACATGGATTATTTTGATTTAAAATAAAAATAGTTAGTCTTGATTAAAATCATTGTTTACTGTGAGTTGTCATCGTTACTACACACGCAGCGTTTCCTGTTTCAAATAATATGTGAAGATTATGAATGATAAACTGGTAACTCTGCGTACTGAGTGACGACGAGAACTCGGAGTAAACGTACTGTTTGTAAAATTATCGTTCTTTTAATATCTGATTTGTATTTTCTAAGTATTATTCATACTGAGTGAAAAATTAAATACACATTTCGTATTTTTTTCGTTGTTTTTACTTATTACTCCTACAACTAAGTTTCAATTGCTAAATACTGAACATTTATAGTCTTCGTTAATAAATTTCAACCTACTATAACATTAACGTAGATTCGTTAATAAAAACTGAAAATGCTGTGTATTTTGTGTGATAATAGTAACTTGGGTTGCTATAATTCCTACTAATATTATAAATGCGAAAGTAACTCTGTCTGTTACACTTTCACGCCTAAACCACTGAACTGATTTTAATGAAATTTGGTACAGATATAGAGTTGACCTTGAGAAAGAACATAGGATAGTTTTTATCACAGACTTTTGAAAGGTTCTCTTGGAAACGCGATATAACCGAACTCCACGCGGGCGAAGCTGTTGGCGGAAAACTAGTTAAATGTATAAGCTACCCGAAAGTTGATACAGTATAAATAAGACAATACATGCATAGGTTTCTTAAGTTGGTCAATTGGATTATGATATTATTTTATAATCAGGCCACTGCTGAGAAAAGACCTCTCCTTACATGGAGAAGGTTCGAACATTAATCACCACGCTTGCTCAAGACGGGTTGTTGATTTCAAACTTATAATTTGATATAAGTCCATGTTTCCTCATATTTTCCTTCATCTATCAGTGATGTCTAAATACTCTTATAAAGTACATATGACTCGGAACATCACATTGGTACTTGACAGGATCGAACCCGCGCCCTTATACACGAGAAAAGGCCCTTTAAATTTTCAAATATGTAATATATAAGGCTTCTTAGGAAATATCTAATATTTTTAATGATTCTCAAAAGGTGTAAATAAAAATCAATTTTTATGGAAAAAAGGATTTATTTCTTGGTAATATAATGTATACAATATTTTGGTGATTATAAAAAAAATTAACAAATTTTGAATAACTTTTATAAAATATGTAGAAAAAATATAAAAATAAAATCAACTCAAATAAATTATTAAGAATAAACTAAATAGTCCTTATCGATATATTATTATCAAATTGTTTAATACATATAATCTAAGACTTACAAGTATTCATTTAAATGAAACTAATAGTTTTCGTATTTACTATGCGTTTTTCATTATTACCGTGTAAACGGTAAAGTAACCGAAACGTCTGTAGTATGTAGTTAAAATAATAACATACATTCATTTAAGTTTCATTTAAATGAATACTTAAGTCTTAGATGTATAACTTAAACATATTCATGAATTTTAAGAAAAGTATTTAGTCACTTCATGTCCTGTTGGTCAAAAATGGCCAACCTATTTGAATATATTCGAACAAAATGAAAAACTAAATCATTTCAGTGTTTACATAATTATTATTTATTAGCTTAACAAAAGTTTCTATTACAAATACTCAAAGTTTCACGTTTCTCATTCAATAATACGATAATACTGAGAGAATGTGAGTGAGAAACTGTTAACGCTAAGTACGCAGTAAATGTGCAAACTAAGGGTAAACATACGAAACTATTATAAAGATTGTTGAAAAACTTTGAAACTGAAAGTGTAAAGTATAAAATACTATATGAAAACACATACTAAGCTTAGTTTACACAATTTTTACTAAAAATACTGTGAATTATTAAGTTATTTTAAATTCATTCTAATTGCCTAATACTGAAAGTAATCTTTACCATTAGTTCCTGTTTAAAAACTTAACACACACAGTTTAAAGTTACGTTCTTAAACCTTTGTTGATAGAAGCAAATATTTGCAAAAAAATTTAATTATGTTTTGTTTATATGCAAAAATTGTTATTGATATAAGAATTATTTTAATGAAATTATGACCATACATTTTTTCTATAAAGACAAAATTCCTATATTTTAAGCACAGCCTTTTAACACATGTGTACATTATTAATTACTTTTCAATTTTTTTTAACCTAAGCCTACTTTCTAGAAGTTTCCAAACGTGTCTACTAGCAAGACAAATAATTTAAAAGCAAAATAATTACTTTAGACATTTAAATTAAAAAAACGACTAAATTAGACATTTAAAAAATCTAATTACAAAAACTGTCTTATTTATATTTGTATGAATTATTATAGCCATATTTAAATATTGTTTCTCAAACAGCCATAAAAAAAATTGAGATTTAATTTTGATTGCAACACCGATTTTCAAAACGCCTAATTTTAATTTTATATTTAAAAATGCGTATATTTCAGACATTTAATGAAATATGTCGTATATTTGAAAATTATCACCATTTAAGAATTAAATTTGCATCACATAAGCGCTTACAATCATTTCTAAGCAGAAGCCGCGTCAACAACTTAGTTTTGTGCTTAGCACAAGTTTTCAACGTCACTCCTTACAAAACTTTTGTCGTTTTTTCAATAACGTACTTTACTACTATATTGTGCGAAGATAAATATAATATTTAGTGTGACGTTTAAATTCGTGGTAAGCAGTCTGAACACATAAAACTCCTTAAAAACTTACCTCAAAACTTTGTACCACTGAACTGTTGATAATCACAGAAAAATTATTTCTAGTTTATCAAAATATTAAATTTGTTGACTGTACTTTCAGTATGATCGTTAAAACTTACGAAAACTTATCAGTTACACGTGATATTTCTTTTAAAATTATCGCAATCATAATTCACCAAGGAGGTTCATAATTCGTCAGAACTGAATGTTTTAAACCTTTGTCAAATATTCTACATACCTATATTTAAAAAAAACAAGTTTGTAACAAAATTTTTTTGGCGGTAAAATATTTAAGTACTTAAAGCCAACAACTGTAGTATTTGATGATTTCATTTAAGAATCACGTACTTTTAACTGACAATTATAAAGTTAATAATAATAATAATTTGTGAACTATCGGTATTCTACGTTATATAGCAAGCAAAGCGTTATAAATTGTCTCGAAAACTGTTATAGTTACAGTCACTGCATCATACTAAGGTCTGTTATTTTTATATGCATGAATTGTACGGCGTCAGTTCTTATGACACACGTTGATACTATCAGTTTAACGTTTACGATCAAACTCGTAGTAAACTTTATTACACACGGATCACAGACATTTTGTTTAACGTAAAAAACGAATACTAAGTTCTCTTAAACCTCTTATAATACCTTTTAACTAGCAATGTTATTTTATATCACAACTCCGTGTAAAAGCTACAACTAAGCTTATTCTTAAGTAAAAAATCTACATAGATTTCAATCGTTTTAAATATTAAGAAATTCTTTTGGTATTAATTAATTATTTATTGAAATTTTTGGTCAAATATTATTGGTTGATGTAGCAAATATCTTGAGAGAAACTGGTAGGTGTTATATTGTGTGTGAATGTTAATAATGCTATCTTTTTTGGCATCGCTACAATAACTTTATGGCTGTCCTCGCCTTCTACAACATCTATTTGTATGATGGGACACATTGATAGCACGGGGCAATCACATCGCTCCATAAAATTATACTGCTTTATTGGCTCGGTATTAAATATATCGAATTCTTCATTCAGATATGAGTTGTAATATATTCTTAAAACTCCCCAGTTTGAGCCGACAAATGTAATTTTTCCATATGTTTTAACGATTATTATATCTCGTAATGGACCTTGTGGTATCGAATGATTAAGTACATACATCCATTGAAAGTAGACCCTCCAGTCAAGATTTTCTAGGAAATTAAATTTGTTTAGTTCATGTAATAAATTACATGACGAGTCTAAAGTACATTTGTATATAAGATTATTATTTTCTATGCAAAATATATCTCGTTGGAAGGTAAGTATGTTTAATTTCTTGTTGCTGTATCCAAGAGACATGATACTGAAGTCCATTCTTCTTAGTAACACTGTTTCCAGCTTCGGAGAGTTCAAACGGCACATGTATACTTCATCATTCAATGTAACAAAAAATAATTTATCATCACCAATTATGAAGAGCTTCACGTGGTCGAATGTCATGTCGTCATCTTGCTGTGATCGTATAAATTTCTTAATCACCATCAAACTTAGATTAAATCCTAATATAATTATATTTTCAGCGTTTTCCATATACCGTAAATAATCGCCGACAACTGAGTTTCTAGGTGATAGTTTTAATGTCTCCAGATCATAATAAAATATTCCTCCACGCGTGTGCACGCCGATTAAGCCGTTTTGCAGTACTTGGAAATTACGGACTTCATCTCTAGGGCGCGATGCGGACGCGAACTCATCTCTCGTTTCGATTGCGAGATGCAATTTAGACCATAAAGTCAGAGAACGATAGACATGAGCCCAAAGTAACCCCGGTTTCCGTTTGTAGAACGTCTGTTCATATATATCAGGATATTCGATTATGCATTGTTTTCTCCACAAATTCCCGCAGCTGAATAGACTGTCGACAATATTCTTCCACCGCAGACAAACTTGACGGCATATTGCTAGGTTTTTCGGAAGTAAAGTCTTGAAAATGTAAAGTAGAAGTTCGGTGGGGAAATTTTGTATTAGTGACTCAGTGTCCTGAATCATGGTTGATTTACAGTTTTTAAAGATATTTTTTTGTAGCAATGCACGATAGTTCGTATAGTTAATTCACAGCGTCATGTTTAATTCATGTTTGCATTACAAATTGTAATTTAAAACGGTGTTTTTAAATCTAGAAGACGTGTTTATTTTCGTTTCATCGTTACACCAACTATTGAAGTTTCAACTTGACACGTCTGATTGATCAGAAGTGTTACAATTTATGAAAAAATATATATTCATTACCTTAAAAACCTAAATGAATAAACTCTTTAATTAAACTAGTTATAATTTTTCAAATTATAAGATTATTATATTTTTTAAAAAATTATACTTTGCAATTTATTTCATACTATTCAACAAAATTGAATTGTATAACCTATTGTTTATATACATATTTATATTACCAATTTATTAAATTAAACCATATTATAAAATTATAATGTCTTTTATTTTATTCTCTGGAAATATGTACCTATATAATTATATTTTCAATGTACAATGACGGTGTCAAAAGTCAAATCTGATTCAAACATTTCAACGGTTATTTGCTGTGATTGTTATTGATGTCGTTTAATTATAAATATTGAGTATAAATATCGAATATTGTCCATAAATACGTAAATGGCTGCTTTTAAAAGTCTCCGTGACATCAGTAATAGTTTCGAACATGAACTTCGTCGTATTTCGCGGGAATTATTTTCCACTAAAGTCAGTGAACCTTTTGAAGACGTTGTTGCTAAGAAAATACAAGATTTATCATTATTTTATTCAAAATTACGACTCCTACAAGCCAAACCTTTAGCTGGTAAGTTTGTCATATTTAATTCTTTTAAAATTATGTCCTCCCATTAAAACATAATATTTACGAAAGTACTATCCATTTTGTTGTTAAATAATTCCAATTTATCTACACTTAAGTAAGTTAAGAACTATTTAATTCGTATTTTATTCTCAAAAATGTTACAATACAATACCATTTTCTACTTATCGTCTGTTTTCTAAATATTTCGTTAATCGAAAGTGTCATTAAATTTGCACATTAGCTCCACTACAAACAGAAAACGATTATCCATTCAAATAAACTGAAATATTTTCAATATTCAACATATAATTCCAGTGACTCCACAAGTAACGGAATGTAATAAAAGCGAGCACACAATAACGGAATATGGGGATACCGTTATGTGGAAAATTATAGAACATCAGGTCGTGAAGAGTTTAACGCAAACACATACTATAAAGAAACTTATAACGACACCTAATAATAGCTTGGATCCCGAGTTGGTCGAAAGGAAGGAGTAAGTTTGAGGGATTTTACTTTGTTATGTATTAGTTATACTTGTTCTTATTGTTATAATAATATGACGTCAAATGTAATGTAGGTAGATTATTATATTAGTTGTCGTCATTCAATTTGCTACTTAGCACAGTACATACTTGAGGTATTTTATATAGTTTTAATGAATACTACATTACTGAATTTGAATATAAGATAGATCTAGGAAATTTGGGTCATATTTAGGTCACTTTTAGGCCATGTTGAGGTCAACTCGGAGTATTGAATATGTGCCTAAACATAAATTCCACATAATTTGACTCAGTACTATGTGTAATGCCTAATTGCTTAATTTAACAGAATCTTGCTATTATACTTGTTATGTATTAGTTATACTTGCTTGTTTTGTTAAAATAATAATATGACGATATTTCTTCAATTTTCTGATATATGATATTTCTTTATTTCTTCTTTAAGTAAGTTCTTATAATGCTTCACAGTAAATTATATTTTACACTATATTCTTCTATACTTTAACATAAATTTACCCCTGAAATATTAAAGACATGTCTTCAAATGTTTATCTATCTGGTTTTCTGATATATGAACTATAAAACTGTAAAAGTTTCATCAAAATCAGTTCATTGTTTTGCCTCTATCAGTTTGTGTTTCTTTATCCCGTCAATTCAACTTAGAATACTGTCACAATATAAAAATCAAAAATTATATTTAGCAATGTAACTATATGTATATTAATTATTCATTAAAATATTCATATGATTTATAAATTAAACAGAGTGGAAAAAGACATTATTAAATTATTATTTATATCAAATTGATAGTAATGTATGTTAGTCAGAATATTTGACTAGAAACGCACACATACAAATTATATATTTATATATTTACTTACAGAAAGATAGTAGATCAATTAACAAAATTCCGCCAACAAGAAAGTCAGCTTCGTCACCTAGAAGCCGTTTTGAAGGAGAAAGAGGAAGAACTTAAAGAATCTCAAGAAAAGTGGCACAATGTACTGTGTAGGTTGAAAGAGAGTAGGAAATTACCGCAAGTAGAGGAAAATAGTTCTGGACCGTTGTACAAGTGAGTTGAGTACTGAGCATTGAATTATACTGAGTAATTATGAGTTATTGAGTAATTTTTGACCAGTAGTATGATTGTTGAGACTATCATTATTAATTAACTAATATTATAAATGCGAAAGTAACTCTGTCTGTCTGTTACGCTTTCACGCCTAAACCACTAAATTGATTTTAATGAAATTTGGTACAGATATACAGGGTGACTGGTGAATTACTATCGATACTTGAGGACGTGATATTTGACCATCATATATGACAAAATAAAAATTAATATAACATAAATATTAATAAACTTCTAAGTAAAGTTAACCAAAAGTTATGTAATTGATTACGCATCGTGTGAACACCCTACAGATTAGGTATACACACACACACACACACGCGTGCGGCGGCGTGGTGTTGTATCAGCACGCCGCCACACGCGTCCACACTTGGAACACTTGGAACGTGTCCCCACTTTATTTATTTATATGGAAATTTGGTCAAAAATTAACGACCTATTTTTTTTACATAATTCGAATGAGAATCGTGTACCGATTATTCTCCTTAAATATTGATAGTAATTCACCAGTCACCCTATAGAGTTGATCTTGAGAATGAGCATAGGATAGTTTTTATCCCAGACTTTTGAAAGGTTCTCTTGGAAACGCGATATAACCGAACTCCACGCGGGCGAAGCTGTGGGCGGAAAGCTAGCTATATATGTATAACATTATATAACAGTGGTTTTTGTCACAAAGTTTAAATAAAATTTGTTATCTGTATATAAGCTATATATTAATTTTGAAAATACATACATATGTTTCCAATTAAGTATTGCCATTTAAATTATTTCCAAGATTTCTTCAATTATGAAATATATGAATTATATTTAACTAATTTCAGAAAACTTAAAGTGCTTATCGATAAAATGGAGTTAATGAGATGGCTGATTTCAAAATTGGTTACATCAAGAACCGGTGAATATGACTGGATCGCTGACCCTCATCGGAGATTCAAAGCTTTGGCGTTGGCAAGACAGAAACATACAATACAGAATTATACTGAATCATGATTAAAATATATTATTGATTGCTTTTTATTTATGGTTTATCTAAGATCTGAGAGTATTTAGACACCACTGACATACGGTGAAGGAAAACATCGTGAGGAAACCTGGACTTATAGTTTCACAATTTTAAGTTTGAAATCACCAACCCGTCTTGAGCGAGTGTGGTGATTAATGCTCAAACCTTCTCCATGTGAGAAAGAGGCCTTTGCTCAGCAGTGGGCGCTGATAGGCTGATGACTAAGATTATGAGTAGTTCTAAAACTTATGGATTCTTCAATAGTATTGTTTTATTATAGTAATATGGGGTGTGAGAATTAAATTTTAATGGAATTGGTCATATATTTGTTTTTTAATGTTGTAGGTTTTATTTTCAATGTGAGCAGGTTCGATCCTGGCCCCGGCAAGTACCAATGTGACTTTTCTGAGTCACATGTAGTTTATAAGAGTATTTAGACATCACTGATTAATGCATTCCCAAAGAGGGTTGATGTCAGGCAGGCGGCCAGTCATAAAAAAAAATTAGCCAAAACTATTCACAACATGTAAGGCAGACCCTGGCTAAAGCTGGGAAATTGCCAGGTAGAAGAAGATATACATGAATATATATAAAAATAAATATATGGTCATAAGTTTGAGTAAAAGAAATGTTCAGTTAGTCCCTATAAAGAGACAATTATCTAAACAGATTAAACCATAGAAAACTGATTAAAGATATGAAAAAACTAACTAGTCTTTACACGCGACTTTATCTACTTAATAAAATGAAGTTTTCTGTAAATTCTCACTATCTTAAAATTAATTCTTTCAATTATATGATAAACAGTAAATATAAAACGATGACACTCCCTACATGTACTATTATGTAATGCTATTTTAACCAGCCTTAACTAATTACTCAACGATGTATTGCAAAAATGCTCTGAAAACTATCTATCGTAAATTTCAATATAATAGAAATTGTCAATATTGTAAACAGCAATTGACCACGATTATTTCCTTCTAATGTACAACGTAATATCAGTTCTGATAATAATTACATACATGAACTACTGTTTTTAACAATCTATTCATCACTAAACAAATGTGTATACCTATATGTTTAATTTATAAAATTATTTTGAACGAAATTTTGTTATTGCATTTGTCAAATTGACACCATCCTTTTTTACTCATCAAAGTCTGTGTCTTTGAAAAGTCAGTGTTGCACATGAGAAATCCCTACTAATATTATAAATGCGAAAGTAACTCTGTCTGTCTGTTACGCTTTCACGCCTAAACCACTGAACTGATTTTAACGAAATTTGGTACAGACATAGAGTTGACCTTGAGAAGGAACAGGATAGTTTTTATCCCAGACTTCTGAAAGGTTCTCTTGGAAACGCGATATAACCGAACTCCACGCGGGCGAAGCTGCGGGCGGAAAGCTAGTCTATAATAAAAACTTCATAGTCCGAGATGCAGGATTGGTGCGTTCATCGGTTATTTGTTTAAAACCAAATTTTTATGTTTATTTATACTTATCAGAACATATATTTACTAGGTTGCCTATCAAAATTTGGCCGCCAGATTATTTTTAATTAAATTATTTTTATTTAATTTAAAATTACGTTTATTTATTTAAAAAAAACCTATACATACATGATAGTAATTTTTATGAAGATTCTAAAAAATCACGGTTGCAATGCACACCTAGTCGCAACTCTTCAAACTCTGGCTGCGATGAAAGGCGATGATTTTGAATAAAACCATTTATGTATATACATAGGTAAATTTGTATAATATTTATATAAATATAATAATTACCATTGAAGTATCTTAAAGAGTGCAACATCACTGGTGGCATAGACAATTCTGTCAATATCAGCTGGTCACGTTTGTTTACTAAATTGACAATTTCTATTGAAACAGTGGATTTTATTAACAACGACCTCGGTTATAGCGACGATAAACTTACGTTAATTGAATTTAAAGCATACTTTTATAAGAAATTCTTTCGGATATAGCGTCTATTTCGGTTATAGCGACTCGTTTTTATATATACCACTTGTGGCATATTCCTACAAAACGATTATGGACATTACGACCGAGTCAGCAAAGACTCATAAAACTACTTAGCTTTCTTATCCTTAGCTAGCTAATTCCAGTGTTAACAGTGTTTCTTAAACTTCTAAATATGGTTCCAAGACGTGCTTTTACTATTACCGAAAAAGTGGACATTATTTCGAGACTGGAAAGTGGAGAAAACAATGTCGATGTATGTAAACAATTAGGAGTGTCACATTCAACGATATCAGCAATATGGAAAAACCGCGTTAAAATTCTAGAATGTTTTCTATCAAAATCAACAAAAATGAAGAGAAATCGTAAATCAACTTATCCAGATATTGAAAGAGCTCTGTTAGCGTGGTTTAAAGAACAGAGAAACCAAAATGTAATTAGCGGTCGTCTTTTGCAAGAGAAAGCTAATCAATTTGCAAGACAGCTTGGGAAAAGAAACTTTGAATGTACAGGTAGTTGGATCTATAGATTTAGACAACGAAATGATATTAAACTCGGCAAAGTTGATGAAGAAGCGGCCGAGTCTCACACATCCTTTCCTGAAGAAGTGAATGATGAAATTAAAGTCACCGATAATTTGACTGATAATAAAATAATTGAGCCTGTACTTCTAAAACAAGAAGAAGAGGATGAAGAAGAAGATTGCGATCAATGTGAGATTCCAACGACTCAAGACGCACTATGTGCTCTAGAAACTCTAAAAAAGTACTGTTTATTTGGTGAAGGTCGTAATAAGTTAGATTTAGAGAGTATTGTTAAAATGGAATACACGTTACAGCGTGCACAAAGAACTCAACAGTGTACGATAACACGTTTTTTTAAAAACACTCGTGTATAATTCAATAAATGATTATTAAATTAATATGCACACCCACACACACACACACACACACACACACAACGAACAGTCCTGCTAATTAATTAAAACTTAAGTACATAATGTTTATACTTTTACTTAAACTGTGTAATCCTATATTGGTCTTAGTATTGTTTAGTTATACAGTCAAAATTCCGTTTATAACGACCTATCGGTTTTTACAGCCGGATTGTATGGTCCAGTCTAAATTCCTAGTAAACAAACCGCTTATAACAACATCGGATATAGTGACATATCGCTTAAGACGAAACTTTATCGATATTAATCGACTATAACGACTAACCGCTCCTTGTCTCAACAAAACAAAACAATACAAACGATTTTAAATCTTATTGATAAGCATTAAAAACTAACAGTTTGATATTGATAATAATATTTATACCTTGAGGAGTATGAATCGTAAAATGCTAAAAATATTTGAGACCGAAAAAAAGACAGACTAAAATAACTGATTACTTTAAAAACTATTGTAGTTTTTTAACCCGTAACTGAAAGCAGCTAAGTTCATTTTGTATTCTAATTATTTCGTAATAAATATTTTTATTTCTTTTACATAACCTATACCTATACAAGATAGATATGTAACTACATATGATAATATGTATAACTACTGTACTTGTAAGTCAGGGGTGGCCTAGTGGTTAAAGGGTCCTCCTCTCGTTGCCGAGGGCGCGGGTTCAAACCTGGCAAGTACCAATGTGATTTTTTGGAGTCATATGTACTTTCTGAGAGTATTAAGACACCACTGACATACGGTGAAGGAAAACATCGTGAGGAAACCTGGACTTAGTTTCACAATTATAAGTTTGAAATCACCAACCCGTCTTGAGCGAGCGTGGTGATTAATGCTCAACCCTTCTCCATGTGAGAAGAGGCAGCTCAGCAGTGGGCGCTGATAGGCTGATGACTGACTAACTATACTTGTGTATATGACTGTATTGCTTATAAGGACCATCGGATATAACGTCGGATATATACGGTGCCTTCAACGGTTTTGACTGTATTTTATAATATCATTATTATAAGCCCTGTTTGATAAATAAATTAATATGTCCATGACTTTATTATTTCGGATATAATGACGTCGCGATCTAGCTATATATGTGGTCCAACCGCCGTCGTTAAAACAGAAATACACTGTATATATGGTTAAAGTCTAAAGATCTTTATTCTCATAAGAACATACATAGGTTGACTTACATGAGATTAAATAATGTTACACACATACGTTAATACATGGAATGGCTAGTACTACTTAATATTGTCTAATATATATATATTTTAAGTTTATTTTAATGATGATTCAATTATGTAGAGAATGTTTGAATTCCTTATTACTGATATTTGTAGACACATGACCGAGAATAGTTTTTTGTTCTTGAAGTTTCACGAGTACAACAGTATATGATTACTACAACATAAGAATTTCATTGAAATCTTAACAGAAACAGAAAACGGGACGTGTAGTGTATCGTCAAAAACTTGTGGTAAGATTTCAATCGTTTATATGTGAATCATCTCTAGGTATTAAAAAACATTTTGTCAATGCCAAATTCATTTTCGAGTTGTTTTTTGATCGCTGGGTAATTCTAAATGACAATTTTTATCTATTTTCCTTTAAAAGTCATGCAGATGATTTTATTTATCAATGAGAAAAAAACAATTAATTTAATCTAGATTAATCAGTTGTGAGCCTGTAATAAGTAATTTGAAATTCCGTTTTATCCCTACTAATATTATAAATGCGAAAGTAACTCTGTCTGTCTGTTACGCTTTCACGCTCAAACCACTGAACTGATTTTAATGAAATTTGGTACAGAGATAGAGTTGACCTTGAGAAAGAACATAGGATAGTTTTAATCCCAGACTTTTGAAAGGTTCTCTTGGAAACGCGATATAACCGAAATCCACGCGGGCGAGGCTGCGGGCGGAAAGCTAGTTGGAACTAAACTAAATGTATGTAGATGTAATTTCATTTTAAATGTATTGTAGATTATATCATTGAAAATTAATGATTAAGGAGTCCTTACTTGTTGAATATAAGCAACTGTCTCGACCGTAAGTACCACCCTCTCACAGAAGATCGGCGTGAAGTAGTCTTTAATGGATGCGTTTCGTCTGATGAGTGAGAGAGACGGTTGAAAAGGTTTAAAGAATTTATTCTCAAAAAGACGTAGTCACTTACATGAGAACATACATACAAAAGTGAAAATACAAAAGTAGTCGCCAGATTATTTGGAACTCAATTAAATATAGTAAGTTATTATTACAAGTGTGTTACATCGTTGGTATATCAATTATTTTCTAAAATATGTTGTCAAAGTTTAGATTTAAATTCGTTAATTGAGCTTGCATTTCTTATAGTAGACGGTAATTTGTTGTAAAGTTGTTTGGTTGGTCGGTTGCCGTTTCTCATCCTTTCCTACCCCTTCCCTTTTCCACTTTTTCCTCCCCCTCTTCCTTAATCAAGGGTGGCAACATATCCGCAACATCTCTTTTGTTACGTATGTCCATGGTAAGGTACTACGTCCATCAGGTAGGCCGTCTGCTCGATTGCCCCCTTAAGCATAAAAAATAGCCCCAAATTCATCTATTTAACTTATATATAATCTGAAGATTTTGTCTTATTACACCCGACACCTCATCTTCATGAGCAGTCATTATCCGATACAAAAAAGACCTAGAAATGTTTTCTCTATATCAGTAGTAATTAAAACTATTATTTTGCTTACACTACGCGTACTTTTTTATTTTAAACTACATACTACAGGCGTTTCGGTTACTTTAGAACAACCGTGATCATTAAGACGAGATGTGAAAATTGAAATACGCGTAGTAATCCGAAAATATTAGTTTCATTTAAATGAATACTTAAGTCTTAGATCTCATTTCTTTAGCCTTACCACAAGTGCACACTACGTACGTATCGTCTAAAACTTATTAGTCTTCATACATAATAGTATCAACTTCGGTTTATGAATGATAAACTTGTAATACTCTGTATGTAGTTACGATAAAATCTCGCGTAACCTTACAAAACCAGTCGATTAAGATATTTTTTCAAAATTGATTATACATTATTGTTACCAGGACTCTCATTAGTTACAATATAAATGTTAGAAAATATTGGATATTACTAAAGTACGCGAAAATAAGTGTTTTAATTTCACCTGAATTTTCAATTATATATTTATGGTCCGGATAATATTTAAAATTGCTACTTAAACATGAATCTCGTAACGTTTCAAATATAACGTAAAGTATTAAAGTAAGTAGTACTGATAGTATTTCAGAGACGAAACTTTTCATCATTCCATGTATTTGTGTGCGTGTGTCGGGTCCATCGTTGTAGTGGGAGGAGCTTCAACAGTGACTGTGACTTGTGACCCAGGTGTAGGTTTAAGGGACCCTATCTAAAATTAAACGATCACCTCCACCGTACAAGCTCCCTATCTTTAAGAATTTGAAAAGAACTTACGAGGGCTGCCTTCGACCGACGTTCCAAGAATAAATTATAAATCACGCAACGAAATTATTAGTTTACATTAATGAAGAAAAAATGATTGGATTTTGATATTGAAATTGATCTAGATTCTATTTAGTTACGTAAATGTAAATAAAATACCCAGAACGTCAAAACTTCGTTTCAATTATAAATAAGATTATTTAATCAAAATTTTTATTTCTGTACCTTAATCTTTTGTAAAACTTATGAAAAACTATTAAATAAATATAACAAACATACAAAACAATTTTATTTATCCATACAAGTTATACATACAGATATATTTAGATATAGCGATGTAATTTCATCTTCAATGCATTACCAGTTGAGACTTGAGTTATATAATACAAAGCTATGAAGGATTAGTTAGTACATAAAATAACGTGCCACGGTTAACACACTAGCTTTGTCACCTTATAAATGTATTAAAGTACTGAGATAAAACAAATTAAATACTATTATATATAATTTAAAACATAACTAACAAAAAATAACTTAAAAAATAATCTTTTTTCGTTTGACAGAACGTCATAATGACGTTTGAAATTAAACTATAAGCGGGCATGTCGAAAAAAGTTTAGAAACAGTGTCAAATATAACATTTGTGTTTAAGTGATTTTACAAAATGAAGATTATCATTATTTTGTTGTTGATGATAAATTATTATTGTGTTGGTATAAAATTGGGTAAATTCAATGAAGTTTACGCGTGGAAACAAATGACCTACGACATAAACGGCGCTGTTTGTGAGTAGTTACCTACTTATAATAAAATACATTCATTGATATAACATTGTTTAATAATTGTTACTTATATACTAATTGTAGACTTATATATGTATATAATGAAATGAAAAGAAAGATGTATGTAATTATATTTATATATATATATATATATATTTATGTTTTGTTAATAACTTGTATTGAATATACATAAATCATTATATATAAAAGAAAATCGTGTTAGTTACAATATTTATAACTCAAGAACGACTGTACGGGTTTGGCTCAAAATTGGTGGAGAGATAGCTAGAACAAGGTAAAAGACAAATATTATTTTTTAATAGATCAATAATGAAAAAAAAGCTGATAAAATTCAAAATCATCTTATCTACTGTCTTTAAGGAGGAATTGAGTTCGCCCGGTCTATACATTTCTAATTTTGAAGTTAACGCAGACTAAGTCGCGGCATGAAACTAATATTATGATTATATATATATAAATATAGATTTACATTAGATTTCTTTTATCAACGTTTCCAGTTACTCTAAGAACTAATTTGACGAGCCCTGACACGATTTAGTAAATAATAATTATCAAATTTAAATCAATGGTCATTGACTTATATTATATACTTTATTCACACCTTACGTATATATGTATTTATATGTACAATTTAGGTTTTCCCAAACTGTCCTCGATACTAGATAATTAACCTCAAGTTTAAGTTTAAACCTCGGATCAAGTTTACATAACATGTCAATAAATTTGTTGGTTTTTACGTTATTCTAGAATAAACATACACATACACACACACACACACACACACATATACAGGGTGACTGGTGAGTTACTATCAATATTTAATTAAGGAGCATACTCGGTACATGATTCTCATTCGAATTATGTAAAAAAAATAGGTACTTTATTTTTGACCAAATTTCCGTATAAATAAATATAGTGTTGACACGTTCCAAGTGTTCCAAGTGTGGACGCGTGCGGCGGCGTGCTGATACAACAAGACGCCGCCGCGCGCGAGTATGTGTGTGTGTGTGTATACCTAATGTGTAGGGTGTTCATACGATGCGTAATTAATTACATAACTTTTGGTTAACTTTACTTAGTTACTTTACTTTATTAATATTCATGTTAGATTAATTTTTATTTTGTCATATATGATCGTCAAATATCACGTCCTCAAATATCGATAGTATGTAATTCACCAGTCACCCTGTATATATATTAGCTGACCCGGCAAACGTTGTTATGTCATATAAAAAATAGGGGTTAGTGTTAAAAATGTAAAAATGTTGGTTTGTACGTATTTGTTAATATACATTACTAGCTTTTGCCGCGACTCCGTCCGCATGGAATAGTGACTTCCGGCAGATTTTTGGTCCTTCCCACATAGTTCCCGTTCTTGCGGGGTTTTCGGAATGGTCGAGTTCCCGTAGAATTTTCAGGATAAAACCTATGTTTTTTTTATTCACAATGAAGTACTCTTAACCAACAACATATTTATTTGTTTATTTGAATAAAGATTAATATTATTATGTTGATACAACTTAAACAAATTATTTCGACCAAATTAGGTACCATAAAAACGGTTGTTGTGAGTTAATCTTAAAAGATAGACATATACTGTTGCGGACTGTTTTTTAGATCATTAAAAGAGCTATTATTTTTTGATTCATATTTTTTGTGTATCTTGAACCGTTTTCACGGCGCACGCAACGGAAGGATTCAAAGATGAAATAATTTCTCCCGTTTTTTACACATTTACCACTATATCTTTGCTCCTATTGGTCCTAGCGTGATGTTATATAGCCTACAGCCTTCCTTAATAACTGGACTATCCAACAAAAAAAGAATTATTCAATTCGAACCAGTAGTTTCGGAGATTAGCGCTTTCAAACAAACAAACTCTTCAGCTTTATAATATTAGTATAGATAAAAAATTAAAAACAATAAAATTTCCTCCGAAAAATAAGTTAAGGGTGAACAACCCTTACGACTTACGGGTATGAAAAATAGATGTTGGCCGATTCTCAGACTACTCAATATGCTCACAAAATTACATAAAAATCGGTCAAGCCGTTTCGGAGGAGTTCTCTGTATAACACCGCGACACGAGAATTTTATATATAAGGTATATACATATATACATATATATATAATATATACATTATTTTATATGATATCATATATCAAAATATCTTGGATTCCGAGAAGTAGTCGTGACTTCGTGTATCTATGCTTAGTTGTTTTCTAGTTAACAGAAAACAAACATACATACATACAAAAGTTTTTATATATTATACCGCCTTGTATACTCATTCATTTTGATCACCCAAATTGTTTATTCTACTACAAAATTCAGACATACAAAATAATTAATAATAATATATAATAATATATTTATATACATTTTATTGTTATATTAATCCATTCTTTGTTGCAGTACTTCAAGACAGATTTTCAGAAAATAGAAGGAAAAGGCAGGTCGATTTTGTATTTTCTGACGATCCCGCAGAGATTGGAGGTACGTTTAAATAAACATATATATATATACTAATAAATAAAATTGTGCTCAGTAGTCGCCTAGTGGTTAAAGGCCCGGCTCTCATGCACGAGGGCGCGAGTTCGATCCTGGCCCTGGCAAGTACCAATGTGATTTTTCCGAGTCATATGTACTTATAAGAGTATTTAGACATCACTGATTAATGCATTCCCAAAGAGGGTTGATGTCAGGCAGGTGGCCGGCCGTAAAAACAATTAGCCAAAACTATTCACAACATGTAAGGCAAACCCTGGCTAAAGCTGGGAAATTGCCAGGAAGAAGACCAAACAGTAATTTTTGTTGTCTATTTGTTCCCGCAAATCTCTAGAATGGCTAGACCGATCTTGAAGGACTTTTCCCTGGCGGTTAGGTTATTTTATAAGGAATAACATAGGCTATATTTAATGTGACTTCAAAAGAAGAAAATTCATTAATTGGACTTTATGTATAGTAAACTATTTGTCATTGAGTTTAAGGTTTAAAACAACATATTTATAAATCGTTTATGTTTGAGAAATTAATGAAGGGATCTTCTAGAAATGAAATAAATATAATAATAATGATAATTTGTTTCTCAGAGGATATTTAATATGCAAGCAAAGCCGCGAGTCACAGATAGTTATGCCGCAAGATTTGAATAAAATGTCAATAAAGTAGTCATATGGATTTTTCCACTGTTTGTATAAATACAAATAATATTAGTAATCTAATGTATAAAATTCTCCAGTCACGGTGTTCGAACTTGAACTCCTCCGAAACGGCTCGACCGATTTTCGTGATCCTTATCGAGGATACTAACCAGGGGGGAGAATCGGCCAACATCTATTTTTCATCCCCCTAAATGTTAAGGGTAGTCCACCCCTAAATTTTTGTTTTTACTTTTTAGGCAAAATTTTTTGTTTTTATTTTTTTTATGACACAGCCTACAAAAATACATACAACCCTAAATTTTCACCCCTCTGAGATCAACCCTTATTTTTTATTTGTTAATTAAAAACTTTAATTTTTTGGCAATTTTTTTTTTATTTTTTGATGACTTACAATAAAAAATCTCATATTACTCTAAATTTTTCACCCCTCTACGATCAACCCCAATTTTTTATAAACATATATTTTTTAAACATATATTTCTTTATTATAAGGCGGTACGAAGTTCGCCGGGTCAGCTAGTATATATGTATATATATTTAATGAAGAAAAATAACTTCACTTCTAAATTTAGACACTTATATTTGTATTTCAAGTAAAGTGTATAAGTACACAATTATTTTCAGGTACACACACACACACATATCTTCTTCTTCTTCCTGGCAATTTCCCAGCCTTAACCAGGGTCTGTCTCTATATATATATATATATATATATATATATATATATATATGTATATGTTATATGTATGTGTGTTTGTTCCACGTATTAACACCAACAATGTATTCCAAGGATTCTCTCAACCTACTAGATTTTCCTCGATATAATAACACTGTTTATATTTATAATTCATATAAGTGGAATAATATTAAATTGTTATATATGTATATATATGAAAGATTTTTATGTTTTCTTTTGTTTCAGGAGACCAGAACATTGATAATTCTTCTACCCTCAATCCCAGTGGTAATAGCGTATATACTATTTTTTATATATAAATAAATAAAATATAAGTTTGTAAAGACATACCTACATTAAAGCCTTTATTTTGAATATGATATTCATTAAAGATAATAATCATTATTATTTATATATTTATTTAAATTTAAACTTATTATTATTTTTCACGTTTAGTTTACTTATAATCAAATATTTGCTTAGTTAAATAATGTACTTGTCAAATACATATGTGTGAATAGAATCTCTTAAATAATTTTGCGAGTTTTCATACTCCCAAATCTAAAATCAAAACTATAATTACTCTTTTTTCTTCTTCTCTCTTTCTCTCTGTATATATATCTTTATATATAAAAGAAAATCGTGTTAGTTACGCTATTTATAACTCAAGAACATATACGGTTTTTTATGAAAATTGGTGGAGAGATAGATTAGAAGGTAGAAAGGACATAGGATACTTTACATACGATTGACAAAGAAAACAAAATAAGTTGATTAAATCCAAAATGTTCTTATCTACTATCTATCAGCTATACATTTCTAATTGTGATATTAACGCAGACGAAGTCGCGGAATGAACTACTACTTATATGTATATTGATATATAAAGTATCTTTTATAAATCCTTTCAATTATTTTCTAAACTAAACATACGAGGCTTTCTTTTACTTTCTTTTCATTGAAAAAATAAAATAAGTTGATAAAATCCAATATCTTGTATTTCACACAGATGGAAGAGGAACATATTTCATCAAATACAACAACGTGCCTATGGGCGTAGAAAGAGTTGGGGATAGACTATTTATAACATTACCAAGACGACGATACGGTGAGTTTAAAGTTTCTTTGATATGTAGGAGATAATTTTTTTATATTATTCTTAAAGTGGTATAGGGATAGAGAGAAGGTTTTTTTTCTGAGAGTATTTTAATTCAGATCTTTTTGGGAAAGTAGGTAGATAGATAGATAGGGTCCCTTAAACCTACACCTGGGTCACAAGTGCCAATCACTGTTGAAGCTCCTCTCACTACAACGATGGACCCGACACACGCACCGTGAATATATGGAATGATGAGAGGCTTCGTCTCATACTATAAGTATCTAGTCATAAATAAACTTTCATAAACATAGTTAATATTAAAATAACTGATAAATCTCTTAAAATCTTTAAAAGTTATGGTCAGATAGCGTTTAAAAATATTTTTTTGATAATTTTCATATCTACATTCAAAGAAGTATTGGTAAAAAGTAGTAACAATTAGTAGTAATGATATAATTTTCGGTCAATTTATAAATGATATATTCTTCCCAAAGGATTGATGTTAGGCAGGCACCCGTCGTAAAAACAATTAGCCAAAACTATTCACAACACGTAAGGCAGACCCTGGCTATAGCTGGGAAATTGCCAGGTCGTAGAAGAAGATATAAATAATATTCTATTTCTTTTGAAATATTATTTTTTTATAGGTATTCCGGCAACATTAAATTACGTGAATCTACAAGAGAGGAGCCGCTCGCCAGCACTGAAGCCATACCCTACTGTTGAAGATAGGTCTTTAATTTCCGTTTATAGAACAAGAGCAGATGAATGTGGCAGACTCTGGATGGTGGATACTGGTTTACTGGAAATACCTGGTAATATATACATATATATTAAAACTAGCTACACCCCGCGGTGTTACCTGCGGATTGCCGGGAAAGTAGCCTATGCGTTATTCCTGGACGTCAGCTTCCTGTATACAAAATTTTATCGAAATCGGTTCAGCCGTTTGAGCGTGAAGAAGAAACAAACATACGCACACACTCACAAACTTTCGCGATTATAATATTAGTAGGATTAGCTGAAGAAGTGGTGACCTAGTGGTTAAAGGCCCGCCTCTTGTGTATGAGGGCGCGGGTTCGAAACCTGGCAAGTACCAATGTCATTCCGAGTCACATGTACTTTAAGAGTATTTAGATACCACTGACTATTGAAGGAAAACATCGTGAGGAAACATGGACTTATAACAAATTATAAGTTTGAAATTACAAACCCGTCTTGAGCAAGCGTGGTGATTGGTGATTGATGCTCAAACCTTCTCCATGTGAGAAGAGGCAGCTCAGCAGTGGGCTCCGATAGGACGATGATGATGATGAGACGAAAGTATTATCAAAATCTGTCGAAATTTAAAATACATATATATGATTTACTAGCTTTCCGCCCGCAGCTTCGCCCGCGTGGAGTTCGGTTATATCGCGTTTCCAAGAGAACATTTCAAAAGTCTGTGATAAAAACTATCCTATGATCTTTCTCAAGGTCAACTCTATCTCTGTACCAAATTTGATTAAAATGAGTTCAGTGGTTTAGGCGTGAAAGCCTAACAAACAGACAGATACTTTCGCATTTATAATATTAGTAAGGATGACACGATTGTTGTAGATAATTCGTTTATTACCTCTGCTTCATCAGATTTTACCTTTTATCTTTACCTTTAATTTATTGATTATCTTTCTTTTCCTTTCCAAGGGGATCCTCAACAAATTCGACCTCCTGCCATCGTTATATATAATCTAAACACAGACAGACAGATCTTGAGATACGACTTCAAGACTTCTGACATACCAGCGACTAATACTCCTACAGGTAAAATATATTTGTCTATATATATAAAAATGAATTGCTGTTTGTTAGTCTCACTAAAACTCGAGAACGGCTGAACGGATTTATCTTATCTTAGTCTTGAAATGTTCGTGGAGGTTCAGGGAAGGTTTAAAAGGTGAGAAAAATTGGAATAATTGCCGGGAAAACCCTAAAAACAGCGCTTTTTATTTCCCATACAAACGGTTTTTTGACATTAGATTTGACAACTAACTAATATGTCAATCATTCTGTAGCACTTTAGAACACGGAGATTTATGGCTTACAGGTAAACTCCAAAAATATAAATAAAAACGTAACAGATATTTCTTGATTATAGGGCGATACGAAGTTCGCCGGGTCTTCTAGTATATAGATATATAGAGAGAGAAAAAGGGGGGAAAGAGAGAGAAAGAGAGAGAGGAGAAATGTGTTTATATATAACTTATATATATAATTCTCGTGTCACAATGTTCGTTCCCGTACACCTCCGAAACGGCTTAACCGATTCTGTTGAAATTTTGAGAGGATATTGAGTAGCTCTGAGAATCCGCCAACATTTTTTTTTTCATACCATTAAGTCATAGTAGTTGTTCATACCAATTTTTTTTATGCTGACGAAAGTTTTTGAACCCTAAGTTTTTTCACTGAACTCAACTGTCGTGCGTCCAGACGTCATATTTATATTAAAATTCAAACATATATCTATTCTCCTTTAAATAATATGATTTCGTTTAAGTATAACAATAATTATGAATACCAATATATTTAGACACAAATTTAATTTGAAGCGAACCTTTAAACTCCCGAACGCAGCCGAAGTGTCGTTAAAGAGATGACGTTTGGTTTGTTCACTTTTACGAGGGAAAGTATTTGTTGAAACGACTTGTGTGTTTGTAAACTGAATTTAACTTATTTAAGATGTTTTGGTTTAAAATAATAATTAGTTTGTTCCAGTTAATACTTTATTAGTTACTAGCTTTCCGCCCGCAGCTTCGCACGCGTGGAGTTTGGTTATATCGCGTATCCAAGAGAACCTTTCAAAAGTCTGGAATGTAAACTATCTTATGTTCCTTCTCAAGGTCTACTCTAACTTTGTACTAAATTTCATTAAAATCAGTTCAGTGGTTTAGGCGTGAAAGCGTATTTTCCATTGTTAACTCCCCCACAGCACCCCTTGTGGGTGGAATTTCTTAAAATTCTTAGCTGACCTCTACTCGGCGAAAGGAATAATCCTGCCAAATTTCAAGTCGCTACACCTTATGGTTCCAGAGATATCGTGATGAGTCAATATATAGGTGGAAATCTCTTTTATATATATATATACTAGTCAAAACAAAATAAGGGCCACTTGTTTATTTTGACTTTTGAAGCGATCTAATAAATTTTAAGCTATCGGTACCGGTTAAGTTTTTTTGTGGCGTTACATTAAGTGTTGACAAACATTATGAGAGTATATCACTTACTTAATTTTTGAAGTGGGTCGATTATGAATTTTTTTTTCGAAGTCACTAAAAATGACTCTATTTGAAGTCGACTTTTGGAGTCATTTAAACTGTCGAGTTCTTGGTGAACAGCAGGAATTCTCTTTGTTAGTGCGTGATTATCATTTTTAAAGAACAATGCCGAGGATTCGAAGACATATGGACATACAGATCACAACTATGGACATAACGCTGACTCAACAGGGCCATTCGCAGCGTTCTGTAGCTCTGCAGCTGGGTTTTCCACAGCGAGCAATCCAGAATGCTTGGATTAGGTTTCAAGAGACTGGGAGAGTTACCAGAAGACCAGGATAAAGCAGGAGTCAAGCAACCACAGCACAGGAAGACCGCTACATACGGTTAACTTCGCGTAGAGTGCGAGTCGTCACCGCCCGTTCCTTACAAAACCGTTTGCGCCGAGCGACGGGCACCCGCGTAAGTGACCAAACGATTAGGAATCTGTTGCATGAAGACCAACAGTTCTCTAGACAACGAGTAGTGCGAATTCCACTGACATACGTACATCGTGCAAGGCCATTAACGTTCACTAGGCAGCACCAGGCCTGGAACATTGATGACTGGAGCAAGGTATTGTTCACAGATGAATCCAAAGTGAAATTTTTTAGTGATGATCGTCGCATTAGAGTTTGGAGAAGAGAAGGAGAGCGATTTTCGGATGCTTGCATCCACGAAAGTGACAGATTCGGGGGTCCCAACGTAATGGTATGGGGCAGAATCTCACTGTCGGGTCGAACCGAGCTCGTAATTCTCAACGAAGGCACGATAACGGCTCAACGGTACATTAGGCAGGTCATAAGACTCCACGTGGTGTCATTTTCATAGAGAATTGGTGCAGGATTCCAATTAATGCATGACAATGCCCGCGCTCATACAGATAGAGCTACTGCCGAAGCACTAGAAGAAGCTGGTGTACGGGTGTTTCCGTGGCCCGCCAATAGCTCGGACCTTAACCCTATTAAGCACATGTGGGATTTATTTAAAAAAAGAGTTCGTGACATAAATCAACCGGTAACTAACGAACGACAGCTCATCATCGTGCTAAAGACAAGCTGGGAACAAGTCCCTCAGGAGACAATACGACACCTGGTGGAGAGTATACCTTCGAGGCTTGAAGAATGTGTTCGAAAAAAGGGAAGACACACACGTTACTGAAAAAAATAAAAATTTCAACAAATGTTCAGTTTTTTTTAAATTAGACACTTTTTTCATATTGTGCATTTTTAGGTTAAAAAGTCGATTTTTCCAAAAAAAAAGAAAGGGATGTTAATTTTAGAGAAATAAAACAATATCTGCTGCTCTTTACATTAAAAATTGATTAAATAATTTAATCTAATCATTTTCATATCCCTAAATGCCATATTTCTTTTAATCCACTAAAAAAACATGGTGGCCCTTATTTTATTTTGACTAGTATATATACTAGAAGACCCGGCGAACTTCGTATCGTCCTATAATCAAGAAATATCTGCTACGTTTTTTTATTTATATTTGTGGAATTTACCTATTAAAGCCATATATGTCCGTGTTTTGAAGTGCGACAGAATGATTGACATATTAGTTAGTTGTCAAATCTAATGTAAAAAAAAACGTTTGTATCAACAACTACTAATAAATTAATAATTAATTAAAAAAACATTGTCCAGCGGACAAAATTGTGAATCTAAACCATTCCCAGATCCCCTTGAACACACACAAAAAACTTCATCAATTTGGTCCAGTCGTTTGAGAGAAGTTCAGTGCAAACACACTCACAGAAGAATTATACAGGGTGACTGGTGAATTACTATCAATATTTAAGGAGAATACTCGGTACATGATTCTCATTCGAATTATGTAAAAAAAATAGGTACTTAATTTTTGACCAAATTTCCGTATAAATAAATAAAGTGTGGACACGTTCCAAGTGTTCCAAGTGTGGACGCGTGCGGCGGCGTGCTGATACAACACCACGCCCCCGACGTGTATGTGTGTGTGTGTGTATACCTAACCTGTAGGGTGTTCACACGATGCGTAATTAATTATATAACTTTTGGTTAACTTTACTTAGAAGTTTATTAATATTTATGTCATATTAATTTTTATTTTGTCATATATGATCGTCAAATATCACGTCCTCAAGTATCAATAGTAATTCACCAGTCACCCTGTATATAGATAATTAATATATATTAAAATACATTTTCTATTGAAGGTCTAGCATCAATAACAATAGATATTAATGGGGATTGTGATGACGCCTATGCCTACGTACCGGACTTGACGACCTTCGGCTTGATAGTATTCTCACTCAAAGACCTGGACTCCTGGAGATTGTCACACAACTACTTCCACTTCAATCCTACAGCTGGAAATTTGCAGGTTTCAGGTGAATCACATTATTTCACACAAATTTATTGAAGCTTTCCCGTGGAGTTCGTTTATATCGAGTTTCCAAGAGAACCTTTCAAAGTCTGGGATAAAAACTATCCTATGTTCTTTCTCAAGGTCAACTCTATGTCTGTACCAAATTTCATTAAAATCAGTTCAGTGGTTTAGGCGTGAAAGCGTAAAAGACAGACAGAGTTACTTTCGCATTTATAATATTAGTAGGATTGTTTTTATTTGTTACTATTTATAGGACTTTGTTGTTTTTAAAGATTAAACTATAATATGGAGTGAATTAAGAATTATTTTAAATGAAAATTAATGTTATATACAGCAGTTTTTGCAGAAAAATGATCGAATTGTCAGATATAGAAGATATCTAGCTTTATTTTGTAATTTAAAAAATAATATTCTCCGAGTATATTAAAATGAATAAAGTCTAAGTAAGGCAATAGATTTATCAAAATTGCTCCAAAAACACCAAATCTTTACAAAAATCTAAATTAAACCATCTAAAATTTTGACCAATAACGTTTCAATTACTTTAAAAAGCAAAAAATACAAAAATAAGGCACACAGGATGATTTTTTCAGTCCTATCGTAATTAATTTTCAGTTCATTACTTCGACATTACATTGGAAGCAGATTATCAGAAGAAAGATTAAGCTGAAATATTATCTATATTAACTACTTTAAGGTAATTTTTTACAATTGGTAATTATTTACTGTTTAATTTATTACTAATTGTGATAAAATTACCTTAAAAGTAGTTAATATATAAAATATTTCAGCTCAAACTTTCTTATAATCTGCTTCCAATGTAGATACGTGGAATTATACAATGATAGTTACGAGGATTTGTACTATCACCGACTATATGTGTGTGTATTACTGATGATATTTTTGTCAATAATTCCAGGTGAATTCTTCCAATGGAGTGACGGTCTGTTCAGTATAACCTTGACTCCTCCAGCCAGATGCCGTACAGCGTACTTCCATCCACTAATCAGTACTGAAGAGTTCTCTGTGTCAACGTGTTTGCTCAAGAATAAGACCGCTAGTACTGACCGCTATTACTTCGACGCTTATAATGTAAGTTTATCTAATATATAAAATTCTCGTGTCACGGTGTTCGAACTTGAACTCCTCCGAAACGGCTCGAACGATTTTCGTGATCCTTATCGAGGATACTAACCAGGGGGGGGAATCGGCCAACATCTATTTTTCATCCCCCTAAATGTTAAGGGTAGTCCACTCCTAAATTTTTGTTTTTATTTTTTAGGCAAAATTTTTTGTTTTTATTTTTTTATAACACAGCCTACAAAAATACGTACAACCCTAAATTTTCACCCCTCTGAGATCAACCCTTATTTTTTATTTGTTAATTTTGTGTGATATTTCTTGATTATAAGGCGGTACGAAGTTCGAAGGGTCAGCTAGTTTGTTTATAAGTTTGTATTACTACATACGAGCCATTCAACGTTTGTTATTCAATAAATTACTTTAGTTTCATTTTTTTAAATGGCAAAGGGGTCGAATTTGATTGAGTTAGTTCCGTCACCCATGGACATTCGCAAAATAGTTTTGTAGATATGTTGCCGGCTTTGTGTGAGAAAGAGGGAGAGGAAAGGGTATAAGCAACCGTCTCTCTCACTCATCGGACGAAACGCAGCCATTAAAGTCTACTTCACGCCGATCTTCTGTGAGAGGGTGGTACTTACGGTTCAGACAGAACATGTTCGAGCTGTAGTAACTTGACCACAGATAGGCTTTACTACCTTAAGCTAAAATGTTAGATTTATCGATAAAAAAACTATCAATTTTCCGTTTTAAGTACAATTCTAAGTAGTGGTTACCATACATGTTGTCTTATTTACTTAGTTGGTCATTAGCAAACTGTACTTTAAAATATAAGCTATATATATATTACAAGTTCCCTTGACATACAAATGACATAATATTTTATATCTTTTTCATCGCTTATGTAGATTTTGTTGTATATCTTTCTTAAAATATACATAGGAAGACATCGAAGATTTTGTTATCATTATATATGTACTTCTTGTTCTTCTTCCTAACAATTTCCTAGCTTTAGCCAGGGTCTGTCTTACATGTTGTTAATAGTTTTGGCTAATTGTTACGACCGGCCGCCTGTCTGACATCAACCCTCTTTGGGAATGTATTAATCAGTGATGTCTAAATACTCTTATAAAGTACATATGACTCGGAATAATCACATTGGTACTTGCCAGGATCGAACCTGCGCCCTCATGCATGAGAGGCGGGCCTTTTAACCACAAAGACACCACTGACTTACTATTATATATGTACTATAAATATCTAATTGTTTTATTACCAGCAAATACAACAACTCTTCGTCAACTATCCCTTACTAACTATTACTAACAACTTCGTCGACTTCCCAATTCCTAAAAAAACGAAGGTTGGCAACGCATCCGCAACAAAATTGTTGTGGATGTCCATGGTCAATGGTGACTACTGCCCATCAAGTAGGCCGTCTTATAGGCTTATTTGTCAACTTTTATATAAAAAAAATATTAGTTTCCTACTAGAAGTTTCAATAAAGGAATTAATAGCTAACTTTTCAGTCAGGTTCAAATTTACAACGATATTATCGTACGCTATGTATTATTTATACTTCTAACTGTCTGTTTAGTTGTATGATAGAAACTAATAGTACGTTTTAATAATTACTAAACTTTTGATGTAATCGTTGTTTATTTTACTATCATACTTTCAGTACGTCGGTGACAGGGGCCGAAGCAGTCAATCCACTATGCACGGCTATCATGAGAAGACTGGAGTGATATTTTTCGCTGATATCGGCAGGGATGCTGTGTCTTGTTGGAATAGTGGCAACATCCTAAACCCAGCTAATGTAGCTGTTCTCGTGAGGGATGGAAAGAGAATGAGCTATCCGTCTGGTAGGACCTATATTTATATTATTTAGGGCAGCGCAGAAGCCTTTAAAATTAATGAAAAGTGAAAATAAATTATAGTAGAATGAAACTCATTAGAAAAGGAGGGGAATATTATAAAAATTAAAGGAAAAATAATTTACGGGCGATCTGAGGTCGGTCCAAATACAATTCCGACCGCAGGTATCAAGTAAATTATTTTATATTATCCTCCTTTTCTAATGAGTTTTATTCTACTATAATTTAATAATGTTTTAGAAGCTATCGACACTGGTCCATATCTCATTTCATCATCATCATCATCAGCCTATCAGAGCCCACTGCTGAGCAAAGACCTCTTTCCCACAAGGAGAAGGTTTGAGCATTAATCACCACGCTTGCTCAAGACGGGTTGGTGATTTCAAACTTATAATTGTAAAACTATAATTCCATGTTTCCTCACGATGTTTTCCTTCACCTTATGTCAGTGATGTCTAAATACTCTCAGAAAGTACTCATTTACACATACATAAATAGAATGAGATAAATGTAAATTTAGTTCTTGGTGAGTATTTGCAAAAATAGGTGATAGAAATAAAATTAGGTTTTTTGGATTTGATTACGAGATTTTCAAGTTTGCATAAATTAATCGAAATGTTTGATTGAATGTATAATCAAGAAGTGGCTATGATTCTTACAGGGAAAGATCTCTTTTGGGACTATTTCGGTTAATTATTGTTGTATTAAAAAAATGGTGGGAAAATAAAGAATATTATTAAACTATTGCGAGTCTAAAATACTTTTTAACATTTCAAACCATTTTAAAACAAATATACCGACCGAAACATCGTGAGGACACCTGGACTTATATTTTCACAATTATAAGTTTGAAATCACCAACCCGTCTTGAGCAAGCGTGGTGATTAATGCTCTAACCTTCTCCATGTGAAAAATAGGTCTTGCTCAGCAGTGGGCTCTGATAAGCTAAAGAAATTGTAGCTTTTCTCATATAATATAATATATAATTTGTACTATGTATTTTTCTTAATCCAGATCTACACATCACGGGCGATGAGGTCTGGGTGATGGCGAACACTTTACCACGATTCGGTTACTCAAGGCTGGACCCGAATGAGTATAACTTTTATATATACAGGTGATTAGTGAACTAAGAATTTTCAAGAATTAAATAAAGTACATACTACAATAAGATAAATATAGATATATAATATTTTATGAAATCATCTAAACCATCTTAGGTCACATAAATGCTTACAAAATTCATTCAAATCGGTCCAGTCGTTTAGTAGTTCAGTGACATATACACGTACATAAGAATTATGTATAGAAAGAGAGAGAGAATGGAAAAAAAACAGAGAGAGATATATACATATTATCTCTACTAATATTATAAATGCGAAAGTAACTCTGTCTGTCTGTCTGTCTGTTACGCTGTCACGTCTAAACCACTGAACTGATTTTAATGAAATTTGGTACAGACATAGAGTTGACCTTGAGAAAGAACATAGGATAATTTTTATCCCAGACTTTTGAAAGGTTCTCTTGGAAACGCGATATAACCGAACTCCACGCGGGTGACGCTGCGGGGGGAAAGCTAGTATATATACAGGGTGACTGGTGAATTACTATCGATATTTGAGGACGTGATATTTGACGATCATATATGACGAAATAAAAATTAATATAACATAAATATTAATAAACTTCTAAGTAAAGTTAACCAAAAGTTGTGTAATTAATTACGCATCGTATGAACACCCTACAGATTACTCTACACTACACACTCACACATACGCGCGCGGCGGCGTAGTGTTGTATCAGCACGCCGCCGCACGCGTCCACACTAGGAACACTTGGAACGTGTACACACTTTATTTATTTATACGGAAATTTGGTCAAAAATTAAGTACCTATTTTTTTTACATAATTCGAATGAGAATCATGTACCGAGTATGCTCCTTAAATATTGATAGTAATTCACCAGTCACCCTGTATATGTATATATGTTTTATTTTCAGAGCCAACGTGTACGACCTAATATCTGATACGGTGTGTCAATCGAAGTCCATGTTCGATCAATGATTATAGATTTCTCATTTATACTTAGTACGAGTTCCCATTACACTACATACGTGACGTTTGACGTTTCTCATACGTTAATACTATGTGATTTATGAATAAACTGTTGACGCTACGTATGTAGTGAGAACAAACTTGGATTAAGCATGATTGTTTTATAATTTTTTATACCTTGAATAAATATTATCTTTGTAAATTTGTTTTCTTTTATACTATAGTTATTTTTCCTTTCTTATAATTATATTCGCAATATTTAGATAATATATTAAATTTAAAAAATAGACACAATGAAGATATTGAATATTCCTGCATTTTTCATTTATAGCATGTCGCATTAAAGCATAGCTCTAAGTTATAAGATTTTTTCACCCTTATTTATTTTTCAGACGAAATTTTTTGTTTTATTTTTTTTATAATGTAGCATTAAAAAATACATACAAGCCTAAATTTTTACTTTTTTTTATCAATAACCTCTACTATTGATATGGCAAAACAACATATATATATATATATTTGAGATGCTATGTTATTACTCCTAGTGATATAAAATTATCATTTCAATTTTTTTGTGATTATGTTAAACCTATAAACAATATTTTGATACCTTATTTATAAAAGAAAGTCGTGTTAGTTACACTATTTATAACTCTAACGACTGTACGGATATGGATGAAGATTGGTGGAGAGATAGATTAGAACATAGAAAGGACATAGGATACTATACATACGATTGAACAACTAATCCAAAATTTTCTTATCTACTGTTTTTAAGGAGGAACAGAGTTCGCTAGATCAGATATACTTTTGAAATTCTGAAACTAACAGACGAAGTCGCTGACTAAAATTAGAAACAAATAAAAAAAGGAAATAGCTATCTCATAAAAAATGTACATCGTTTCTGTAATTATAAAGATTTTAATATATGTTTAATAAAATTGTAAAGAAAACAGTATTTTTTATAAATAAAATAATGTTATTGTTTTCTTTATATGTTTATTGTATGAAATATTTGAATTTCTATTTCTTCTCACACACTGTGTTACGGATGAGGTCCTCAACTTTTGATCTGAAAAAATATAATAAAATTAAATATATTATGTTTAGAAAAAGAAAAATATAATATGTATGTACAGAAACATATGATTTGAAACTTAGCAAGTAATTCATTATTATTTTATTGCTTTCGACCAAAATATTGATATTTTTAACTATATAAAAATATATATAAGTATGGAATCTATTGATTAGTCAATCAATTTATGGTTAAATCAAGTAATAAATTGATTTTTATTAAAGAAAGAACTACTTGAAAAACTATTTTAAGTACTTAATAGTGAGAAAAAACACATCAACTACATAATATGTAGTAATATATATTAATAATAATATATTAAATATTGTAACTGTATGTACATTGTTTTATTATATTTGTCGAACTTTTTAAATTCAGAAATCTTTAAAATGTATTACAAAAATATATTATAACACCTAGTTTCCGAGCTTTGCTCGATATTTAGGAATTATTAGTATTATTTTGTGTTTTTTTTAAATTTTGTTTAGGTATATTTAAGTGAACTCGTTAAGAAGACACAAAACAATATAAATCAATTATTAATTTCTTTGTCTAATCCAAAACAAATACTCATTGACTTCCTGTTACTTTACAACGCCATCTGCTGGTGTGACGTTAAAGCAATTAGTAAAAGCAATTAGCAAAAAGTAGTATTACTATTCGACAATAGATGTCAGGAAGAGTGATATTTTAACGCCTCCTTTTTGTTTTTGTTTATAAAATGACATTTTCTAAAAATGATTCCCAGCTAGATCGATTTATCACCCCCGAAACTCCCTATGTTCTAAATTTAATGAAAATCGTTCCAGCCGATTCCGAGATACCAATTTATACAAGAATTGTTCATTTAAATATATGTTTAAGATATAATTTATAAATGTGTGTCTTCAGTCAATGTTAAACATAATGAATATTGAATTAAAATAGTAAATTAATTATAATTAATTATTGATAATAAGTAGATTTAAGTTTTCATAATTACCTGAATATGAAATAATTATTTTCATCAGTATTGAGAACGGAGTAGACAAATCTAGGCATTTGGTTTACAAGAACCCATACCTCGTCACCGATTACTTTCAAATCTAAAAGAAAATGATATTTATAACAATTTTTAATATCTGTCTTTATACATAAAAGAAAGTCGTGTTAGTTACACTATTTATAACTCAACAACGACTGTACGACTATGGATGAAGATTGGCGGAGAGACAGATTAGAACATAGAAAGGACATAGGATACTTTACATACGATTGAAAAAGAAAAATTGTAAGTTGATCAAATAAAAAATCTTATCTACTGTCTTTAATGAGGAATAGAGTTCTTCCGAAACTAACGCAAACAAAGTCTCTGTCAAAAACTAGTAATTTATATAATATCTAATAATATGATTACGTCTGATTAATTTAATGATGTCAGAATTTAACAAAAACATTTAAGTATCAGTAATTTTAATTGAATATAATAAAATAAAAGATAATTACCTGAAATATATACAAGTTTTTTGTGATCTTGTACAGCGATGCCGATATTCTCGGGCGCCATTTTGTTTTCCACATTCCAACACAAGATGGCGTCTTGCGCTACGTTGGCGAAAAACAACGTTTTTGTTTTTCCATGATAGTCGTGGGAACCGCTTTGAGAATTTTCACCTCTTGTGCCTAAATGCTAAAATAAAGTGGATATTTTATTTTACAAATATAAGTATTTTAACAAATCAGAATTTTCAGGCGATAAGGCTAATTTAAGAATTTTAATATGCGTAATGAAGAGCAATGTGAGTGTTATTGTGGTTTATTTGTTAGTAAAATTTAATAATTTATAGCTTAAGTCGATTTTATCACATAATTCTAAATAGAAATAATATTAACTGCTAGTAGGGCGAGCCAATCAGCTATTGGACACGTAATGAGGTCTAAGATTTTCGCGAATATTCATTATTCGAACCAGGAGCGATAATTTAATTTGTTTTTAAGTGATAGGTATTTCAATCAGCTTATTTAGAGTATTAAACTTAGTGTATTAAACTTTAAAAAAAACTCAGTTAATTAACTACAAACAGACTGTTAAATTTCTTAAATTGCTCATAAACTTAGACTATTTTTCTAGTTATAATTTGGGTGTTTTCCAGAAAAGGATGAATAATATTGAGAAAGTGCGTTTACCAATAACTACCTCATTTCTATCTTCCAACGAGTGGAATGATAGTCAAGTACTGTCCAGTTCGAAAAAAATAGTTTAAAAACAAAACAAAAACAGAATTTCGTCGAATAATATTAAATCAAAAAGTTTGAAATAATTTTCTATATAGCCAGAAAATAATAATGAACAAAAATATTAATATTATTGTGAAAACGCATGGGGATTAACAAAAAAATAGGTCACAAAGTCTGTTAAAAAAAGATAAAGTTTTGATTGGTCGCCATTTTCATGAAAATTTTCATTTTTTTACCTGTATACTATCCACTTTTCCATCCTTTAAGTCTTGTATACTTATGGAATATTCCTGAAGAGATGCCAGTGGATGGAAATAAGCTTTTCCATCATCGCTTGCTTCTGACAGAGCTATACTGAATATACCATCTTGCCAATTTATTGGATAACCTTGGAGAAACCAAAATGAAAGCATTACAATTGACATGGTGATAGATAGTTTTTAAATATAAAGAAAAAAAACTATAGAAAATAACAGCAGTTTAACTTAAATACAATTACTTTTTGCTGTTATATTATTTATCAATAACTTTTGGTTTAAGTTATAGAACTTTTTATAAGCAATCATAAAATCTTAGCACAAAAATAGTATTTGCCAGCAGTAGTTACACTAAAACTGCTATTTATTTGCACATATTAACTTTTAGATAGTTTTTTTTTACTCTTTATATAGATTTATCAAGATTTAAGCTATTTAAAACACCATACCAGCTACAGTAAAGTTAAGAGCTGTTTGATCATATGCAAAGCTGGGATGGCTGACTCTCCAACTATTTCTGGTCTTCAAGGAGAATACAATAATCCCGTTAGTAGCTAAATCATTGATGTAGGCATACGCATCATCACAGTCATCCCTTGACACATCCACAGAAATAGATGTTAGTCCTGTAGAGAAATGTAATTTAAATAGTATTAAAGGTGGTAAGGTCAGTGGTGCCCTAGTGGTTAAAGGGCCCGCCTCTCGTTGCCGAGGGGCAGGTTCGATCCTGGCCCGGGCACGTACCAATGTGATTTTTCCGAGTCATATGTACTTTATAACAGTATTTAGACATCACTGATTAATGCTGATTCCCAAAAAAGGGTTGATGTCAGGCAGGCGGCCGGTCGTAAAAACAAATAGCCAAAACTATTCATAGCATGTAAGGCAGATCCTGGCTATAGCTGGGAAATTGCCAGTAGAAGAAGAAATGGTGGTAAGGAAATAATAATGCATGTTTATGATTTAACCAAACGAAATAGAAAAAAATGCTTTAAATAATCTAAATGAGAAACAGATCATTTCTTACAAGAAGTTTAATATATTTTGCTGTAAAGGTACAAAAACGTTGAGATCATATATATATAACTAGGAGAGGGTGGTACTTTCCCGGCCGAGCCAGCCCATATTCGAGCTGCAGTAGACTAGAAGATCGGCCTGAAGCAGTCTTTAGTGACTAATTTTCGTCCGATAAGTGAGAGAGAATTGCCCTTCCCTTTTTCCTCTCTTTCCCACTCTTTCCCCCCATTTTTGCTAAACAAATGATGCAACACCTTTATCAGGTAGGTTGCTACGTTGCAGCCTTTAGCATAAAATTATAATATGTTTTACTACATACCACCAGTAGATCTGTCACTGACGAGGTCAGAATCTTTCAGTTCGTATGTCAATAACAGCTCATCAGTCTTAAGATCATAAATAACTATCGCCGGTTTTTGGATTTGACTTCTGTTACCTGAAAAATAAATGATTACACAAAATTATAATTGGATTTATTAGAAGATTGTTTTAAATGAGAAAAGAGATCGTTATAATGCGCGTTATGTATAGTTCGGTTATATCGCGTTCCCAAGAGAACCTTTCAAAAGTCTGGAATAAAAACTATCCTATGTTCTTTCTCAAGGTCAACTCTATATCTGTACCAAATTTGATTGAAATCAGTTCAGTGGTTTAAGCGTGAAAGCGTAACAGACAGACAGACAGAGTTACTTTCGCATTTATAATATTAATAGGAATAAATGCTAGTTATTGATAGTATCAAATTAGTTTTATGAATGGAAAACTAACTTCGTACTTAGATCTTAAGACTTGTGATAATTGTATTGGTGGGGTCTATGTGTATGTATTTTTATCACATTCATATATCTGAAACTACAAAATAAGTTTTTATGGTATGCGCTATTTATTGGCAATACTTGTGAACTATTTCCTTTAGTAAAAATTCGATTATCCGGCCCTCAGTTATACGGATTCGTGATTATCCGGACTACGGACAAGTCCGGACAAGAAGAGATGTCAAAGTATAAGAGAGTGGTGTTGAGAGTGGCGTACGTCAAATGACAATTAACAAATATTCTAAACCAAATTAAACTTACATATTATGTAATCTAGGAAAATGTTTCCTTTAATTATTTATTAATAAACATTGATTTTAGTTCAAAAGTATTTGTAATTTTTTAAATAAACATATAATATTATGTACTATATATGCACAAAACCGTCTTTTCTTCATACATTCGATTATCCGAATGCCTATCGACAATTAGTACGGTTAATCGATTTTCTACTGTAGTAAGTTATTTTACCAGGTACTTCCAATAGGCCAGTGTCCACCATCCAAATTCTTCCACAGACATCAATTCTAGGCCGATAAACTGAAACGAGGTTTTCACTACCAGGATACGGAGTTAGTGCTGGACTTCTAGATGACCTGGAAACTACATTGAGAGTCGAGGGTATACCTGGAAGTTACAGAAGAAAGATTGAAAAGAAATGTAATAAAACATAAAACAGCGTATTTGGTAACAATATTCAATTTATATTTTGTTATATATAAAAATAGATTCACTTTCATTTACTAAGAGAAGTTCAACTAAATAACACTTCATTTTTGTGATCTAAATGAAGTCATTATTGTTATGAAATGAACAAAAAATTTTCCTTTTCAAATATAAAACAAAACAAAAATTCTTAATTTTTTAATCACCAAACGAAATGTGATATAAATGTAAGCCTTCTGATGACGAAACGGAGTTCGCCAGGTTTACTAGTATATATATATATAAATAAATTGCTGTTCGTTAGTCTCACTAAAACTCGAGAACGACTGAACGGATTTATCTTATCTTAGTCTTGAAATGTTCGTGGAGGAAGGTTTAAAGGATGAAGAAAATTGATTCATTTCCGGGAAAACCCTAAAAACAGCCCTTTTCTATTTCCCATACAAACGTTTTTTTGACATTAGATTTGACAACTAACTAATATGTCAATCATTCTGTTCGATTGAAACAGGAAAAATTTAATAAATACCAATACCTGGTTATTTAAGACGGAATAGACTTCGCCCGGTCAGCTATACTTAATTCCCAAATTAACGCGGACGAAGTCTCGGGCAAAAACTAGTTATGTTATATAAATTAAAAGAAATATATAACAAATTTTTATTACTAATAATATTTATATTCTAATTCCTTGAAATTTTTAAACGCCTGATCATATTTTATAGCAGAACCATTTACTTAATTGTACTGTATTGCTATTTTAAAATATCAGGATTAATACATAACTTACCGAATCTTCGCCTCGGAACAGTTACGAAAACCCGTTCTTTGTACACTTCGAATCCTATCGGCACGTTGTTATATTGTATAAAATTTTCGTTTACATTCGAAGAGGCATAATCCTTGTCATCTTAAATAAGAAAAAAATTAAGCTACATAAGTAATACTTACGACAAAAAGTAAACAATTATATATATAAGTCAGTAGTGGTTAGATCCTGGCAAGTACCAATGTGATTTTTCCGAGTCATATGTACTTTAACAGTATTTAGACATCACTGATTAATGCATTCCCAAAGAGGGTTGATGTCAGGCAGGCGGCCGGTCGTAAAAACAATTAGCCAAAACTATTCACAACATGTAAGGCAGACCCTGGCTAAAGCTTGGAACTTGCCAGGAAGAATAATTATATTATATATTTAAAAAAACTTACACAGAATACCACCGATATTATAACTGATTTGTTTCCAAGAGAACACATTTTTTAATTTACGACTATAAACAAAGTTTTGTGATAACAAAAAAGTAATTAACAGAAGCAGTCTCATCTTGCCGAGGTGACTCTTAAAACTAGTTGTGGTCATGTAAACATGGAGACGTTTTAAATAATCGATAATTTTATAAAAAACATCGATATTTTTAATCGATTAAATTTTCTTATTTCATTCAGTATTAAATATGCTTAAATGAAACTAAAATGTGTACTCGCGAAAATCTTAGATCTCATTATTAAATATGCTTTTAAATCCTATTAATATTATAATTGAGAATGTTTGTGTGTGTGTATGTTTGTTACTTCTTCACGCTCAAACGGCTGAACCGATTTTTATAAAATGTTGTATACAGGAAGCTGACGTCCAGGAATAACACATTGGGTACTTTACATCCCGGAAATCAAGTAACACCGCGGGGCGCAGCTAGTTATTAATAATAATGAAAAAGTGGAATTCGTAATAATTATTCTGATAATTTAAGGTAATATTGCTTATTGAATGGAGATTCATCTTTCATTTTGTAATGTATCTTGTACCTACCTACATTTTGTAAAATAGTTAAATTTTGTTGAATTCTCGTTTCTTTCGATTTTAAATCGATATATCTACCTATCGATTTTAAATCGATTACAGAGAGTCATTTTTTTATGTTTTCTTTTTAAACTAGATTCTGTAATCCTTTTTTTTATGTAGTTGAACTATTTCTTTGAACACAACACAAAGATTTCAAGGACGTTAACATGACAACTCGTTTTAAAAGACCACAAATATACAGGGTGACTGGTGAATTACTATCGATACTTGAGGACGTGGTAGGTGACGATCATATATGACAAAATAAAAATTAATATAACATAAATATTAATAAACTTCTAAGTAAAGTTAACCAAAAGTTATGTAATTAATTACGCATCGTGTGAACACCCTACAGATTAGGTATACACACACACTCACACATACGCGTGTCGTGACGTAGTGTTGTATCAGCACGTCGCCGCACGCGTCCACACTTTAACACTTGGAACGTGTCAACACTTTATTTATTTATACGGAAATTTTGTCAAAAATTAAGTGCCTATTTTTTTTTACATAATTCGAATGAGAATCATGTACCGAGTATTCTCCTTAAATATTGATAGTAATTCACCAGTCACCCTGTATATAGAAGATAAGTATATTCTATGACTGACAGAAAGCTAAATATTTTAAACCTTATTGGAAATGCGGTTAAATTATTTGATAGCACCAAATGATCTGAGATTTTCACGAGTCATTTAAATGAAACTAATATTTTGAGGATATTCTACGAGACTTTATTTTATTATTATAAACTACATACTCCCGACGTTTCGGTTACTTTACAGCAACCGTGATCATTAAGACGAGATGTGTCTGTCAGTCGGTATTGTCTTATTATTCAACATCAGTCATATATATATACATATATATATATATATATATATATATATGTATGTATATTATACTAGCTTTCCGCCAACGTGGAGTTCGGTTATATCGCGTTTCCAAGAGAACCTTTCAAAAGTCTGGCATAAAAACTATCCTATGTTCTTTCTCAAGGCCAACTCTATCTCTGTACCAAATTTAATTAAAATCAGTTCAGTGGTTTAGGCGTGAAAGCGTAACAGACAGACAGACGGAGTTACTTTCGCATTTATAATATTAGTAGGGATAAGCTGTTACAGAGTTATAATTAGATAATTAGATATGTATTATTTGTAAATAATTCTCAGTATTCTCAAACAAATAAAACTTGTCTGAGAAGAGACCGCGTTCCTTGAATTGACGTGTTTTTTTTGTCTAATTGGGTGATTCTGCAATTATTTCATCTATTTTTTTTCAGTTTCTATCATAATTCATAACAAATTGATATTAGTCTTGGATTATTTAAAGATTTGATTGCTTTTTTTATATTTCCATCGTATTTCCCTCAAATCACAGATATCGATACTAACTTAAACATAAATCCGATTGAGTTTTTTGGGAGATGATCAGCTGGTTATTCTATTCTATTAATTAATTCATTATGAAATAAGATATATAAAATTATATTTTAAATTACTATATACGATATGGCTAGAACATCAGATATTTTTTTGATTTTCATTCTGTTATCTTACTATGTTCCTTCATTTGTTGAAATTAAGGGTCTTTAGAAAGAGTTATAAATTTGATGTAGATGCTTGTATGTACGTCTGTGGTACCCTATATTTCAAACGGATGGACTAATTACGATGCGGTTCTTGCATTCTTAAGCCAGTATCCTAAAGGTTCTCAGCTACGTTTGCTTTTTATTGTAAAAGTATTAGAGTATTAGTTGTGTTCAAAATGTAAGATATTTTGAACCGTGAATACACGACGAAAGCTTCACTTCTACGAGTGTAACTTTTCTTCTTCTCCTTCCTGGCAATCTCCCAGATTTAGTCAGGGTTTATCAGTGTAACTTATATTTTTAGCAAATATCGATACAAAGAAAACAACTGTAATTTTTTTTAATTGAAGAGTTTTAAAAACAAAAAACATTTATAAGACATTCACATCTCGTCTGCCCGTGATCACGGTTGCTAAAAGTAGCCGAATCGTTGGGAGTACATAGTTTTACACCAAAAATAAAGTCGCGTAGTATATCAGAAAAATATTAATTTGATTTAAATAAAATAATAATTTTGTTATCATTCCAAATTAGCAGAATCACCCAACACATGACATTTGATAACCTCGCGAAGATAATGTGTATTCTATGAAGAAATTTATTTATATTGATAAAATAAGTTATAAACAAAATCACAACAAAAATAATCAAGTTTTAAATATTAAAATGAATGAAATATATGTACTTAATGTCCTATATATAATGTATCACTTAATTAGGAGCCTAAATATCATTATAATTCAATAAACAGTCAAAAAATGTCGCTGTTAATAATTATAATAAAAATCTTTTATAATTCTTACTCTACCTGCCAATTTCCCAGCTTTATCCAGGGTCTGCCTTACATGTAGTGAATAGTTTTGGCTAATTGTTTTTACGACCGGCCGCCTGCCTGACATCAACCCTCTTTGGGAATGCATTAATCAGTGATGTCTAAATACTCTTATAAAGTACATATGGCTCGGAAAAATCACATTGGTACTTGCCAGGATCGAACCCACGCCCTCGTGAGTCGTGCATGAGAGGCGGGCCTTTTAACCACTAGGCTGCCACTGACTTAATATTCTTCATTTTTTTAATTCTTACATCAAAACTTAATTTAAAAATATAGTTTTATATTTTGTAAAAATTATACCATTGTACATTTCATACGCAGCAGATATATTTAATTAGTTTTGAAAATAAATAAGCCACTCACTAAAACATATTTAAGGAAAAACAAAGAACATACAAAGATATATAAAAAAACTTAATATATTATATACCAAACTTATTGTTAAAATAAAAAAAAATATTTATACCATAAACAAATATTAATAAATTATATATAAAACAACATAATATTGGAGAGTGAGATCTACACTAGTTTTTGCCCGCGGCTTTTTCCGAATCAGTTACATAATTAGAAATGTATAGCATGCCAGAACTATTTCGATTTAAAGACAGTAAATATATTAGGTAGATTATATTACCAAATTTATTTACGGGAGAAACGAATTGAAAAATATCTTATTTTTCTGAAAAGTATAATAATAAACTTTAAACTTACAGTGAGTAATTTGATGCAAAACTTATTTTAATTGTTTTTTACTCCACGTATCAATCACTGGTCAACTTGGGTGTCAACTGTCAGTCGTGAAGTTGCTCTTGTTAGGAACACACGCTTTCAATGTGAGTACAATATATATTAAATTTAATATTATTATAATAAATTTATAATATTTATATGTAATCGTAGTTAATATATATTTTTCACAATATTTTCTTATGTATTGTGTTATTAATAGATACTGTTGTTGAACAAAATAAAAGTTTTTTAAGATAAATAAAATCTAAATTATTTTCCATTAAAAAACCTAATTTTTTTGTATTGTATTATAAAGATTGGTATGAAAATGCGTATATTAATTCATAGTTTAAATAATAAATAAGTTTTATTATTTCTAATCTACCTACCTACTTTGATAAAATTATTAATTCACATCTCGTTTCGTAAATGGAGGCAAGAACAAGTTTTGCTGTAATCTTACCACAAGTTTCATAGTAACTATATACTGATAGTTTAAAGTAAAAACTCATAAATCTTCGTATATGATAGCATCGATTTAGTTATTTATATAAATTAAAAAACGCCAACATTTCTGTATTCCTTTTGATGATATTAACTCGTTCTAGGGATAAAAATGGGTATATTTATTTCTTCTTCTTCCTGGCAATTCGCCAGCTTTAGGCAGGGTCTGCCACTGAAACTGGGTATATGTATTTATCTTCTATCTTCTATATATATAAAAATGGATTGCTGTTCCTTAGTCTCGCTAAAACATGAGAACGGCTGAACCGATTTGGCTAATTTTAGTCTTGAAATACTCCTGGAAGTCCAGGGAAGGTTTAAAAGGTGAGAAATATTGGAATAATTGCCGGGAAAACCCTAAAAACAGCCCTTTTCTATTTCCCATACAAACGTTTTTTTTTGACATTAGATTTGACAACTAACTAATATGTCAATCATTCTGTTTGATTGAAACAGGAAAAACCTGATTATTTATGGCCTCTAAGACGTAATAGAGTTCGCCTGGTCAGCTATACCTACATATATTACTCTTGACCGAACTAACGCGGACGAAGTCGCGGGCAAAAACTAGTTGATATATAATTTTATAGTAATGTTTCTTTAGATTCCATTCCATATTTACGTAATTATATATAATTGACTGTAATTACTGTCTGTAAATACAACTTAAAAAATATATTTAGACTAAATACATGGTCAAATGATTGTATATATGATTTAATAATAAAACGAGAAGTATATATATACATATATATTTTACAGGGTGTACAATGAGATTTTTTTTAAATTATCGACAAAAATAACTTAAATACCTTTCTATATAATTTTCTTCAAAAAGATACAATTCTAAATATTATCTCCAAATAAATGAGAATTTTTTTAAGTTTTTCACATAATCATATTTTTTTATTTATTTATAAGACTTGTTAATTACTTAAACAAAAGTTTTGCAACACAATTCTCATTCTCACGCGTACAATGGCTTTTATTACTTAACATTGATTAAATAATATTATTTTTAGTATTGTTAATAAGATTGTATGAAAAATATTATATAATAATACATTTTTTATACAAAATACAAATTTAATTTATATTCCAATACATTACTCTTTAATAACTTCATTAAGTACATCATGATTATTTGATTTCTATAACAGATCAAATTATTTAATAATAATTGTTATAAATATATTATTTTAATTAAATTTAAATAAGATTTATCTATTAATATTGTGTTATAAAATGACTTCATAACCTTTATGATAAGATATGTTATTTCAACTAACAATATATTTGTTCAATTTACATTATATAATACATATAGTATATATATGTTACATCCGGTTTAAAGGTAGCAGTTATATATCAATCTATATATTTCTTTCCTTTAAAAGATAACTTATTTAACAAAAGATAAATTTGATAACTTTCTAAAAGATCAGTTGTTCTGGGTCAATGAAAGTAAAAATAACGTAGCTAATTTCATTTTCAATCTTGTTTATATTGTATTTATACGGAGATTTTTTAATGAAAAAACATTGATAATATTAGTTTATAGGAAACGCATGATAAGCTTTTATAGTAGTTTATTTGATCTTTTCTTATTTAATTTGTTTTTTAATGAATAACAGTGGTTAAACTCACATTGAAGATTAATTAATAACAGCGCCATCTCTTGACGATTTTCTCAAACAGTACTCATTTAATGTTTTTAGCCTCACATGTAATAAATAATATATTATACAGGAAATAAAACAATAATGATAATTTATTCCTTTTTTGGACTTAGTCCTTTATATGACTAAGTTTTATAAAAAGGTTATGTATCGGCAATGAACTAATATTTCCTGTTAAGTATGAGTAATTGAAGGCATTGTTTGTGATTCATGAGGTAATTTAATTCCAATTCAGGTTAAGTTTATTGTGTTTACAAACATACAAACACATATTATATGTTATTAAACATAATTATATAGGTATTAGAACATTATATGTACCTTATACTATGAATGAAACATTTAGTTTTGAATTCAATACTGCTTTTAGCTTCTCAAAGCAATGTGTGATCGAGTTTAATTGACTATATCTTCTTCTACCTGCCAATTTCTTAGCTATAGCCAGGGTCTGCCTTACATGTTGTGAATAGTTTTGGCTATATGTTTTAACAACCGGCCGCCCGCCTGACATCAACCATTTTTTGGGCATCAACATTAATCAGTGATGTCTAAATACTCTTATAAAGTACATGCGACTCAGAAAAATCACATTGGTACTTGCCCGGGCCTGGATTTGATTGACTATATCGTTTAATTATAATTCAATGGTTATAATAAACTTTATTTTTAACGTTAGTTGTATATAATAGGCATAATATTATATATTTTATATGTATATATATTATTTTGTTTAGAATGAAGCTCCTAACGTTAGTAACAATCTTCGCGGTCGCTGTTTCGACACATGCAAGGACTGCGGTGAGGCAGCAGTCCGTGAGTGGACACATTACTTCACTAAGTGATAAGGTGAGTATGTATTTGAGTTTGAAAGTAAAAGTAGCGTTAGACAAAAAAACTTTTAGAATTCAATATTATTATATTTTAAATAGATACATTATATAAATGCTAGAGCTATTCTAGATTAAAAATAAAATAAACATAACTTGTAAAAGGCCAAATGGAAATATGATGGAAAAAGAATATCTTCTATATATATAAAAATGGATTGCTGTTCGTTAGTCTCACTAAAACTCGAGAACAGCTGAACGGATTTATCTTATCTTAGTCTTGAAATGTTCGTGGAGGTTCAGGGAAGGTATAAAAGCTGAAAAAAATTGATTCATCACTGGGAAAACCATAAAAACAGCCCTTTTCTATTTCCCATACAAACGTTTTTTTGACATTACATTTGACAAGTAACTAATATGTCAATCATTCTGTCGCACTTCAAAACACGGAGATTTATGGCTTACAGTTAAACTCCAAAAATATAAATTAAAAAGCGTTATAGATATTTCTTGATTATAGGGAGATACAAAGTTCGCCAGGTCTTCTAGTTAAATTATAAAAATTTTTAAAAAGCAATACAAATTCTTCGTCACTTGACATTGCGTTTACAACATTTGACGCTACCAGTACAAAGGGTGAAGTGAGGAAGGTACGGGGCGGAGTAAAAGCAGAATAAACCGGTTCAAAAGTAGAAAATAACGTGACATTAAAAAATTTGACATCACACCTACACTATATGTGCAGTCACAAATGAAAAGCTCAGCTTAAACCAAATTCACTATACCAATTTTAATTCAGTTTTTTTAACTTTATAAATATTTTATTAGATACTAGTAAAATAAATGCTAAAATTAGTTAGTACAGTTGATCTTTTCACGGTTGCTGCAAAATAATCGAAACGTATGAAGTACGTAGTTGAAATAATAAAAATAGGACATCCGACATTAAGACTAAAATAGCTTGTGTCTTTATAGAAAAATTACCATAGTTATTATTTCATTGATCAACGAATTATCATCTTAGTTTCGTTTAAATGGTCCACGGAAACAGATAAACTTTTCGTTCTTTACTTTACGTGTCACTGTTAAACATTCGATAACTATTATAGTATTCGTTAAATATATGAAATTAAATATAAAAATAGCAAGTAGTTTTTGTATTATTAACATAAAATTAAAACTAAATCTTTGTATTTTACAAAAGTAGGTAATAAAATTTTCCTAGCCATCTTCTCATACAGAAGGAAGTAGCTATAGATATATATATCTATAAATAGCTATAGATATGTTACAAGCCATCTATAAATATCTATAGAGGTATCTATTGTAAGGTGAGCATTGTGAATTAACTGTTTCCTCTCCTCAGTATAACGTATGTAGGAACTCCTCAATTTTAACACGTACGTACCAACAATAAAACACACATATATATATCTTCTTCTACCTGGCAATTTCCCAGCTTTAGCCAGGGTCTGCCTTACATGTTTGTTAATAGTTTTGGCTAATTGTTTTTACGACTGCCTGACGTCAACCCTCTTTTGAGAATCAGCATTAATCAGTGATGTCTAAATATTCTAAGAAAGTACATATGACTCGGAAAAATCACATTGGTACTTGCCCGGGCCAGGATCGAACCCGCACCCTCGGCAACGAGAGGCGGGTCCTCCAACCATTAGGCCACCACTGATTTTTTATATATATATATATATATATTGTAGTAGTGTTTTCCGTTTCATTAAATGCCCTACCTTAATACTATTATGTGACAATATGTAGGAAAAATTACGAAACTTCCGTATGTAGTCAACACCAAATGTAGATGAACTTGGACTAAGCACTACGAAATCTTTTCTTAAGTTGGTGTTTCCGCGATGCTAGCAGCTTCTCTCTCTCTTTCTCTCTCTCTATATATATATATATATATATATATATATATATATATATATTAATATATATATTTCCTTTTACAGGATGCACGTCAAAAGGCGAGTGTACATCCAGCATTCGCTAACGCCGGCACAAAAGCTGGTTTAGAAATATGGAGAATAGAGGTATATATATAATAATATTTATTGTACATTCTTAAATTAATAATCAGAAGTAGATAAAAATGTAATCTTGACGACCTTATATCTAAAGGTCGAGCTCTTTTAAACAATAGGGAAGAATATATATGTACATATGTATTTCTACTAGCTTTCCACCCGCAGCTTCCAAGAGAATTTTTCAAAAGTCTGGCATAAAAACTATCCTATGTTCTTTCTCAAGGTCAACTCTATGTCTGTACCAAATTTCATTAAAATCAGTTCAGTAGTTAGAGTTACTTTCGCATTTATAATATTAGTAGGGATTCGTTAAAAAATAATACAAATTAAAATAGTGAACTAGTAACCTTTTGAATGAAAATAATATAAATATAAAATTATAAAGAATTAATCTAGTAAGGAGTCAGTATGATAAATAAGCAATGTATTTTAGACGTATATTTTCTTATTTAAAAAAATGGAATAATAGTTTTAGAACTAGATATTTTATTTCAATGTATAATCAAAGTAAATTCTGGATATATTGTATTACTTATTCTTCAAGATCAAAAATAAGTTATTATTTAAATAAATAACAAAATCCATATATATTCTCCTAGTTACAATCTTATATATAAAATTCTCGTGTCGTTGTGTTAGACAGAGAACTCCTCGAAAATGGTTGGATCGATTTTGATGAAATTTTGTGAGCATATTGAGTAGGTCTGAGAGTCAGCCAACATCTATTTTTCATACCCCTAAGTCATGAGGGTTTTTCACAGTTATTTTTAATTATAAAATATATACAAACCAAAATTTTTACTTTTTTATCACCAACCCCTATTTTTTATATGATAAAACAACGTTTTCGAGGTCAGCTAGTAATATATAATGTTCTTTGATTTCAGAACTTCGACCCAGTCGCCGTACCAGACTCAGAACATGGAAAATTCTACAAAGGAGATTCATATATTATTTTAAAGGTAATCTTTAATAATATATACTACTTTTTGACCACGACTTCGTCCATATTAATTTCTTCATTAGTAATATATGTATAGCTGACCGGACGAACTATATTCCAACCTAGAGGACGTAAATAACCAGATATTGGAATTTATTAAGTATTTTTTTCAATCGAACAGTATTAAATATCCTATGTCCTTTCTATGTTCTAATCTATCTCTTGACCAATCTTCATCCAAACCCGTATATGTTCTTGAGTTATATATAGTGTAACTAACACGACTTTCCTTTATATATATACTATATAATATATGTATGTTTTAGACTACATCAGATAAAAAGAAGAATCTATCCTGGGATATCCATTACTGGATCGGCAGCCAGTCATCTCAAGATGAGTCTGGTGCAGCCGCTATACTCTCTGTCGGTCTAGATGATAAATTCAACGGTAAAGCTATACAACATAGAGAGTCCATGGGGTATGAGAGCCAACAGTTCCTGGGATACTTCAAGAATGGAGGTAAGTTAGGTATAGAGATGATTACTATTTAACATTATAGTCGTGGTGGCCTAGTGGTTAATGCCCGCATCTCATGCACGAGAGCGCGGGTTTGAAACCTGGCACGTACCAATGTGATGTTGCTAGTCATATGTACTTTATAAGAGTATTTAGACATCACTGATTAATGAAGGAAAATATGAGGAAACATGGACTTAATCAAATTATAAGTTTGAAGCAAGTGGTGAATTGTGATTAATACTCTTTCTCCATATGAGAAGAGGCCTTTATTTAGAAGTGGGCTCTGATAGGCTGATGATGATGATATATTTCAGATTTAAGACTTGACAATTCCTTTAAATGGAACTAATATTTTCGGATTACTACGCGTATTTTATTATTATTATTCTTATTCAATTCTCATCTCGTCTTAATGATCACGGTTGCTGAAAAGTAACCGAAACGTCTGTAGTATGTAGTTAAAATAATAAAATACGCTTAGTATACGAAAACATTAGTTTCATTTAAATATTATATATTTGTTAATTAATGTCTTAAAATTAAAACAAAAATTAAGAAAATATGACAAACCAGTAATGACAGATCGTTGCATAGTTAGTAACTCTATCTAGTGAGATATTGAGGCAACAAAAAAATTACGCTTTTCGGTTTAAATAGTACTAACGACAATGAGATTATTTAAAATATTATATACGGTTTATGTGAAACGAATTTTTATGTCCAAAAAGATCAGTCGAAGCTAAGATAGCCTATTTTTCGTAATTTTGCTATATAAAACATGATTATTGGTTAATAAAAATTGTATGATATATCCAAAAAACGGCTTCCCAATATTAATAAGTTCGCGATTTTTGAAATAATGAACATTATGTATAAGAAAATAAGAAAAGCTCTGGCTACGAGCTGAAAATGGCACCGAAAGATATATACCAGCTATAGACCGTTCTTGGCTTGAATACTTCCGAAATTATGACTAACTAGCTGCGCCCCGCGGTGTTACTTGATTTCCGGGATGTAAAGTAGCCTATGTGCTATTCCTGGACGTCAGCTTCCTGTATACAAAATTTAAACAAAATCGCTTCAGCCGTTTGAGCGTGAAGAAGTAACAAACATACACACTCACAATCTTTCGCAATTATAATATTAGTAGGATTCTTATTGTTTTTCTAACCTGACCTTGTCTTTGACCTTCCAGCTGTCCGTTATCTGGACGGAGGTCACGACTCTGGGTTCAACCACGTAGTCACTAACCCTGGGGCAGAGAAACGACTGTTCCAGGTGAAAGGAAAGAAGAACATAAGAGTTAGACAGGTGAGAGAAGATTATTGTAGCATATATATAGGATGTAACAAAAGAATTAAAAAATATAGTTGTCTTTAAACCAGTATTTTTGTATAACACACTAATTATTATCTTAAACCAAAACAACTTAAATAGGTTGAATTCAATAAAAAAAAAACAAGTCGTGTTCACAAAATACTTTCCCTCGCAAAATTGAACGAACCAAATGTCATCGCTTTAATATAGGTATATATACCATATTATAAATAGTAGTCAGAGCAAGTATTATAAAACAACAAAAAATAAACATAAAGACCCAAATTATCATTTCATCATTACACTGTCACGAATGACTTAATTGACTAATCATACGTCAAAAATGTATTACATCACTTGGTAAAGATAATCTACATTCAACTATTCTATAATCTATTCTACATCTACAATCTACATTCTACATTGCACAACTAGACCGATGTTAACAAAAAAAAAAATGACTTCAAAATGACAAAAACCACATCGAAATCGGTTGATCTGTTACATAGCTACGATGACAAACACACATACATCGTGAATATACTATCAATATTTTCTAACTCTAATTCTGGGAGGAATAACAATCTTTAAATATCTCCAAACAAGATTTATTAATAAAACACTGTTTATTTAATATTAGGTAGAAAATGCTTGTTTAAGCTAAATTAATTTTAATTTATAAAATAATTATTAGAGACTATCTTTCCGCCCGCAGCTTCGCTCGCGTACAGTTCGGTTATATCGCGTTTCCAAGAGAACCTTTCAAATGTCTGGTATAAAAACTACCCTATGTTCTTTCTCAAGGTCAACTCTATGTCTGTACTAAATTTCATTAAAATCAGTTCAGTGGTTTAGACGTGAAAGCGTAACAGACGGACAGACAGAGTTACTTTCGCATTTATAATATTAGTAGGGACTATGTATAAAGTAATAAACTTTGGTAGAAAAATCATGTAAGCTATATTCTAAAACTATTGATTGAGGTACAATTCCAGTCTCGATTTTTAGTTCATCATTACTTCCTGTAATTCTTCTTCTTCTACCTGGTAATTTCCAAGCTATAGCCAGGGTCTGCCTTGCATGTTGTGAATAGTTTTGGCTATTTGTTTTTACGACCGGCCGCCTGCCTGACATCAACCCCTTTTAGGGAATAATTTTATTACTTCCAGTACATAATGTCTTACAAAATGGTTGAAGCCAATTATAGTTTTCAAATACAATGATACTAATTTTCCCATCTTGCTTTCCAGGTGGATCCTCTAATTTCCTCAATGAACAAAGGCGATGTGTTTATTCTGGATGTGGACAGCAGTATCCTGGTGTACGTGGGCAGTTCAGCGAAGAATGTGGAGAAGCTGAAGGCTATCTCCATAGCGAATCAGATTAGGGACCAGGACCACAACGGACGAGGGAAAGTTGAGATCATTGGTGAGTGGAGAATGATTTAGGGATTTAGGGAATATTATAAAAAAATTGGTTGTTTGTAAAGTAGGTTTACGATCGAGATGTTTACGTGATAACGTCTTATCGGTGATATAAGCTTTTGGGAAGTAACACATTCAACGAAAACTTAACCGCACGAGAAAATCTCCATTCGTTTGTATGCCGCTAGAGTGAGAGAGACGGAAGATCGGTCCACTCACTCGAACGCTATGCCTGCCTCCGCTCGTGAGGATTCCGCGTGACAAGTTGCACGGAATGACTGGCAGCGCTCGAGATGAGACGGGAGATCGGTCCGTCTCTCTCTCGTTATACCTGCGATCGCGCTCGTGAGGTTTTGGTGTGACACAAGTCTCTGAACATGTCACCCGACTAAAACGATTTTAAAGACGTTATCACGTCAAAATAGTTATATTCTTTGTCCCACAACTCATCACCAATCACCAACCCATCTTGAGCAAGCGTGGTGATTAATGCTATAACCTTCTCCATGTGAGGAGAGGCCCAGCAGTGGGCTCTGATAGGATGATGATGAAGTAGATACTTTCATTTGTGAAGCTAAGTTAGAAATTTTTGTTATAAAACTTTGTAAAGGATAAGTTTAGTTATTGTTTTCAATATTAGAAGATATTAAAAAAGCAATAGTTTTCATTATAGCAATTTGAATACATTTTTTGCATAACACTACCTAGTCGGTTATTTCCTCGTTCAAAATCTATATCAACTATATCATACAATGTATCGAAATGATTATGACTTGAGTCTTCTTTAAAATAATAATTATATAAATGCTTAATTCCATTCTACACACTCAATCATATTTCCACACAGTAATCAAGATTATAATAAGTCCAACAAATAAAAACTTTGACATTAGCAAATATTAAACAATTCCAGTGCGAATGAAGTCATAGCATAAAAAAAATGTTGTCAGAAAACTATCATACAGTCCCATAACTTCATATAAACAAGAAAACTTCTTATGTAAATGAAATAAAATAGTTTTAATTTACTCTTATCTTTCAGACCAATACTCAAGTGACGTAGATGTCGACAAATTCTTTACCACACTTGGTTCTGGATCTAAAAACCTGGTTCCTGATGAAAGTGCGGGTGGAGATGATCAGGTAATGGAACTAAATATTACAATTAAATCAAATACATATGAGCAAGATATACTACATATATATTATACGAGTAACTAGCTTTCCGCCTGTAGCTTCGACCGCGTGGAGTTCGATTATATCGCGTTTCCAAGAGAACCTTTCAAAAATCTGGGATAAAAACTATCCTATGTTCTTTCTCAAAGTCAACTCTATCTCTGTACAAAATTTCATTAAAATCAGTTCAGTGGTTTAGGCGTGAAAGCGTAACAGACAGACAGACAGAGTTACTTTCGCATTTATAATATTAGTTTGGAAGCGCCTGACAGCATTTGAATAGCAATAGCAATTATCGTCGTTTCATTCTTTAAAAGTTATAAGGCGTCGTTTTGTTTCTCTTCAAAAATTGTATGTTTGCTATGTTTAATTACTTTATAATAAACTGATAACTATCACATTATGTATATGATTGTGTATTATGTAGTAGTTTAAAAAAAATTAATTTATTTTCAGACATTCGAGAAAAATGAAGAGCGTTCAGTTGTTTTATCAGAAGTGTCAGATAGTTCTGGCAAATTAAAAATAACACCTCTCACTGGACCCTACAGACAGGACCAGTTGAAGCCACAAGTAAGTTATATATAATAAAACTTAAAACTTAGTTGATTAGGGAGCGTTCGAGTATTACTTAAAACAGGGGCGAGGGGTGTTTCTTACAAAACGTTACATAGCATTCTTTGTAAATAAAATTATTAATTAAAAACCACCAAACAGCCAACCATTTTCATATACGTTACATTATGTACACATTTTTAATTTATTCTCGCAAGTTCGCAAACCTCTTAATTTGTATTTTACGTTGAATACCTAGATTGTATTGTACGTCATTTAATATTGTTTCCGTGGTCAGTATTCGTTAGAGTTTATCCGTTAGTTCATAGTGTTTATACTGTGATTTCTTTAGAGATTTGTATAAGTGATCTTGTTTCTTTTAGTAGATTAAAACTATACCAAACTATTACATATTTTTTTACGACTTTAGGATGAAATTGATCACTTGAGTGTTACGTAATGTTTAGAGAAGGGGGGGGGGTACAGAAAAACGTTGGAAGGGGGAAGGGGGGTCAAAAATCTTCAAAAATTGCCTTATTGAAAGCTCCCTTATCGACAATCTCGATATATATAAAAATGAAGTGAAAAAAATAGAGCGTGGAGTCCCTCTAAGTGGAAGAAGTGCTACTTCGTAATGTCGGAATCAAAACTCGAAACAGGAATGCGTAGAAACAAATTTTTAGTGAATTAATATTGTTTTAAGACAAACTTTACAAACATTGCTTACGAATTAATAATTGATCCACACATTTACTATCGCTCCGTCTCATTCATTCCCAAGGAGAGTACAATGTTTAACGTTTTAAATCTCGTCTGATGTCTAATTTCTTATTAATATTTTCAGGACACCTATATACTTGACACAGTCAGTGGCTCCATCTATGTGTGGGTTGGGAAACAAGCTTCACCAAAGGTACATTATTTTAACATTATTTTTATCTATTTATCACATATATATGACAAAAATATTTACCTTTTATTAGCCATAATTTTGAGTTGATATAAAAGAAAATATTAACCATTCAAGTCATTTTACTGAAAATATAATCAATATCTTTAAGTAATAATGCTGTTTTAATATTATTAATTACAATGAGGAAGTATCTTTTCGATTTAACTTTATATATAATAGTATATAATATGACATTTGTATTTATTCTTTAGGAAAAGTCTGAAGCTATGTCCAAAGCCGAACAATATTTGAGCTCAAAGAATTATCCGTCTTGGGTGAGTAATATATTTATATTTGTATTATTAAATATAGGTAATTCTATTAAATATTATTACTTATGTATAAAATAAAAAAGGCTTTCATATTTCTACCACACTTGCAATTTTTTTTCTATATATATTAAAGAATTTACAGTTCTAATATTTTTTTAGCATTATCTGTAATATAATGTCATTGAGATTTGAGAGTAATGTCAATTTGACAATTTCAAATTACCACAAAGTATATTCCAGCAAAATTCTTAATTAAAGTTAATATATTTTTTTTTACATTTAAGTGTATGGACTGAAACGTGAAATAACTTGAAATTACATAGTAATTTGAAAAATCATAGGCTTTTCGCGGTAATCTTTTTTGAAATTTAAAGTCATTACATACGTGGTTTGAATTTTTTTTAGTCTAAAATGACTTCTTAATGATATGTTTACGATGTACATATATGTATATTTATATATATCTTCTTCTACCTGACAATTTCCCAGCTTTAGCCAGGGTCTACCTTACATGTTGTGAATAATTTTGGCTAATTGTATTTACGACCGGCCGCCTGCCTGACATCAACCCTCTTTGGGAATAATAATGTATATTTATATATTTTAGGTACACGTAGCAAGAATTCCACAAGGTACGGAGCCCGCTATATTCAAACAATATTTTACTACGTGGCGTGATGCCGGCATGTCACATACACGACTAGTTCGTTAGTGTTTAAGAAATAAATAGTTGTTAAAGAAATAAAGATTTCTATATCATATGTGGTCGTTTTTTTATATTCTATATGTTTACCACAAGTTAATATAAATACACTTATGAAGAACACAAGTTTATATGAGAAAAAACATTCTTTGAAAGACTAAAACTACTACAGCTCGAACATGTTCTGTCTCGACCGTAAGTACCACTCTCTCACAGAAGATCGGCGTGAAGTAGTCTTTAATGGCTGGATTTCGTTTGATGAGTGAGAGAGACGGTTGCTCTTTCCTTTTTCCCTTCCCTTCTTCCTCTTCCCCAAATAAGGTTGGCTAAACAAAAATACTTTTACTTATGTCTATGGGCGACGGTCCTATTTCTATTAGGTAGGCCGTCTGCTCAATTGCTTCCTTTGTCATAAAAAACCAATTGGCGCTCGACAGACATACACTCTTTATATATCAAAAACAGTCAGTGCTCATCTCAGTAGATTATTCTGCTTCAAAATACACTACATAGAATCTCACGTTTTGCTTTTTATATACTACGTGAATACTTAAAAGAGTTTACTATGTATGTAGTTAGAAAATGCTTATAAATCAAGTAAGTGTATAGGTCATTGTTTTCAATCTATGGGTCGCGAAGACTTACTCAGGTGGACAAAAATATAAAGGTAAAGTTCTACACTACAATAAAATCAAATTTTAATAAGAAATGGGCTTTCTTACTTTTGAAAAGCATGTTAATCAACGTGCTATTTGTGAAATATTATTTATCAAATCAGCTTGTAATTGAAGTTTATTTCTCTTTTTATTTTAAACTCCATTATTGCAGAATGTCTTTAACTTAGCTTTTTAATTTAATAATTTCGTTGCCTGTCTATGACACAAAGCGGTAAGGATATCAAAAAGATTGAAAACCATTGCTAAAGGTCACTATTATATGTAGTTAAGTTTAACTAGATGGCAGTATTAGTTAGTTTAAACTTATTAAGATTGTATACGCTTCTGTATTTATGATTACCCGATACAGAAATATAGTGTTTATACAATATAAATAAAATAAATTAAACAACCTGTATAGTACTGATAGCTATATACATATAAGCAGAAACATTGAGTCTTAGTAATAAGATTGAACTAACTAATCTAGTTAAACTTAAACACACAACACATACAAATGTTTAAGCTATGTCTGCATTTTATTACGAGAAAACTACTTAAATATTTATTTATTAGGACAGTTAAAAATTTATATAATTTTTATAAAGAAATTGTTAAAAAAATCTCATTTAGGAATGCATATTACTTTAATTGGTGATATTATTAGAAAAAAAAGGTTTTAATAATGGTTGCAGAACATGCAAGTAAAGTCAGGTTAATTATAATATATATTGTCTAGCCATCCCATACCTACCAATGGTTAAACTTATTTATGTTCTCTAAGATTTCCAAAATTACCTAAAAACTTCTAAAATTAATTGTATTTTCTTTCAAAACCGTTTTTAATGCGAGTCAAAGTATGCAATAAATTAATAGTTTCATATTATAAGGCTCTTTGTTATTAATAAAAACATTTTGTGGATAAATTATATATATTTGTGCATTACAGTATTGTGCTTATAAAAGAACATATATATTATTAAATATATATATGAAATCAATTCCAATCTTGGAAATGTTGTTTAAATGCTGTCGGTTCAGCGCCTTCCACTACTTTTGAGATGTGGACCTGAAAAAACATTATTTGTGAATGAATGAGACATCAATACTTTTGTTATATGACAGAGCGAGATGGATATAACACACACACACACATATACTATATATATATATATAGAAATTTCTGTTATAAAATTTATAGAAAGTAAAAAAGTAGTATCCACTGGTATACTGTACTTTTAAATATAAAAATATATGTATGTTTACCAAAAATAATAAGTCTTTACAATACCATTATATATATATATATATATATATATATATATATATATATATATATATATATATATATATATATATATATATATATATATAATATATTAATTTACATATATAACTTACCCATGACGGATGATTATTTGCTTCCAAGTATTGATGAGCTTTCTTCATGGCTTCCGCCTTCTCCTATAAATATTAAATATATTAATTACTATATATATAAATAAATAAGCTAGTAAATACTTATGATCATTATATTAATTGAAAATCATCATATTGACTTGTATTCATGACTTTGTTTGACCTCAATATTAATTCTTAAATTACCCTTACTTACATATTTTAAAATTATCTATGTACAAGTGATATCTAATAGAAATAGTTCCAGCTGTTTTAGAGATAAGACAAACATACAATGTAGTTAAATATATATACTAGCTGACCCGGCAGACTTCGTACTGCCTCAATCGAGAAATAAATAATTTCTTATTTATTTTTTTGTTGTTTACCTTTAAGCCATAAATATCCCTGTTCTGAAGTGCGACAAAATGATTGACATATTAGTTAGTTGTCAAATTTAATGTCAAAGAAAAAAAAGTTTGTATCAACAACTACTAATAAATTAAAAATTAATTGAAAAAACATTGTCCAGCGGACAAAATTGTGAATCTAAACCATTCCCAGATCCCCTTGAACACACACAAAAAAATTCATCAAAATCGGTCCAGTCGTTTGAGAGAAGTTCAGTGACATACACACTCACAGAAGAATTATATATATAAAGATATATCCACTTACCCTTCCATTTGAGTGTCTTCCAACCCACACATATATACTTGCGCTGGTGTCAAGTATGTAGCACTCCTGATAAAAAAATTACATATATATGTATATATTAATTACAGTATATAAAGCTACAAGTGTCCTTACTAAAGGTTCGAATCAATAAATAGGCAGTTAAAATAATCTTTATAAACATGCTAGTTTCAAACCACGACTTCGTCTGCGTTAGTTTCAGAATCAGAAATGTATATCTGACCAGGCGAACTTTATTCCTTAAAAACAGTAGATAAGAAGATTTTGGATTTGATCAACTTATTATTTTCAATTGGATTAAAAGTATCCTATGTCCTTTCAATGTTCTAATTTATCTCTCCACCAATCTTCATCCATATCCGTAGTCGTTAGAGTTATAAATAGTGTAACTAACACTTTCTTTTATATAAAGATGTGTATGAACAAAACGGTTGACTATCAGTATTGAGTTTATAAGTCTACTCGTAGTAAGGATAAATACTCACTTTAGTATCCAAAAGATCCTTTGTATAAGGAGCATCTAATTTTTTTATTTTCAATGATCCCGAACTATCTGAAATTTCACTGAGGCACACTTCCTTGGATTCGCCGCGTTCAAAGTCCTGTAAAAAAAATATACTAGCTTTAGTTAGCAACTTTGCCTGCATACTTATATGTTTAGAAAGTAAATATATTTGTTTGATATATATGAACAGTCAGCGCCATCTATTGAATCATGTTATTATATACAATAAAACTAGAAAATAGATTGAATTCCATTAAATAAATTAGAGATTATCCTAATCTGATGTATAAGCTACAATATGTACAAGTTTCATATAAATCGGTTTAATATATTTTAAATATATGTGTAACAAAACATTTTATAATCATCATTATACTATCAGAGCCCACTGCTGAAAGGTCTCTTCTCACATGGAGAAGGTTAGAGCATTAATCACCACGCTCACTCAAGACGGGTTGGTGATTTCAAACTTATAATTAGATTAAGTCCATGTTTCCTCACGATGCTTTCCTTCATTAATCAGTGATGTCTAAATACTCTTATAAAGTACCTATGACTCGGAACATCACATTGGTACTTGGTGGTGGTGGCCTAGTGGTTAATGGCCCGTATCTCGTTGCCGAGGGCGCGGGTTCAAACCTGGCAAGTACCGATGTGATTTTTCCGAGTCATATGTACTTTATAAGAGTATTTAGACATCACTGATTAATGAAGGAAAACATCGTGAGGAAACATGGACTTATATCAAATTATAAGTTTGTAATCCCCAACCTGTCTTGAGCAAGCGTGGTGATTAATGCTCAAACCTTCTCCATGTGAGAAAGAGGCCTTGCTCAGCAGTGGGCTCTGATAGGATGATGATGATGATGATATTATAATATGATTCACCTCATCGTCTCCTCCTTCTTCAGCATCAGATACAGAGTCTTGATCTCCAGAGCCGAGGGCTGTGAAGAATTTGTTGACATCCCCTTCATTGGAGTACGGATCTGAAAATATATATATGGAATTGTATATTATGATAATATTCCTATATGGATTCATTATCTAGTCATTTTAAAGGAATGATGATAGACAATAATTAATTTATTTTTATTTTATTTCCTAGGAAGCCAACATAATGTACAATGATCAAATTTTTTTTAACATTAAAAGTTTTACAATATAGAATATGTAGCTACAAAGTACACTACAATTATAGGCTAACTCAGCATGCACTGTAATAAAAACATAAGAAAATTTATTCTTCTTCTTCTACCTGGCAATTTTTCCCAGCTATAGCCAGGGTCTGCCTAACATGTTGTGAATGGTTTTGGCTATTTGTTTTTACGACCGGCCGCCTGCCTGACATCAACCCTCTTTTTTTGGGAATCAACATTAATCAGTGATGTATAAATATTCTTAGAAAGTACATATGATTCGGAAAAATCACATTGGTACTTGCCCGGGCCAGGATCGAACCCACGCCCTCGGCAACGAGAGGCGGGCCCTTTAGCCACTGAGCCACCACTGACTAATAAAAAAATTTATTATTACTATGTAATAATTTAACATTCAGTGACAACACACAAATTGAAATTATGCGTATTATGATAGAGAGAGAGACGTAGTATTATGTGTAATTTTAATATAATTTAATATTGCAATACATATCCTTGTACACTTTTCAATATGTGACTTAAAAGGATTTATTAAGTTTTTGTTCTGTTTCCTTTTTATATATCCTATGTCCTTTTTATGTTCTAAATTCTAATCTATCTCTCCACCAATCTTCATCCATATCCGTACAGTCGTTAGAGTTATAAATAGTGTAACTAACACGACTTTATTTTATATACTAACCAATAATTTCTATATTTCCTCTTCCATTGTGATCCTGGTCCCGTATTTGGTTGGCTACAGTGATAGCTTTCATCCTCTCAACACTCTTTGAACTGTCTCCAACATACACGAGTATCTCGTGGTCTACATCTAAGATGAAGCAGTCTCCCTTATTCATAGATGACACTGATGCTTCCACCTATAATAGCAATAAAATAAATATTATGGAAAATATATATATACAGGGTGACTGGTGAATTACTATCGATACTTGAGGACGTGATATTTGACGATCATATATGACAAAATAAAACCTATTTATTTTTTTTACATAATTCGAATGAGAATAATGTACCGAGTATTCTCCTTAAATATTGATAGTAATTCACCAGTCACCCTGTATACATCTTCCTGGCAATTTCCCAGCTATACCCAGGATCTGTATTACATGTTGTGAATAGTTTTGGCTAATTGTTTTTACGACCGGCCGCCTGCCTGATCAACCCTTTTTTTTTGGGAATAATAAATATATACATATATGATAGATTTTTTTTTACTAATATTATAAATGCGAAAGTAACTCTGTCTGTCTGTCTGTTACGCTTTCACGCCTAAACCACTGAACTGATTTTAATGAAATTTGGTACTCCACGCGGGCGAAGCTGCGGCCGGAAAGCTAGTTGATATATAAACGAATACTTTCAACGTTGCGTATTAAGTTTGAGTATAAAACTTGTAGTAAGTGTAAACTCACCTGTCTCACTCTTACGTTTCTCTTGCCCTTAATCTGGAACAGCCTCTTTTCTGAGCCAGCATTCACAGTTACGTGGTTGAAGCCCGAGGCATGACCGCCGTCGAGATAACGGATAGCTTGAAAAAATATACATATCTTTATATATATATAATTCTTCTGTGAGTGTGTATGTCACTGAACTCCTCTCAAACGACTGGATCGATTTTGATGAAATTTTTTGTGTGTGTTCAAGGGGATCTGGGAATGGTTTAGATTCACAATTTTGTCCGCTGGACAATGTTTTTTGATGGATTTTTAATTTATCAGTAGTTGTTGATACAAACGTTTTTTTTTTCATAATAATATTATATATATACTAGAAGACCCGGCGAACTTCGTATCGCTCTATAATCAAGATATGTATATCTGTTACGTTTTTATTTATATTTTTGGAGTTTACCTATTAAAGTCATAAACCTCCGTGTTTTGAAGTGCGACAGAATGATTGACATATTAGTTAGTTGTCAAATCTAATGTCCAAAAAAAACGTTCGTATCAACAACTTGTAATAAATTAAAAATTAATTAAAAAAACATTGTCAGCTTTAACTTTCTTCTGATAATCAGCTTCCAATGTATATACGTGGAATTATACAATGATAGTTACGAGGATTTGCACTATTCTGGACTATATATATGGTGTTCAAATAATCTTCTACCTTACCTGGTTCAAAATAACTCAAGAACTGTCTAGATTCGTAGCCCTGGGTCTCCCGATGTTGAACAGCATTTCCTTGGAACTGTTCGTCATCTAGATTGACTGATAAGATGGCTGCTGAGCCGGCTTCATCTTGAGACGTTTTGGAACCCAACCAGAAATGGATATCCCAAGATAGATTTGATGAACCGCTCGTCTAAATAATATACATAGTAATTAACATTATTTTTATATCGGATTTATTACAGATACGTTGTTTTTAAAGAGAGGGACGCCAGCCTCGCTGACGTAACTAATGTCACTTCTTCTAGAGCGTTCCATGATATTTTAAAATGAAACTTCAATTGTTCTTAATGTTCCTGTATTTCTCGAAGGTTCTTCATAATCACATTATTCAACTGTACGAACTGAACTCTGAACTCTGCCGTCCAGACGTCATATTTATACCAAGATTCAAACATAGTTCTATTCTCCTTTAAAAAATCTTTGATTTCGTTTTACTTTTAACAATAATCATGAATACTAATGAGTTTTAATAATAATTGATGACAGCCTCAAATTATTTTCATGTCGCATCCGTTATTATATATGGAACAAAAGGTTTTTAATCTCATTAAAACTATTTCATTTTAAGGAGCACAGCTGTATAACTCTGCCTCTAAGTGTTGTCAATTCAAAATCTCTAAATATATTTAAAAAACGATTAAGTACCCTATATTAGATGATTTCATATGATTAGATGATTCCATATGTCAGTGGTGGCCTAGTGGTTAAAGGGCCCGCCTCTCGTTGCCAAAGGCGCGGGTTCGATCCTGGCCCGGTCAAGTACCAATGTGATTATTCCGAGTCATATGTACTTTCTAAGACTATTTAGACATCACTGATTAATGTTGATTCCCTAAAGTGGATTGATGTCAGGCAGGCGGCCGGTCGTAAAAACAAATAGCCAAAACTATTCACAACATGTAAGGCAGACCCTGGCTATAGCTGGGAAATTGCCAGGTAGAAGAAGATATCAGATGATTTCACTGACCTTGTTTAATATCACTACTGTTTATTATTTGTAATTTTAATTGTAGTTATAATTTTTAAAAATTCCTTTGTAAGCGATTTTTGTTCTTTTGGGAAACAAACTTCTTTAAACCTAATCTCGATGTACTACTCGTAGTAAGGGGTCAAACGTAATACCGTCTGTTTGACGTTAGATAATACTACAACATTGCTGTTTATACGATTGAATGAAAAGTATTGTCACTCTCTTTAGTTAATCTATCGAAAATCTTAGTAAGAAAAATATGTTTATTTTAATGCGTAAATCTCTGACCTATTATGTAATTAAATTTTTACCTAAAAATGTCACTTAAATCCTTTATTATTAAAAAAAACTGTTTTTACTGCAAAAAGAAGAAGTTTTCTCAATTCGAACGTATATACGTATGTTCTTTTCTTTATAAATCTACAATATAAAGAAAATCTTAATTAAATATTACTATTCTTGTAATGTATGAATGTTTGTGAGAATTTTTCAATGTTATGGTGTTTATTGGTCTGTATCACAAAAACTACTAAACTACAACCCTGGTTGAAGTTGGGAAATTGCTAGGTAAAAGAAGAGATATATATATATATATATATATATATATATATATATGCTTTTAATTGGTATAGATAATATACTTATCATATTGATAATATCCACTTATAAGTACAATAAAAGATATTAAAAGCTTCTGTAGTATATAAAGGCATATATAATAATGAATATACATAATACAAATATATTATATGGACTAATATAAAAACACACCAACAGGAATCGAATCTACGACTCAGGAATGACAAACCATAATCTTTACTAATTGAGCTATCTTGTTCCTAGCAATATCCCAGCTTTAGCCAGGGTCTGCCTTACATGTAATAGTTTTGGCTAATTGTTTTTACGACTGGCCGCCTGCCTGACATCAAAAATCTTTGGGAATACATTAATCAGTAATGTCTAAATACTCTTATAAAGTACATATGACTCGGAAAAATCACATTGGTACTTGCCCGGGCCAGGATTGAACCCGCGCCCTTATGCATGAGAGGCGGGCCTTTTAACCATTAGACTCTAAATTATATGTATTTAATTTATATCTATAATTACATAGCTTCTATACGTTCTTCAATATATTTTCCACGCAATACAAGTTGTTCAAGTGCGTATGATACATGTGGTTCCTATCAAGATAAAAAGTGAATAATTTAATTGAGTGTTTACAACTAAAATAGTTTAAATACACTGTATCTTTGTAAATGACCTTGATTAATACATTTGATTTTCAATTGGTATGTTTTAAATAAGTATAGAGCTTCAAAAACGATTGGGTGTCAAATTACAACCGATCAAAAAACTTTTTTTACTTATTAATAGATTAACTATCAAATAACGAAATGTGTTTTACATTTGTACTACGTTTAGTTCTAAAAATTTTACTAAATACTAGAAGACCCGGCGAACTTCGTATCGCCCTATAATCAAGAAATATCTGTTACGTTTTTTTATTTATATTTTTGGAGTTTACCTGTAAGCCATAAATAATGATTGACATATTAGTTAGTTGTCAAATCTAATGTCAAAAAAAAACGTTTGTATGGGAAATAGAAAAGGGCTGTTTTTATGGTTTTCCCAGTAATGAATCAATTTTTTTCAGCTTTTATACCTTCCCTGAACCTCCACGAACATTTCAAGACTAAGATAAGATAAATCCGTTCAGCTGTTCTCCAGTTTTAGCGAGACTAAGGAACAGCAATCCATTTTTATATACATAGAAGATGAGTGAAATTCTCAATTACTTAGTTGGTAATCTATTTTACCTTTAACACGATGTAAGAATCTCCACTGTAGAAATTTCCATATTGTTGTTTTGGTACAGGCACTGGTTCGAAATCCTATAAAACAATATTTATGTACAAATGTTCATAATGTATTTTTGTATTACATACTAGATTACGCCTGCAACTTTGTTCATCTATACAGGGTGACTGGTGAATTACTATCAATATTTAAGGAGAATACTCGGTACATGATTCTCATTCGAATTATGTAAAAAAAATAGGCACTTAATTTTTGACAAAATTAAGTGAAATAAATGAATAAAGTGTTTACACGTTCCAAGTGTTCCAAGTGTGGACGCGTGCGGCGGCGTGCTGATACAACACTACGCCGCCGCACACGTGTGTGTGTGTGAGTGTATACCTAATCTGTAGGGTGTTCACACGATGCGTAATTAATTACATAACTTTTGGTTAACTTTACTTAGAAGTTTATTAATATTTATGTTATATTAATTTTTATTTTGTCATATATGATCGTCAAATATCACGTCCTCAAGTATCGATAGTAATTCATCAGTCACCCTGTATATCTTAAAAATATTAGTTTCATTTAGACTTCTGCCAAGTTTATGAATGAAACTCAAGTTATTTGAATGGTTTTTACGTAAGTCTAAGATTTTATAAGAGAAACAATTTCTAAGAACATCCCAGATTTTACGTGGAATTAGGATGAGAGCCATATTTATAGGTTTAAAGGTTTGAAACAGTTTCTTGAGATCGGCAAAGCTGGCTCTAATTTATAGTTACTTTACAAACAGCATTGAAATTGCTTGATCGCTTGGTCCATACTTAATACCCAATAATTTTGCTTATAAAGGGTATTAGTATATTTTATTTTTGAGTATCTTCATTATACTTCATTGAGGAATCTTTTTCATTATTATTTTTTGAAGATATGGGGTCCTTTATTTTTGTTTAATTTTTACGAGCTTTTAATTTATATAATTTAATACGAGAGACATCGGTACTAATATTATAAATGCGAAAGTAACTCTTTCGTATGTCTGTTACGCTTTCACGCCTAAACCACTGAACTGGTTTTAATGAAATTTGGTACAGACATAGAATTGACCTTGAGAAAGAACATAGGATAGTTTTTATCCCAGACTTTTGAAAGGTTCTCTTGGAAACGCGATATAACCGAACTCCACGCGGGCGAAGCTGCGGGCGGAAAGCTAGTTCACTAATAAACCGAAAAGCTATATCAATTGTAGCTTTGTGTGTGTATGTTTGTCAATTACCTCAACCCTCCAAATCTCGATCCCTGCCTGTTTTCCAGAGTTAGCAAACGCGGGATGTACTTCTGGCATTTTCTGAGAAAATTAAAACAATAAAATAATAGTAACATATTAACTTTTATATTTTTTAATATATTTATGTTTTTATTAAGTAATTATTATTAGTTAATCACTTATCAGCGTTAATAAATATAGCTGCGAACTTATGAGTGAAAATATAAATGTTACATAGACATGCGATAGAAGGGCGAAAATTAAGATATTACAATTAAAATATTTACTTCAATGTACGGTAATGTTGTTCTAATAAAGTTCTTTAAGGATATACGGCTATTATTATTGATTATTTCTATTCAATAGTATAGTATATACAGGGTGACTGGTGAATTACTATCAATATTTAAGGAGGATACTCGGTACATGATTCTCATTCGAATTATGTAAAAAAAATAGACACTTAATTTTTGACAAAATTTCCGTATAAATAAATAAAGTGTGTACACGTTCCAAGTGTTCCAAGTGTGGACGCGTGCGGCGGCGTGCTGATACAACACTACTTCACCAGTCACCCTGTATACGTCATTATGTGTGTGTGTGTGTGTGTCGTGGTAGTGTGCGTTAAGTTTATTTTATATAAATAAATAAATTTCTTAATATAGACATAACTTTACACCCATTTTCTTTACCAAAATTTAATTTTGACTACAGTTTCTGTTTTGCGTGTCAATCATATAGTTTTTTGTGCAAAAATATATAAAAATATATTTAATTACAAAATCTAGCATGGTTTTCATATTAATTTTGCCACCCATCCGAAAATAGACCGCGCCAGATGTTACTTAATGGACATGTACGACGGTAAAAATAAATTATATATGGGAGGGTAGAATCCTATTTGCTGTTTATATATAAAATTCGCTTACAGTTTTACTGCGGTTTTGCTCGGTCGTTGTACCCATTTCAACATTTTATCACTTCCTCTTAGTACTATTTAAATCTATATTTTATGGATTCACTTAAATTCCTACTTTTATTAATGTTTTATCTAGATTTTATTATTTCTGTTCCGAGAATATTACATTATTATTATAAATAACAGTTGTGTTGTACAAACATACATAATTTTATTTATAATGTCTCATTTTCTAGTATACAAATGCATTTTAAATATCAGTACATTTAAATTTGCATCACTCCAAACTTCTAAATTTTTAGAATATGAAGTCTAGACTAGCTATTACTTGCGTCTTTGCCCGCATCCTCAATCCCCATTGAGATACGCGTTGTCATAATTATGAGCCTTCATCGAATTTACCTATCAGAGCCCACTGCTGTAAGGCTTCTTCTCTCATGGAGAAGGTTTGAGCATTAATCACCACGCTCGCTCAAGACGGGTTGGTGATATAAAACTTATTATTTCATATAAGTCCATGTTTCCTCACGATGTTTTCCTTCATCAGTCAGTGTTGTCTAAATACTCTTATAAAGTACATATGACTAGGAAAATAACCAAGGACATTTTCATTAAAATTTGAACTTTTGATCAAAGCAATAATTTTGAAAATCAGAAATTGATTTGAAAAATAATAGCGTTGCAAACTTAAAGTTGAGTTGAAGATTTCATCGCATTTAAAGTTGGTAATTTTTTTTAAATTCACCTCAAAATCGGTCCAGCCATTCTAGAGATTACACAGAACAACATCTTTTTAGGGAAATTTTAGTTTCCAAGGGAAATTATATATGTATCAGCACGCCGCCGCACGCGTCCACACTTGGAACACTTGGAACGTGTACACACTTTATTTATTTATACGGAAATTTGGTCAAAAATTAAGTACCTATTTTTTTACATAATTCGAATGAGAATCATGTACCGAGTATTCTCCTTAAATATTGATAGTAATTCACCAGTCACCCTGTATATAATATATATGTATATAATATAGCAGAATCGAGAGATTTTTTAAAAATAAACTATGTGTTTCAAATTCAAAATATATAATTGTAAAGTTGGCAAACATAAAAACTAAATTTTAATATTTTTTATGAACAGAACATTAATACATATGATACTAGCTGTGCCCGCGATTTCGTTCGAATTGATTCTTTAATTTGACATAACTTTTTTATTTATGAACCGATTGACATGAAACAAACACTAGCATAACTGAAGCATACCACAATATATTCGTGAAAACCGCATCCAACTCGGATCAGCCGTTTCTGAGATTAGCGTGAACAGACAAACAGACAAAAAAAAAGTTAATTACATTTTTGGGTTCGACATCGACATAACAATAACCCCTGCTATTTTTTTTATTTTTATTTTCAATGTACAGACAGCACTTTTCTACAATTTTATTATATGTATAGATATAAAACAACCCGTCTTGAGCGAGCGTGGTGATTAATGCTCTAACCTTCTCCATGTGAGAAGAGGCTCAGCAGTGGGCTCTGATAGGATGATGATGATATAAAATCCTTTTGAATCAAAAATAATAATGAACTTAGGGTCTCTTCCCAGAAATGCAACTCAGAATACGAACGAGTTTCAAATATTTCTTTTTTGAAGTCGGTTAACGCCAGTAAACTGGTAATATTCACGATTTTTAATTTAAAAAAACGTTGAAATAACAGTCTTTACTTTGATACTGTAAGAAGCGACGTTAAATAGTATAGACTAATTAATTTATATGTTGATAACGCACTAACTAACTCTTTATTATAATTAAAATTTATAATGATATGAAAAAATAAATTTTCTAATTATTACAAATTAGCTCTGCGCCCGCAGCTTCGCCCGCGTGGAGTTCGGTTATATCGCGTTTCCAAGAGAACCTTTCAAAAGTCTGGAATAAAAACTATCCTGTTCTTTCAAGGTCAACTCTATATCTGTACCAAATTTCATTAAAATCATTTCAGTGGTTTAGGCGTGAAAGCGTAACAGACGGACAGACAGAGTTACTTTCGCATTTATAATATTAGTATTTAAAAATAACTAAATAGATTTTTTAAACAGATTTAACCCTCACAAAATTTCGCATTTATTGGGCTATCACCGAAATTAATTGACCTTTTTTATTACTATGCTAAAATAGCATGACGTCATTGTCCCTCCCCAAATAAGTTTTTACGAACCCAGTCTTGCTCCACCCTAGTCGGGGCAGATCGATTGAAAAAGATCAATAAAATTCTACTAGGACAGTTGTTACTCACATAATATATTGCCCTTCTAAATAATTCATATTAATATACATATATAGTGTGCCTTTTCCCTCCCTTTCCCACCTTTTCCTCCCCCTTTTCCCAAATCAAGGCAATACATCCGCAAATCTATATTACCTCCATCAGGTAGGCTGTCTGCTCGGTTGCCCCCTTTTTATAGTAATAAAATAATCCCTACTAATATTATAAATGCGAAAGTAACTCTGTCTGTCTGTCTGTTACGCTTTCACGCATAAACAACTGAACTGATTTTAATGAAATTTGGTACAGATAGAGTTGACCTTGAAAGAACATAGGATATTTTTTATCCCAGACTTTTGAAAGGTTCTCTTGGAAACGCGATATAACCGAACTCCACGCGGGTTAAGCTGCGGGCGGAAAGCTAGTTATCTATATAATCTAAAAATAGATTATCTTCACTTAGTAGTTGAACCATCATACAGATTTCAGTACGCTTAACACAAGTTTTCATTTTTCTTACTAAATACGCAACGTTTCCAGTTATTTCATCCTTAAATCTTAGGACATAAATGTTAATGTATGAGAAACAGGAAGCATTTCGTTAGAAGGTAACGTGAAGTTATAGTTTAGATGTACCGAAATAATTTTATTACTAAGACTATGTAAGTATTTTCAATAAAAAATGATAAATTCACTAAAGAATTTTCTAAGAAAATAATAGTATTACTACTCGAGCAACACCAGGTGAAAAGACTTGTATATCGCAATGAAAAAATTACTTCTAAGGATGCTCATATGTCTAGTATATATTTTCACATTTAATTTGAATAGTAACGCTTTTGCTATTATAACTTGAAGCGTGTCTAAATTACTTAGAAGAAGGATTTGTTAAGGAAAAAACATAATACTTGCACAACTATCACTCATCTTATGAAAAAATACGGAAATTACGTTAAAAAATATATAAAATTGCAAAATTAGTTAATTATAAAACTTTGGATACAATAAACATATAGATTTGAGTTTAAAAATAGTCATAAAAATGTCATCAATTAGTATAACTTACTTAAAACATTACTTGAAGGATATATACTTTGTTTTTCTAATATAAATTCACATTGTCACTCGCGACTAAATTTTATGACATAATTAATCTATAAAAAATATCTATAACGTGAGAAACCGGGTGAAAAAACTTGTTAATATATCAAATGAACAAGATTTTACTTTGAAACCTAATAATAAAGTATTGATTCTTGATAAAAGCTATTAAGTATCAACTACCAATATTTATTTTATTTAACGTACTATAAATGATTAAAAAGTTGGTTAATTAGCGTTAAATAGAATAATTCTGCTTTATTTCATTAAATATAAAATGAGAATCTAATTATATATAAATGTATAGTAATTAGTGAATATTATAATATTTATAATGATCGTAATTATAATTTTACAACTCACAGTGACGTGATTCTCCTTCAACACACAAACAACAACTGACAGGGACGCTACAAAAAACAAAGATGGCCGTTCCTAGTTTATTTTTGTTTATGCTACAGTGAAACTTTTATTATGTTAATATTTTGTTCATTGTTTTGATTTAATAATAAATTTATGATTTATATATCGATGTTCGATAATTTTATGATATTTTAAACTAATATACCATTATCTATTTAGTTTAGAATTTCTTATAAGATTCTCATTAGATCTAAGAAAATCATGACAAGTCCTTTTTAATAAGTATTATTTAATTATTTTAATATTATATAATTATTAATATTATATTATATAGATTTAAAGATTTAATACACCATTAGATATAATAAATTACTTTACAAGATGATATATTATTATGATCAAAAATAATATACATTGCCATA